ACTACACATTAAAGCAACATTTCAGCAGATCTGCCAAAATCTGCCTTTTTCCATGCAGGCATTGGAAGGTAACACGTGGAGAAGAATATTTCATACGTTTGGGGAATATTTGGATGGGAAGCTGAAAGTCTGAAACCATAGATGACAAATGACAAATGTTTGATTGTTACGTTTCAGCTCTTTGTGCGTCTGCCTCTGGGGCTTCACGCATGCGCCACAAAATTGCCGCGTTCGACAACAATGAGGCTTTTATTTTCCACTCGCCCTTCTACCTTAAACCGTTCCTTACATTTCCATCCTCTGCCCGTGGAGGTCTTATCTCCCTCCTCAGCTCTCTCTCACCTCCTTAATGCCCGGCTCTCATCAGCGTATTGTGGTTTAATCAAACTCGTCTGGGAGCGCGTCCTACCTCACACAGAGTCATGTCATCTTCCTCCTTCAGCGCTGCACTTCAGCGTCGTTCACCTTCTGCTCTCTTTCTTCTCCAAAGCAATGTGTGTATTTCTCCGTCTCACCTTCTTTCATTTTCTCCTGATGATTTGATTGGATCCACAGCAATTAAGTGTTACAGCCGTCATGTAAACGCTTGAGGACGACTTTGTCCAATAAGATACCTGATTGGCAGAGATCCTACCAGCAAGTTAATACATCTTACTTGATGATAGTGTGTCGCTTTTGGCTTGTGATTTAATGTATTTTGTTACCGTACCAAATAATAATGTTCTATTTGGCCGTTTATTCATGATAACCAGACAATGCAGTAATGTTTGAATTCTTACTCACTTTGTGTTGTATCTCGATAACCTAATTATTTAGGGTCAGGCCTTCAGGCCTCAGATGTCTTGATTAGTTCAGCTTGTCAGCAGTGATGTTAAAGAGATGCACATATTTTGTGTCACTTTGTTTATGTGCCTTTGATTGTGTCCCTTCCACTCTCCACACCCGTCTGGTGGTCTCTCCCCCTCCGGCTCGCTCTCTCTCTTTCTCTTACTCCGCCTCTCTGCCTCCACCAGCTCTTCTTATCCTTCTGGTTTGCACTGTCACTCCTTATTATTTCCTCTCTTTTGACGGGCTTCAGACTCCTGAGTCATTCTGTCTCTTTGTCCGCGAGCCAACCTGTGAGTCTCAGGGAAGAGCATCTTCTCCTTCCCTATGTATTCATATAATCTCCTTATTTTTCTCTCGTAAGCCTGCCATCTTACTGTTATCCGTCTTCAATAGCAATCTTTCCTTTCATCTCCACGGAAGCTTTCCCCCCATGTTGGCTGTAGCTTTGTCTGCCGTCTTCTATAAGGTTGTTCAGGTGAAACTCACAAACAGACTTTGTTCCAAAGTGTTTTCTCCATTTCAATGCTGTCGCCTCGACGCTCTCATTGTGCTGTTAATCTGTGCCTCTTTCACAATGTATTCATCTTAAACAAACCTCTGAACAGCTTTGTCTGCTCCTCAATTTTAGGAAAAAGACCCTATTTTCTGACAACAGCTGTTTTCATATCCCCTCGTATTCTGCATCCGGTAACGAGCTACAATGTTATTGTTCCCCGTCATTGTATCAGCACCCTTTTGTAGGGGAAATATTGTGTTTGTGTATTGTGTTGTGTTAACTAACTCTCTGGACTCCCAACACAGCAAACACTTCCCGTCACTCCTCTCAAACTCTCTCACGTTCGTCTTTCAGCGACAACGTCACATGTCGCGGCTTCTCATGCACACATCGAGATTAAACACACTTCACTTGATTTGATTTACGTACAAAGAGGTTTCCCCGTGTGATCACGTATGCTCTTCTTTTGTGGTGTCTGTCCACCAGGGCCCTTGCAGGAGCACCTGTGCTCGGCCCTGCTCTACCCAGACGAAGCGCTGAAGGCGTCGGTCGTGTACGTTTGGCTCAAACTGTTCAGGACAGCCGGCGCCTCCGCGGCTCAGTCTCTGCCCGTCGCCATCAGGGACCGAGTGTGTATGCTGTTGCTGCAGACTTTGGCCAATGCCAGCTCCCCCAATCTCACCAGAAACTGTGTTGGTGAGCAAAAAAGAAACATCTTTGGCTTTTTTTTTCATTCAGCTGTCTTGAGCAAAGCCTGGATATATTATCTGAATAAAATGACTAATTGAACTGAAAGCTTTTATGAGTTTTAGAAACTATTTTTTTCATTTTTTCAAAATGACTTGGTACAAGTATACGTGAGAGCTTCATTAGTTAAAAAAAGATTGGCCTGATTCATTTTTCTTAGGCACCAGAAAATGTACGTGAGATTGAAATGGCTTCTTCGACAGGTTTGAAGTTGTCGAGAACGGCACAGCACGCTTATCCGAGGGAAGCATGAAAAGCACAATTATCGAGCCGAGATAAGAGGAAAAAGCACAGTTAGTGTGGTGGCAGAGTGAGAGGAATGGTCTGTGAATTTGTAGTCATGTAGGAAACATTATCTCATTTGCTGGGGATAGAATCAGGACTGGGACTGATGGGAATCTGTAAGAACGGAGGTGAACTCACAAACACAATAGATCCCCACCGGTTAGTAGGGATAATTAATTATGAAATAAAGCTGTTTTGGCCGTAAAATAACATGTTCATCACCACCTTTCTCAGTAAAGGGTGCAGCTAGATGGAGTCTGAGGGATTATGCAGAGATTAAAAGAGGGTTGCTTTCAGTTTTTAGGTTAATAAAGTCTTGAGCTTGTGTAGTGGGTGATAAATAGGACAGAGTTAAAATGAAATCTGAAGTTGTTTCTATCACTGTATTCATTTTGAGAACACTGTGGCCTTTGAAAAGAGATGCCAGTTTAAAAGCTGGCTGCAGTAAAGATTTTGCTTCTGTTTGTGTCATTTTCATAGGTTTACCTTGGAGGAATGTAAAAAGGATTATTGCTTTTTTTAAATTGAATGCTGTATTGTTTACACAGCGTTGAACAATTCTCCATGAAAAGAAATGTATGCTCTGTTTTTGTTCTAGTACTTTGTCCCCAAGTGACTGGAAAGGAAAAATAAATCCAGGCAGCTGGGCAACATTTAGCTACTAATAATATATATAACTGTTGCATTGTGGGTTTGAGTTCTGGTCTGAGCAAAGTGTAAATATATTCTAGTATCTTTTTCCCAAAATTTACTTTTATTATTGCGGTAGTTGTGCTTGTCATCATGAGTGAATCTCCTGTCCAAAGTCATTAATGTGTTCCTACACTGCGCCTTTCATCTGTCAGGTCTGCTGTGGTCGCTGGTGCAGCTGCCTGAGGCCGTGTCAGTTTTGATGAACGGCAAAAGGGATCAGACCCCGTGCCATGAGAACCAGAGCGTCCCCACCGGCAGCGGCCAAAACCAAGAGCAACAGTCCCCCGACCAGTGCCCTCTGCCTCTCATGCTGAAAAAGGTCTCTGTCCAAACATCCTGCTCCCCACCGCTGAAGCCACACAGCGACACCGACCGTAACCATAACAAGAGGTTCTAATCCTGGATTAATGGGCCTTTGAATAGATGTTCAGGGGGGGGTTTACCCTGGACAAACATTTGGGCTTCATGTCTGGGAAATCAATGCGTAGATTACATGGACTCAGATTTCCTCAGTTATGACTTCATGTAGCAACACACACACAACTTGATTCTATTGCTGCTTATTGGATCCTTTCTACCAAAGTTGTGAAGTGTTTTGATTGATACAAAACTCTATTGAAACTATGAGAACTTGGAACAAACGACAGTAACAGCGCTACACAAAAACATCTAGACATTTGTAAATACTTTCTCAGCTGGGTCCCTAGCCAATAAAAATACTTTACTTTTCTTAGATTTTCCATCGTATTATATATTGGTGGTCTGTCTCATGGTTTTATGGAAAGTGTTTATATTTAACTAATTCATCTATATTTATCTCTGGGGTCACTTGCTCTAGTTTTATTGTTATATTATGATTTAGGATTATAATATTGGTATATTTGCCCCCCCAATGCTGAACTGACAATGTTAAAGGAGCTCATGGATTAGAAACCCGTCAGTCTGATGGATGTTAAATGACATGTTTCTCATTTTGAGGCCCCTCATTCCGTGTGCAAGTCACGGTACAAATATTTGACAGCCGTAAAAACAATGATGTACAAGCTAAACGAGTACCGACAGTGTACCGTAGATGAGTCTCACGCAGTTTGCAAAATACGGCTCTTTTTTTCATCCATCAGCTGTAATGTAAACTACTATGTACGTTCAGTACAACGTGCAAGCTCCATTTTCAATAAGTGGGTTCTCACCAAAGGCCCAGGGAAATGGTTTTTTTTTTCTGTCCAGTTGCTGATGAGCGTGACGAGCGTTGCAGTGACCAGTGCGAGTGTATTGCATTGGTCCTGTTCATTCCCAGTGCAGTGCTCCCTTCATCCAGGCCGACGTACCTGGTGATATGCACAGACAGACGTACTAGCCTGTGGCCCTCTCTGCTTTGTCTTTTACAAATAATTTACACTTCTCTCGTTACCTTTCATCTCACTCGCTTCATCTTTTCTACAATTTAACTTGCTGTTGTTTCTTTGTTTCTTTCTGCTCTTCTTTTTCACTTTTTCCTTCCACACTGCAGCGTTTGTAACATTTCAAGTTAACATCAATAAAGAATAATTTAAGAGAATTTGCCAACTTTGCATAAAAGCAATACACCCTGTTTTGGACATGTGGTGGTGATGATGCTACAGAAGAGCGCCGTAGTGAACAGAAGCAACGTTGTCTCATGCAGCCGCTCGTCTCTGCCCTCGTAGAGTTCCTGTTTGACCGTCTGGCCAGCAGTAACAGTGAGGTGATGCTGTGGTCTGCCTACAGCTGTTTGCTGCTACTGACCGAAGACCCTCTCTTCTTCTCGCAGTGCCACTCGGTCTACGGTGAGAGAACCCGGACAGCTCGCTGATTCAAAAACACTGCACGAAAGGGGCCCATTATACATCGGCCAATCACTCGTTCAAGGTTGTGATATCGGCTAGTAGCGATTCACAATAAAGCCAACAGCTTGTAGGTAACCTTTTTACGGTCTCCCTCCCACCAGCTGCCACTTAATTTAGGTTTTTACTGAAGATGATCCTCTTTTCGACAAATCCATTGTGGGCTCTCACGGAACAAATAAATAGAGACAAGGCATTTGACAAAAGTTCCCCTCAAAACAGCGCGCTGGGCAGTGCTGCGTGACTACGGCCTGTTGGGGCAAGAATACAAAGCAGAACCAAACATGCAAGTCTGCACCTCTGTGTTCGGTTTAAAACCAACATATACAGTTGCAATCAAAATTATTCAACCCCCCCATTGCACATTAGGTTTATTGGCAAAATATACAATTTCTCAGCTGTTTGCAATAAACAAATTACACAATAATTGTTTAAGTAGTTTAATGAAACTAATATTACAAAAGGTTTTGTCTAAATTCAACACAAAATGCTACTTTTAATGAATTTACTGCAGTCTCAAAATTATTCAACCCCTTCATGACAAGCATCTTCAGTACTTGGTAGAGGACCCTTTGAAATGATTCAACTCCCTGTATCAAGCACACCTGGTGCAACTAATCAAGGTTACTAATTAGTTCAGGTGTGCTTGAGATAGAACACACAAATACCTGGTCTGGCTCCGGGTTTGTTCAGAGTGACGTTTGATTGCATGTTAGGAATATGCCTAAGTGAAACGAATTGTCCAAAACGTTCAGAGAAGAGATCATGGCCTTGCACAAACAAGGAAAAGGATACAAAAAGATAGCAAAAGCACTGAATGTCCCTAGAAATACAGTTGAAGCATAGTTCGCAAGTTCAAAGTTGAAGGAACAGTGGCTACACTACCTGGACGTGGCAGAAAGGAGAAGCTATCAGCGGCTGCAACCAGATTCCTGAGGAGGCAACTGGTCAAAAACCCTCGAGTGACTGCAAAACACCTGCAGCAAGACTTGGTGGCAGCAGGCACTGAGGTTTCAGTTTGCACAGTAAGGCGCATACTAAACACTGACGGGTTCCATGTCTGGACTCCAAGACGCACACCACTACTGACCCAAAAGCACAAGAAAAGTCTGCTCCAATATGCTGAAAACCATATAAGCCACTGAAGTTTTGGAATTCTGTTCTGTGGAGCGATGAGACAAAACTGGAACTATTCGGGCCTATGGATCAGCGCTATGTCTGGAGGAAGAAGAATGAAGCATATGCTGAAAAGAAAACCCTGCCTACAGTGAAGCATGGCGGTGGCTCAGTGATGCTCCGGGGCTGCTTTGCTGCCTCTGGCACTGGAAACCTGCAGCGTGTGGAGGGCACGATGGATTCAGTCAAATATCAGGAAATCTTAGGAAAAACGGCATACCGTCTGTGATGAAGCTGAAACTTGGGCGTCATTGGACCTTCCAACAGGACAATGATCCCAAGCATACCTCAAAGTCCACCAAGGCTTGGTTTCAGAAGAAGAATTCTAGAGTGGCCGTCACAGTCGCCTGACTTTAACCCCAACGAAAATCTCTGGTGGGATTTGAAGAAGGCGGTTGCAAAACGCACACCAAGAATATTACTGAACTGGAGGCCATTGCCCGTGAGGAACGGGCTAAGATTCCTCAGGAACGCTGTCAGAAGCTGGTGTCTGGCTATGCATCACGTTTGCAGCAGGTCATGACAACAAAAGGGTCCTCTACTAAGTACTGAAGATGCTGGTCATGAAGGGGTTGAATAATTTTGAGACTGCAGTAAATTCATTAAAAGTAGCATTTTGTGTTGAATTTGGACAAAACCTGTAATATTAGTTTCATTAAACTACTTTAAACAATTATTGTGTAATTTGTTTATCGCAAACAGCTGAGAAATTGTATATTTTGCCAATAAACCTAATGTGCAATGAGGGGTTGAATAATTGATTGCAACCAAGTTAGTTTTGTCCAATTGTAAAGGCTGCGGTGAGGCTGGTTTTTAAATCTAATCACTGCAGGTAACAAGACAGTTAGAAAAGCACTTGCCATACAAACCGCACAAGTACAGAGCGTCTGGTGTAAGTATTGATCGTGCTGTTAAGTCCCTGCTGCTGTTCCTCATTCTAAACAAGATATTACAGCAGCGGTTTAGCCACAATGGGTTTGTGTGTTAGGTATTGAGTCCCTGGTGCGCAGTCTGAAGGAGGCTCTGCAGTTGACCAACATGGAAGTGCCGAAACAAGGTCTGCTGCTCCTCACGGAGATACTGGAAAGGTGAGACAGCACGTTATTTATATATATATATATATATATATATATATATATACATATATAATCTCACACACACACACAGTTAAGAAACAGTATTTCTTCCTTTACAGTATGAATGTTTTGTTTACATGTTGTGATGTCATGAGAGGCACCGCCGCTCGACACCAGGGTCAAAATGTAAACAAAAGGTTTAATTCACGTCCTTTGGATTAAACAGAAAAACAGTAGTCAAAAATGTGTAACTTAAGCTTCGGTCAATCTTCGCCGGTAAAACTTAAATAATGCCTCGTCTTCAGAGAGGAATCAGAAATCCACCTCCCTCAAGAGAATATACCGTCTTCAGTCTCTCCGGTTTTTCGGGAATCCTCCTGCATTGGTCTGGTCTTCTGCATCGGGCCCAACCTGCAGCTCGTCTCTCTCTTCCCCTCAACGGTGTGTCTCCCGCCCTTATGAAGGCCTTCAGGTCGTCATACCCCGATGGGTGTGAGGGGGATGCTCGGAGTGGGGTTCCTAACTCCACCGGCAGATGAAGCCATAGCAGTTACAGCCATCGGTGAATGTATCTCCCTTCCAAGACCCAGCCTTTCGTGACATCACAATGTGTTATCTTGAATATATTATATTTAGGCAATAAGGTACGAGAGGCAGTACTGTATCGTCAATATGTCCTGTTCACAGGCCCGGCGCACAGCAGAGGGCCGGCAAACCTTTGATCCACAGTAATTTGTGCATCGTCTGAAAACATCCCCGGTCTCCTTGCTAGATACAGATTACTGTGGCTGGCATGAATCCACGCTGTTGTGTCGTCTACAAGTTTTCACAACGCCAACAAAGACCTTGTTTGCGGGCGTGAACGCGCCATCAAACACTAGCACTGACTCACCGGTGGATCATTGATCTGTTCAGTCCCAAACGTAGGCAGACGCAACTGCTAGTTCCGTTTCCATTGTGCACAGTGCCATAAAAAGCCTGCAGAATTTCATCTACATCTTCTGTTGCGTCTGTCTCTTCGCACTAGCAGGTGAGGCAGTTAATGGGCCACTTCGCTTGACCGACAGTGTTTTCTCAATTCATTTCTAATTTCTGAAAGTTTGACGTCCACCTCGACCATCCTCTTCGGCTAACCACTCAAGAGTCTTTCCCCCCCGAAATATCTCTATAAGTTTACACGAAACATGTTTGCTAACTGTCAAGCGTGAAATGACAACTAACTGTCGCACAAAATCTACCTGTTCTTTTTGAGTGTGCCCTGATATGGAACCTTCAGGTGAATGTTAACAGGTGTACAGTCACAATGCTTCATTTCATCTACTCATATTATAATTCATTTCATTAAATAGAAGTGTGACAAATATGCAAACAAAAATTAGGTAGGGACAAATACTTTTTCACATTGTGTGTGTGTGTGTGTTTATGTGTATATCTGTGAAATGAATTATGCTTTGATTTAAGCATCCCGGTTAGCTGCAGCAGTTTTCCTTGCAGACACTTAATGAGCTTTTGTATCTGCAGCCGAGACGCCGGCCGCACTGAGAAGGATTGAAAAATGACGTCAGAAACCTTGTCCTGGTTACTGAGGATGATCCACAGACCTCACATTAAATAGCTTACGTGGGAAATTATTTTTCCGCTGAAGAAGCAATTTTGTAGTTTATTCACTGAACTCTGAAGAAAGATGTATTGATTTGACATATTTATTATGCAGTGAGTTAAATGTTTTAATTTTCCCCTGGGATCTATTTAACTTTGTCAAATGTGTTGCCAGTTGATCACATTTTATTATATAATTGCATCGGGATTATGATTAAGGTCATTCCTTTTTTCCATTTTTTTCCATTTTGTGGCATTTGATTTTTATTTATTTTTTTGTCTTTATAACTGCAGTTATAATGAAGCCATTCGTTCTGAAGCTATTGCATATTAACATCACAAGTATTCTGATGAGGTTGTACTGCATGTTTGTACATAGACCTTAGTACCATTAAAAGTTTGAACACACTTTCTCATTAAATTGAATGAGAAAATGTGTCCACGCTGGGTACTGACTGGTACTGTGTATATACACAGACCTCCTCTAAAACGTGTTAAATATGGTGCACTGGGAAGTTTAATTATATTTTAATTAAGTGTCTGCTGGCTCGCAAATGAAAATATATCACTAGCCACTAAAACGCTGTCATATTTTTGCAAGGTTGACATCATTTTAATGGAATGTTCGCTCCGTCACATTACATGGCGATGATCCCGAGGACAAGAGATTTCAAACAGGGAAATTTCTCCTTTACGCTGAGTGGAAGAGTGAAACAAGTTGCCAGACCTGTGCTCTTAAAAGCTGACTGTGCGTGTGTGTGTCACGGTGATGGCCATTGCATACATTGCAAATGTGTGAATGAGTGCTTCTGTTTGGGGCTGTGTGTTTGCATCCATAGATAAGCACCAACGTGTTTGTGTGTGTCTGTGTGTGTGTGTGTGTGCACCGTTATGCATTGATGTGTTATTTAGGATGTTCTTTGTGACTGCTGTTGTGGCAACAGCGAGTCAGCCCCAGACCAGGGGGGAGAGGCTGGTGATGCTTATAACGCCAATAGGTCAGCACTATTTGTTTGTTGTGTGTCCCTGCGCTGACAGAGAGGAGATAAGTGTCTGCGTGTACGGCAGCGAGACGGAGGGAGGGCGACTTCCTGCTGTCAGTCACTGCTGGTATTGGCACAGTGAGATCAGGCAAAAGAACGGACTAAAACGCCAAAAACCCATATGAGCAAAACGTTGTGAAAGGCCCCTCCCCTCCTCTGTACTTTTGTCACATTTTCGCTGACTCATTTATTTGGTAGTTGCTCAATAATTGATTATTTTCAGTGATCCCGGTGGAATTTATCGGAGATGCTCTGGCTGCATGATATTGGAAAAAGTTGACGTTGGAATGTTTCCTTTTTCCAAGATATCAATACAAGGAGACAATTCTACCCTCAATTTTGTAAAGGAAAGACATTAGTCTAATGCACTGACAGCAAAATTAAAAAGGCCAGATGTATAAACAATTATTGTGCTCTAGTAAATAAAATAAAATCGTGAATCACGATTCATGGTTGCCGTTTCGATTCATGGACGACGCTGGTAACGCTGCTAGAGGTCCTGACTGTCGGCGTTGTTTAATCCCACGGCGCCTTAGTAGATTCGGAAAGATTCGTCGTGTTTCCGTGTTTTTTTATTTGGCTTCTACATATTCTACAAACAGCGACCGACTTATTTAGAACACCTCCGTGTTTGCAAAAGCCAAAATGTTTCCACACGCTGGATCGATAAGTTGGTTTGTAAATGTCTCGCTCGCAGTCGTCTCCTCCACGCTGTGTTTTGTTGTTCAGAGTTTCACGCGGCTGCCGCTGCGTACTGATGACGTCACAGACAGGCAGACTGAATCGAGTAACGTTTAACGTGTCTAAAGTGCTAAAAAACAAACACACACATCCATACAGTTTTTGTGCTAAAATCCAATGTGCAGTTTCCAAGTATCGATACAATCGATTGTGTACCATTTCAATCGATTTGTAATCGATATATGTCGTCCGGAATGCCGATTTGCGGAGCACAGATCGATTCAGTTGGATCGCAGGAATATAAATCGATTAATCGATTCAGTGAATGAATCGTTACACCCCTAGCGTTTACTCTGTTCATTATGTAACAAACCTGCCTGGACTGGTAGGAGAATGACACACATGGCGATTTACCATGATGAGCCAGCGTGTCGTGCAGCCCTAATAGATGTCCAAGCACATTTTAAAAATGGCACTTGTGTACTTGTGCACAGGCAGCCCCCGTCCGAGCGGCTGTTTCCCAGTGCCTCGGGCTTTGAGGCGGTGTCAGAGGCGGTGTTAGGTGGAGTCTCCTCCTCCTGCCTGCGGGTAACCACGCACGCTGCCAGCGCTGCATCGGCCCTGTTCAGGTAGACACAAACACATCTGGCAGAGGGACACACAACACTTTGTCTTGAGATTGAAAAAGTTGGGATTTTTTGTGAGTTCAAATGGTTGGTTAATATTAAATACACACATCAGAGACGTAAAGGCTCACTAGGACACTCAGAAGCTTAGACACTTAGCCATACATTCTTCCCATTATGTGCCTCTATTCTACAGCCTTCTCCCTGCACCCCCCTCTCCCCCCTCCCCCCCACGTACCTAAATGTCCATTGTATAAACTGTTGTCACTGTGAATCCTCCAGACTGAACCACCAATCCAGACCTGTCCAGTACGGGAAGATAGTGGCATTGATCGAGGCAATCACCAACAAATTCTCAGCGCTGCCGCAGCACTCTGCCGCTGCCCATCGAAGCTCTGTGAGTTAGTTCTTCTTCATGTCTGATCCGCAAGTATATACGATACACACTGTTCAATAACCTGTAGTGTAGAGAAGTGCCTGTGTCGCCTGTCCTCGACTCTGCTTTGCGGAGAGTATTTTTTTTGGTCATCACAGCTGACAAATCAGCTTCTAAACGCTATCTAGCAGCATGTCACTTGACAGCGAGGGAAACGTCACAACCATTCCACACATTCTTGGTCTTCACTCTGCTCGGATGACTTGCACTGACTGGAGCCAGCCAGGGTCGCTTTTGAATAAAATGAAATGTCTGTTAGCAAGCAAAGGTCGCTAATTAGCGCTACCAAGTTTTCCATTAGCTCCCTCTAATGCTCGTCTGACTGCTGCACAGACAAGAAATGTCCAACCTGTGTTAAGCTTACAACAACAGGACTTGTTCTTTACAGGCATCTTGCATTTCTTTCCTACCCGGTGTTGACAACTACTCAGCAGGGAACGTCGCTATTGTCTGTCCTAGAAGTCGCTAAAGGCCGCCATCGCCTAATTTGCATAACTGTAATGCCAGCGTGACTTATTACCAAGGGTCTGCTTGTCTCACGGTCCACGTCTCCTCTCTTCTGTCGTCCTGTGACTTTTGCCCCCCCCCCTCACACCCTCCATCTTTCTCTGGTATCCTCCAGAGGAGTCTGAAGAGGTTCAACCCCAGCAGCGAGGCTTCCACTTGTGAGGGCTTTCTGCTCCAGTCCATGATCTGTTTTCAGGCTGCCTGCAGGTCAGCATGTCGTCCAGTCACGTGTTCAGAGCGGGAAACGGCTTCACTGGAACACTTGAGTCATGGAGCCATTTCCTTTTCTCATGTTTATTAGAAAAGGGGATGTACTTGTTTGTTAAAGACTTGACTTAAGTATTCTATGGAGTCGAGTTCATCTGTGTGTGTGTGTGTGTCCAAGGTTGGCCGAGGAGTGTTTATCAGAGCCTGTTCTGAAGGAGAACACGTTCACGGCCCCATCAAAACACGGCCATGCTGAGGACTCACTGGAGTTTCTCTGTCAATGTCTGCTGTGCTGCTGCGACTCTGTCTGGATGCCAACCGTCATTGTGAGGTCTAATAGCAAACACACACGTCTCTCTCTGTTTACAACATTCCTTTCCGGAGAAATGGATGGCGACTATGAACTTTTATGAAAGTTTTTTCTACATAACTCTGTATTACTAAGCGCAGCCACACAGCCGCCGTCTTCATTAGTTTGTGTATTCATGGACATTTGAGCGTGAACATCATTCTGTGCCTCTGTTGTTGCCAAGTAAATGTTTTATCATGTCGTATTTTTAGAAAGTTGGTTCTGTTCAGGGTAAGAAACCAGCAGCCATGACATTTGTTTCCACAGCTTGTGCTTGGGTAATTTGTCTGTGATTGTGTGTGTGTGTCTGTGTGTAGAGGATGTGTGAGCATGCACCCAACGCTCAGATACTGCAGTACTTCTACTCCGTCCTCTCCTCTCAGTTCACCCTGTGTCCGTCTCTCATGCCTGCCTTTGCAAATAAGCTTGGTGAGTCACTGAACACTGCAGGCGTCCCACGATGTTTCAAATTCCAAATCAACCACAGCATTCTAGGTCCGGGAAGTTTTTTTTTTTAATTGATGGATGTAATGATTTAATTGACAACATGTTTTTAACTCAAAAACATATTCAGCTTGGATCTGTTCATGTTGGCGCTTAGCCAATAACAACCTTTCTCTGCAGACCCAAGAAATGGTTTTCTCTCCTGCTTGCTGCACTCAAAGGGAGACGCACATCTGTGTTATCAGGGCAGACTAACGGCACCAAGAGTGACATTATTTTAAAAAAGTAATGCAAAAGCCCTGCGAACAGTTGCCGCGCTCATCAGCGATGGGACTAATTGCCCGACTGTTGACTTGATGGCATTTTATATCACTGCAGGGGAAACGAAGCAATCCGTCCAAAGCTGGCAGTCAAAACTATGAGATTCAATTATTGACTGCAGACGCGTCGCCTCGGGCATCGTATCGGGCCGGTGTGGGGCATTAGACAGAAACTTATGCTCATATTTACCTCCAATGGGACCAAATGATGAGCGCTCTCCCCTTGATCCAGTGTTGTATTATAATGAGGCTGAATCCTGCCACTGATCTCTCACACTAAATTAACAGGTGTCTCGTGCTACTCTACGACTCCCGTGTTATATGTCTATTCCTTTATTCTACTCTTCTCCCCTTGTCTCCAGCGTCCTCTGGTTTCTTCAGGCTGCCTCTGGAACACAAAAGTCTCCTCTGCGCAGGGAACAGGTGAAGTCTGCCACCATGACCCAAGGACACACTCGCACACCCGCACCCCGATTCAAATGCAGAGCTGTGTGTGGAACCACGGCGGCTCATAAAGTTGGGTTCTTATTATCATTCCCTGAACTACGAGACAGATAATTCCACTGAGGCATCCATCATCTCTGAGTCACTCTGCCGCTGCTCAGCAATGTGTCGGTCTCAGGGCGACAGATCAGTAGCTTCAGAGACGTGTGTGTGTGTGTGTGTGTGGCTGCATTGCGTATGTAAGCATATGTGTCATAAGCTCCAGGTCCCCTCGTTTTTTCCCTGATATGAATTTTCCCTCTTCACAATTCTTTCAGGCACCCGTACCTGAATATGTCCTGCTGTGGTTTTCTTCAGAAACTCATCAAGTGTCTGCTTTATCAGTCAGACCCTGATTCTGATTCCTGTCAGCATGGTATAATACACACACACACACACACACACACACACACACACACACACACACACACAGCTGCATGAAGTGCCATTTTCATTCATTTCACTTTAGAATCGTTTTTGTCTTCATTTTGACTGTCTATTGGAAAGTGACGCTCCCAGTGGACTCCTGTCAGACAAGGGAAATCTTAACAAGGTTCTTTATTTTCTGCCACTCAGCGGGGCAGTTGGAATGTATTTTTGTGTAACAGTGTGAGCTCGCACAGCAGATTTGTGCGTTGGACGAAGTTCCCACCTGACTTTAAACTTCTGTTTCTCAGAAGGTCTCATCTAGCTATACCTCCATGCTGCTCTATTCAAAATAGGATGTTTAACTAACCAAATCTGGCTGCCGATACAGCAGTTATTTAATAAACCGAGTTGCTGGAGAACATTATTTTTTAAATCTTCTAGATTCACAGGCATTGGTAAACTTACAAACTGAAATTGCTCTAAAAAAATAGATGAAGCTACATTGCGGTCTAAGTTCAGTTTCTCTTATGTTTTTCTCTTTGTGTTGACTTCAAACATCAAACTCATTAAACAACATCCTCCTCCCTAATAAAGATGCCTGTTCTCTTGAGTTAAGTCACGAATGAATCATTGAATCAACGCTTGCACACTGATGGTTGAACGCGTTGTCAGAGACACTGGAGATGAGTAAATTAAAGAAGGGACTCGGAGGTGTCGCCTGTGAACATGTTGAACGCGTAAAGTGGCCTTTAATTAAACAACGAGCGGCGCTTCTTAGTCGCTGTGCGAGACGGCGGATGAATGGTTTTCTAAATGCCAAACACCTCCAATTAAAGGGGCACTGCTCATGATTGCAAGTAAATCATGTCAAGGAAAGGTAACTTGAGGTAAGTGAGGCAAAACAAATGCTACATTCAGGCGGTGTCTCCCTTCCAATCACTTTCTCCGTGGAAGCTAAAAGGAAATCTAGGACGTTGTTCCCTGGAGACATCATGTGACATTGAGACCTGAGTGAAATTTTTCTTTGAGGTAATGAGATGTAAAAGCTGCTTGTGAAGGTGTGCGTGTTTTGGCTGTTACTCTTTCGTTCGAGTTTTCATTTGTTGTTTAAATGACATGTTGCCAATTAATGAATTATGTTAATTGTTATTTGTAGGGTGTATCATTTCTACTTTTGCACGGGTGACTATTGTACCGTATCTGAGCTCCCTTTGAGACGTCGGCCTATTCTTCTCTATTTCGTCTCCTTCATTGGTGTCTGGTGCCCCTTTTTCCTCATATTTTCTGTGCTTTCTAAACAATGCTACTAGTTGTGGCCCCATCGGACCACAGCGCTCCGTGTCTGCGGCCTTGGCCCCCTTCCTCTTCGGATTCTGTTTGTATTCATTCCTCCTTCGCTTTGTCTATTTCTTTGAAACCCATTTTCTTCTTTGGCTGATTGGTGGTCTTTCTCCCCACAGACCTCGCTGTGGCTTTATTGCGTCTGTGTGGTCATACATCAGTGACCCCTGTCCCTGTTTGACACCTCCCTTTTGGTCATTTCTTTCTCTGCTCTCTTGCAATTGCCTCATATCCTGCATATGATGTAGTTCTTCCCTCCCTCCCTCCTCAATGAAAGGTTGAAATTACTTTTTTTTTAATCTACAGACCTTTTAAGAGGCTGCATTTTGCTCCATTCTGTTTCTCTTCTGTGCCGTGTTTCAAACTGCATCTTTTCCGCTTGTTTGTCTCACTCTGTGTTGTTCTCCTTCTCCTCCTCATGAGCTGGATCTCATTTTATTCTCCCGATCCCTCCTTGCCTCACCCCTCTGTCTCACCAGCTCCCTAAAGACCACCTGGAGATGGAGGCAATGGCTCGGTGCGGATAGTCCCACTCTTTTAGCTGTTGCAAAAATCTGAATTCCCTGCTGGGCTTTACACCTGCCCCCTTTTATCTACACTATCATTTATTTATATGTACCATTTTCTTTTACCTCCCAGTCTATATTATTTTCAGTCGTATATTTTGTTAACATTCTTTAGCTTTTGCCATATTTTCAAAGATGCTGAAGAAAACACAGTTTGAGCGTTCAGGACATTGAAAGCTTGTTTAATATACAGAAAACTAGATGAATATTTTTAAAAGTGTTTCAAAATACTTGTTCATGGAATCCCAGTCATATTTTGCATTCTCAATTATAAAGCATATATGAAAAATTAATTATTTTATATGCAAATCACAAGCTTAAAAAATATAAAGAAAAGTGTGATATCCAAATAACTGCACTCGTATTCATTGATTGAGAAACCGCTTTACTTGTTTTCGTCGTCAGCACAAAATGTGTGGTTAATATATCTACATCTTTCCCTCATCCAGCTCTTATTCCTATTTCCTCTCTCGCTATAACTTTCTCCTGTTCTCGTTTCAAACATGGACCAACAACCTCATCCTTTCTGTTACTGTTTGATGTCCTCTGCTCACCCGCCAGATGTGGAGGAGGTGGAGAATCTTCTGCTGTACAACCTTCCCGCTCTGTGCTGTCGTCTGTCAGACTGGCCGTCTCTGCTGCGTGAGGCGCCGGGCCTCCAGCTGTGTGACTACAAAGGGCTGAGAGCCACCCAGTACTGCCTGGTGATAATGCTGCAGCTCGCGCTGCAGCAGGGAGACAGGTAATGCACCGAGTGCACGCGGTCAGCACCGCCGCTGGAACACACACTCAAGACAAATGGGAACATTTCCATCTCCTGCAAGCACGTTTTAGACACGCTCACTCTGGGGAATAATAATTCATCCATTCATGTTTTTGCACATTCTACTCATTAGAAAGTGAATCAATTTGAAATGGATTGAATCAATAAATGATCCAGGTTCTCCAAATTGTAAGCACTTCTTTCTAGGCAGATTATAGTTCAGGGTATAAAGAGTATATACGAAACATCTATGGAAGTCCAGGGGTCATAACTTCCTTCATAAACCACCACGTAAGCAGAAAATATCCTGTGTGAGTTAAATCATTTTCCCCAACGATGCCGACTTCATATCAGATTATTACTCGGCTCTCATCGGGAGGCTTCTGCATGTTCTTAAGAACATATTTTATGACCTCACTAATCCTTCGCCCGCTTTGATAAAGTTCAATGTCTCCTCTTTTGGATCTTTGGTTGTGCCCCCCCAATCTTCCCTCCCCCTCAACCTCCCGGGGGAAAGAGGGTGAAATCCGCCCTCCTTCCACTGTGTGGTCTCATCTTGATTATTGGGAGCTGTGGCCAGAGATCTACATAGCGTGGGAGGACTGAGTGTGTACTCAGGGAGAGGATCTGTGAATGCGTTGGTATACATCCGGACGCTGCGTGTGTGCATTCCTGTGTGAGAGCGAGAGATATCGAGTTCGGGGACATCGATGCAGCCCTGCAGTCTGAGTCTGCTTTGCACACACAGTTAGTGTGTTTATCCACTTGATTACGTCACCCTCACCTCGCCTGCTGGGGTGTGTTTGATGTTCGTGTGTGTGTGTGTGTGTGTGTGTTGGTATACATTCCAATGTAAGTGTTTGGCCACATCTACTATTTACAGTCAAAGTGAATGTTTTCCCTGCTGTGCACGTGTTTGTGATCCAGACTTCTCCCGGAGCAGACGGCGTTCTCCAGCGTGATGTGGCTGCTGCATTCGGTGGAGGCGCAGGCCGGCAGTGCCCTGCCTCGCTTCGTGCTCCGCTCTGCCCTCTACCTGCTGGCAGTGACGCAGGATAAGAGCCCCACCCTCGACGCGGTAACTAAGAGCACTTAAACCGTTGCTTACGAAAGGAGCCCAGCAGATGGGCAGAATCGAGGTACAGCTAGAGAAACGTTTAAACTGTGTTTCAGGCTTTTGGGTACCAGTCCGTGTCTGGCTAGTACCACTTCAGTACTCTTCTACAATAGAATATTTAAATCTTAGGCGAAAAGTACTCTGCCCTAGTTTTACATTTTCTACTTAATATTCTCTCTCCAGTGAGTCAGCCTAACAACATGAAGGGAAATCCTCAAAGCATCTCGGGCAGGAGAGGTTTAACACGAGCACTGCTACGTGAACGTGTCAGTGCTTCATTGAGATGAAGGTGTACAAAGTGATGTTTCCTCCTGTACACAGAGAACGAGAGCAGCATGTGCTAGAGCCCTAGTTCTGCACGGTTTTAATGTGGGAACCATGAAGGACACGCTTTACTTAGAACCAAAGCTTGACAGCTCATATTAATCTTTTGATGCAAAGTCCATATTGAGCTACATGACTCGACAGTGACGAGTGGTAATTAAAGCTCACCCGTTTTCCACAAGCTACAGGAATAATTTAAAATGATGCTCTTATATTCAGTTTCAAGCACAGTACAAAATACCAAATAGCAGTGTGCAAAGTACTGGACTGAAACGGAAACTTGACTGAGACCTCCTGAAAGTAATGTTGCAAGGTGTATCGGTACTAAAAAGGTAGGGCGGTACCCGTACGTTAAAAACAGTACTGACCGCATGGGAGACACTCTGCACTCTCACAGACTTTGAGCGCTCCTGCTGACTCTGTGAGGGTTTAGTTCTGTGCCATTGTCAAACCGTTGAGTGTTTAAGGCTCTCAGACAGACCTTTATGAACCCTTTCCATAAACAAGTATTTGATGCTGACCCAAGGGAATTACCTGTAAAGCCTAGTTTATGCTTCTGCGTTTTCAGAGCGGCGCAGACGTCCCTTGCGTCGCTTTTCACACCTCCTTGCGTCCTTGCGTGTGTCGAGCCATTTTTCTAGGCTACGCAAGCAACGCAAGCCTCCCACAACGCACAAGGCTGCGATTGGTCCGCTAACTACGTCCTTTACGGAGTCTCACATTTCATAGCCCGATACCGCCATTATTAAAACGAAGAATGTTTACGAGAGAACGGATCAAATTTAAGAACTTTTGTCGGAAGAAATGCGTAAATGTGACCGCTTCTACAAGCCGTCATTGGCGGGTTGTATAAGCGGGTTGGATTCACGGAGGGAGATCGCCGTAAACGCCGGTTTGCCGGTCGAGAGGTGCACAAAGTTGTGGAGGAAAATACGGGACAAATGTGTCCGCGATGAAAAGCAGCAGTGGCGATGCACGGGGCAATAAAGTCTATGATAAATAAATAAATAGACGTGACTCTAGGTCGTCTTCAACAAAACACGTCACTCCGCCTGTTGTTCTGGCGGTGAATTGCTCTGCAACACACGCAGAACCATGAATTCAAACGAGTGCGTCGACGCAACGACGCAGACGCAAACGCAGAAGCACGCGTCAGCCTTAAGCGATTGCAATGTGACGTCAAAAACGGGATAACCAATATAAGCACAGAGGCGTAGGAAAAGGTAAACAATGAGGACGGCACACTTGTGTTCTGAGTGTCATATTTAAATGTATACTTTTCAAACGTCAAGAATTAAAGACACACACAAACACACAAATTCAGATGATATTTATTGAAAGACATTCAAAGAGTTAGATATTAAATAAATACCCTCCATTGTAAATCGTATTTTTTGACGTTGTCATGGTGACGTGACATGTAGCAAAGTGTGGTATCATTCATATTTACACCATTTCAAGCCTTCACAGACTCTCACACGTAACCACTTACCAGGGGATGTCAGTTAAGTCCCTGAGGGTTCAGCGTTTAGGGGGGAGATTGGAAATGGGCCTCAGGTGCAAAAGCTCTGGTTGGGGAAAAAAGGTGCCAGAAGTGAAATCTGGAAGCAATTTGGCTACATTACATAGCTGTGTATAATCAAGGCTATGATGGCACCAAGTGGTTTTCATTGATATGTTGCTAATAGGCTAGAACACCAGAGCACGAGGTCGGTGGACCCACCAATCAGCAACGGGTATTTTTCCCACTGCTGAATAGTGTGTACTATGAAAATGTGTAAGCTGGAGATTCCAGGTGGCGTCTTATGTGTCTGTGACTTATGGCTCTGCCTTGCTGAGGGTTTAAAAGCACATTCAGGCTTTTCTTTTTAAATGGTTAGTGTGCTCTTCCCAAAGAAAGGGCTTCAGCTTATTACATTTTTCTTTCGCAACACATTCAAGGCTCCTCTGAACTGCATCAGCAAGGCACTCTCCTCCTGCCAAAGCTTCCCCTCCCTCTACATTCGCCATCCTGCTCTCCTGCACTTCATCTGGCGATATCCAGGTCTAGCAGAGAAATACGGGCCTCTGGTCCTGGAGCTGTGGTTGACCAAGAAAGCTCAGCACAGAGATGCAGAGCCGACCCCGGTGAGGGCTGATTGTTACTTCCATCTCGTCATTGGAAACGGGTTAGAGAAGGACAGGCACAATTTCTTATCCTCACGCACTTTACTTGTTTCACTAATTAAAACTTGGGTAATTCATCTTAGAATTTGTTTGTCATATTCTAGGAATTTTCCTTTACATCCAATAGTTCAACAGCTCCTGTCAATGACAAGCTGCTAGAGCAGCTGTTAGAACTAACAAACTAACCAATGTAATAATTCTGGGGATTGGCTTAAGAGGGAGGCCTAAAATGTTGGCAGCACTAAGGGGAGTTTTTTGGTTGGCAAATAAAAACAGAAAATGCTTAACATGCCTGGTTTTTCCACATTTAGTTAATGAAATTGTTAGTATGTGTTTTTAATTTCTCTTTGAGGTCTCACAAAAAAAAAAAATTGATGTGAAATGGTTGGATTTCATTACTCGGTGTAGGCGGCCACTGCGGTGAGGAGAGAAAGCCATGCAGACGAAGAACACAGAACAGGCACGGAACAGGAGCCAGACACCGAGACCATGGAGCTGCTGACTCTGACTGAGGACCACCCGGCTGTCATGTTGACCCTCCTGGTAAGAACTAGTTTGTGGAAAACGCATATTCATCTTTAACCTATATTCATTACCGCTTCACTCTGTAAAGACAATACTGGTATACAGAGGTCTTAATGGATCTGTCTAAGCCTGTCTGTATGACTACAGGACATGGTTTGCAGCAGGGAGGCGAGCCTGGCAGGGCGAGCCCTGGCTGTGCTGGAAGCTCTTATTTGTCGTCAAAGAGACTATGACGCTGACTTGTGTGCCAACCTTAGGCCAGCCCTGCTGCAGGCATTAAAGATGCTCAGCGTGAACATGGGACAGGAGCTTGGACAGGGACACACAGCACAGGGTAGGATACATAAACACACATAAATATATAACTATTAAAGCCATTCATGAAGCATCCCCGGAGAAAACATTTTGAGGGAAAAACCATCACAGTCCTGCAGCTCCTGTAGCTCAGGGAATGGATGAGAATGTATAAATAATGATGAGCTGTAGTGTTGCAATAGAGAAATGTGTGTTAGTTGCCAGGTTTTGCTACTTAATAGATTTTGCCGTCGGGACCTCTTGAGACACATTGCTGGCAGGTGAAGAAAAAAGAGCTGAGGAACCTTCTGCTTGTCTCTGCTCTTCCCAGTAAAAACATTCTGGCGTTGAATAAAATATGAGTGAGGGTAGAATTGGAAATGTAAACTCCAAACTTTGGTGGAATCCAACTGCCACTTATTAGATTATGGAAGCAGATCTAGCAGCCACTTGCATCTTTAACAGGATTTGGCTGATTTCATTTTAAACACTGAAACAAATGATATTGGGGTTTTAAACAATATGGAAATAACAATTGCCAGACTGTAAAACATCTATAAAGTCATGTGCATGGATTAAATGGGTCACTGGGCTTCATTTTATTTGGCAACATGATGAAAAGGCACTTTAATTTCCTCATTGGAAAGAATAGGTATGATTTATGTTTGTTTGGTCGTCTGCTGTGCCAACATTTTCCCTCTGATGGTTCTAATTGTTATGAATGAATAAATAGAGACATCATTGAAGGTGAGCTCATTACGGTCACATTAAGAGAGAGGGAAATTATGAAAAGGCTCTCAGATCTTTTATCGTCTTACTCCAACACTCCAGAGTTCATGTTGGATTGAGTTTGACACTTCATTGATCACCAACTGAGAATGCTTTACACGGCCCGTAATATTATGCCGTACTAATATCTTTGCCCTTTAAAGGTAGCACATGTGGTGGTGTAATTCGTTTTGGTTGTTTTGCCAGGCAAACTTGGTTTAGCTGAAATGTAATCACGAAGTCTCCCTTAGATCTTGGTTGTTTCTAAATTGGATTGAAATGGAAAACAGGTCCCAGAACACTTGTCGCTTCTGATTAATGTTTGAAGGGAAGAACCATTAATCCTCCGTTAAGACGAATCCTCCCAGCATCCTTCGTCGGTGCAGGCGGCGTCGGCGTCGGTGCAGGCGGTGAGAAATGAGGGAACTGTTTATCTAGTTCCCTTTCCTGTGTGAAGTGCATATTATTGATTTAGTTTCAACAGATAGTATCTGTCTGCATGAGGTTGCTATTATAGTCTTTTTGTGTTCCTACATCCAGTGATTTGCAGAAGAAAACAGTGTCGGCTTTAATGTAAACTAAAAATGAGAAGTGCACATTTGGGAAGATATCTCAAAGAGACAGTTTAAATCTCTATAGAATCTGTGGCATCCTAAAAAAAAGTCACAAGCAGTCTGATGCGGGTGACTGCGCTTTATCGTTACTTCTGGACCTCAGTTCTGCGTTCGACACTGTAGATCATAACGTGTTGATTAGGTGGCTACGGGAGTGGGTGGGCATTTCTGGCATAGCATCTGGCTGGCTTACCTCGTGCCTTGCTCACACAAACCTTTAACGCCTCTGAGAGGGAGTTTGTATCTGATACGTCTCCATTGTTTTGTGGTGTACCACAGGGCTCGGTCCTGGGGCCTTTGTTATTTTCTCTTTATTTGTTACCATTAAGACAAATTATAAAAAGTCATGACGCAGATAATTTACAACTCTTTCATTTAAACCCAGTGTGTTAACTTCACAGTAACTAGGATATTTGTCAATCACTGTGACTAGACAGCAGAAAACTGCTTACAACTGAACAACAGTAAGACAGAGTTTGTAGTCATTGCACCTGATGATCAAGCAGAGTATTGGTCCGCTCTCTTCTGCTGCCCGCTGCAACGAAGGATTTTCTGTGATCGATCCTTGTCTTTTGACCCCCATACTAAGCAGCTGTCTAGTTCCTTTTTTCCCACATCTTTAAACTCAGATCTGTGGTCTCAACCGCTAAACTTGAGATGATCATACATGCATTCATCTCGTCACGCATTAACCATTGTAAATTACGTTTTTTCATCACTTAGTGTAGCTGCTCTGAACCGTTTACTCAATCGACGGTCTCACTTCACCCCCATGCTGCGATCCCTCCACTGGCTCCCAGGAGCTTTTAGGATGCACTTCACAATTCTCACTCACGTACAGAGCGCTGCGCGGTCGGGCCCACGCCTCTGTAGCTGATTTACTCCACTCCTACGCACCCGCTCGCACTCTCAGGTCTGATGTCTTAGTTCTTCTGTCTGTCCCTCGTACACGCCGTGGTGATTGAGCTTTTGAGGCAGTAGCTCCTCTGTGAACGTATTCACTCAGCAGCTCAAAACACACCTTTTTAAACTGGCGTTTTTTACCTTACAAAACGAATAGATTACAGTTAATTACAATTCCATTGAATCAGTCGTTTGACAACATTTGAGTAAAATTACAATTCAGTACGATCAAGACGGCACAATTCAAGTTCCCTCTAAAGTTAATGATTGTTACTAACTAATAAGGAGAAACCACATCTTCTAGAAAGTAGAAAAACACTTCTCTGTAACTGGAGATGCCCTAAATACAAAAATAGTTAAAAGTTATTCATATTCATTCTTTGATTTTTATTTAAAATGTTGGCTTGTCCAAATAAAGTCAGGTTTTGAACACTCGGGGTTCAATTCCCGGACGTGCTGCGCAGTCCAAGCATACTTGGCTGTTGCTTTTGGTCAGGGCGTCTACCAGAAGGTGGTACTATGTCTGTGTACTTGTTCAGGTTACACACACCAGGGGGCCAGCGGGGGATTCGCTAACCGTTGCTGCGGTTCGTCTCTGCCTGCTTTCTGCTCATCGCAGACCCCGGGGGGATCACAGCCCGCCATCCGTGCATGTGCTCTGGCTCAGCCCACTGTAATTTGCATTAATATACACTTCGTATTAGCCTCTAATGCAGCGGCTTTCCACGGGGAGACATTTTAATGTAGTGCACTACTGAAAGGCTTGTCTGATCTTCCTGCTGCCGACTTCCTGCTCTTTCTCCCTTCCTCAGGTCCCGTCTCTACTTTCCCTCGGTTTCTTACTCCCTCAACCCATTCTGAATTCAGACTCCGAATATCACTGTTTTAAAATGCGCACAGTATTTTTGTTGCATTTGTGAGAAAGATGTGCTCACGCCCTTCTTCTTCCGGACTCCTCTTGATAACCTCTGTGTGCACTTTGTTCGTAGACCAGAAAGTGCATTGTCTTCTGTCATTCCAGTTTAAATGTCCCCGACTTGAACTGAACTGGAAACCTCTGTGGGAGCATCAGCTCCAGATGACTGCACCTCTTCCTCATCTTCGTCTCTCCCACACGCACACACTGTTGACTCGCTTCATTCTGCTCATCGTTTTATTACCCTGGTCTTCTATCTTCCGCTGCACTTTCTCACACTGTCTTAATTATTTTAACTTTTGAATACATGTGATCCGTCTCTCTTTGATCTTTGTCCCATTCGTGGTTTCTGTGCCGCTCTGTTACTCTCTCTCCCTCTCTCTGTTTAGCAGTGAACTCACTCCCTCTGGTGCTGAAGCTGCTTTGTGCGATGCAGGCCAGCGACCCGCCTTCATCTTCCTCCTACAGTAAGATGGACGGAGTGCACTTCAAGCTGCTCTATCACGGTGAGGTCGAAAAGGTGCCGCCGGCGGGTCATAGTGGGCTAAACGCCACACCGCCTGACACCTAAACGCTGTTCACATGTGAGGCACGCGCCCCACGTTCAACCCTCGCTAACGACACACAATATGCATTTGGTTATCCGCGGTCGTGAAGACAGACTCCTTCAGTTCCTCCCTCAGGCAGCCACCTCCATGCGACATTACAGACACATGATCATCCAGAAACTAAACACATTCAACACGTGCTCTCACCTCCCCCCGCGTGCACGTATATTCGGTATTTAATATCCTCCTCAACAGGGGAGTGCTCGCTGATGAGCCGCAAATGAATGTCGGGCAACTTTAAAGCTCTGAGCTCTTACGATTAGAATCACATTTGTGCGTCTTTATGCCTCGATGTCAACGCGGCGTCGTCCCTCTGTGACTTGTTTGTTTACTGCGTTAGTGGAACTCATTTTATGTGGGTAGTTATATTCTCCAGCTTCTCATCTATGATATATACACCGTCAGACCAAATTAATTCAGCCTATACCGACCGGTAGGAGACGTGACGTGACTGTAAATGTTTGTCTTTTTTATGTATGTATTATCGTGCCTCGATGTCTCTCCCCTCTATAAGAAACGACGAAACACCGAGCGAGGCGTCTGTATTGAATTTGTGTGCTTGTGTGTGTTTCAGTGAGTAACATCGCAGGGCGGCTGAAGCCTACCGACACGGGGAGCCTGCTGCCTGCCCTCAGCTACCTGTACTGCTGCCTGAGTCTCTCCCCAGCACACTGCACTGACAGAGGTTAGGTACACTCTTCTTCTCCTTGTTTGTTCTGCACCCCGTCCCCGCACACCGCTTTGTATATCGGAAGCGAAAAGCAGACCTTAACATCCCAGCATCCAGCATTGACACACAGAGGAATTAATCGTCATACAAGCTGACACCTGCTGTGTATCATTACATGATGGTCAAGTTGGAGAGAACATTTGCACGAGCTCAGGCGCATAGACAAAACCACCCGTGCACACATACAGGCAGTAACACGGTCAACACACGTAAATTGTCAGGAGGGTGGACACAGTCGGTCTATTTTTATTTCCATTTTGCACTTACTAGAAAAATAACACATTGGGGCTGGAGAATTGTTCATACGAAAAACAGAAATCCCTCCTGCTGAATCCTACACAGCATGTACAATCTGAACCAATGAGCGCAAACACAGAATAAATAACCACAGCAGCAGTTAATGAATGTGATGGGAGTCATTTACAGCGAGCTGCCATCAACAGGCGTAATAACGACTCGTCGAACTTCCCCCTACCAAAGACATCACTTATGGGAAATGACATGTTGATTGCCATTGATTTCATTCCACGCTAAATAATTAAGAAGATGCGAGTCAGCCGAGGTCAGCAGCAATGAGCTGCTTTGTAGTTAATAAGGCGATTCTAGTGGCGGGAGAGCAAGCGTTTCTTTGTGGAGCAGAGCTGATTATGCCCGAGGCATTTGTTTTCTGCTGTCAGCTACCAACATTCACCTTCTGCTTCCTCATCACTCGTGGTGAGTTTACAGAAGCAAGTAGCTTCAGCCTCAGGCTCGATGTTCTTTCAACTGCTGGTTGTAGATGAAGTCAAACCAAAAGACACTGTGTGAGAGTGAGTGTGTCGAAACGTGGGCCCATGTGTGTGTTCGTGGGGTCGTGTGGAAAGGTTGGTGGATTTGTTTTGGTTGGCAGAAGAGCGTGTGTGGTTGCCCGCAACATATCACCATGCAGACCAGACCAACTGCGATCCTCTCACACTCACGCACATACACACTGAAATATCAGCACAGATCCAATCAAAGTGTGATAACGTGGTGCTTTGTCCTCCCCAGCTGTCACCGTGCTGCTGTCCAACAGTGGACTGACGGACCAGCTGCAGGCGGTCTTCTCCTCGTCCTCCTGCCCTTCATCCTCTCCTCCATCAGCCTGTCCCCCCTCAGCGCTGCTGTGCTGCAGCCATCTCCTCCTGTCCTCGCTCATTACCTTGCAGCGCGTTCACTCGGCTCAGGTACACACTGCAGCTCTGCTCTGCTCATATCACAGCTTCCTGGAGAACTTCATGAGGGCACGTAGATCCATGGAGAGATGGAGCGTGGATTCAGATGTGAACACGGAATACAAAACACTGTTTGATGCATATCACAGTCAGGATAAAACAAGGCGCTTTCTTCTCTGCTCTCTGCTGGCACCGCAAGGTTGATACATTCCAACTTGCAATGCAATGTTTTAATAGGTTATTCTCCCCTCGCCTCTCTCACTTCACTCTCTCTCATTATCTCTGTTATTTAAGGTCAAAAAGAGCATCGGCTGGAGTCTGAACGCAGCCGTGCACCGACTTCTTGTTCAAAAACGGAACACAGACAATCTCTTGCTGGGTAAAAAAACTTACATGATTATTTTGAAAACACCTGACAGCAGGTACGAAAAGAGTTCATCTCCAATGCAAGTGTGGTGTTTCAAGCAAGTGTGGGTAAGCTGAGAGTGTGTTCCTGAAAGGATTTGGTGCTCAGCTCCTGTTTTTCTCTCTTCCCCTATTTTGTTTTTGTCATCTCAGTTGTGTGCATTCTCTTAATGCAGCATCTTCTCAGCTTTACCCTTTGTGTATTTCTTGCACTACTCCTTTTCACACCATCCAGTGCAATTACAGACACTGAAGGGTTGGTGAAACCAAGACGGCTCAATGCACGTCAGTAAAGCTTTTCAGGCGTCTCTGATTATTGCAGCAACTGTCGCGACACTGCGAGAGCTCTGAGGATAGACAGGACAAATGAGGTTCACCTGCAGTTGTTTCTGTGTCTGTTTGTTAATTCTTCTTTATGCTTGGTTGAAATACCCGAACGCTGGGCATGAATTTAGACTCACTTTAATTATATTAAGCTGCACCACTGGGGAGACAGATCATCCCCGCTGCTCCCGTCTGTGTCTGTCAGATGGATAAGTGGCCTGTCAGGGTTGCTGTGATGTATCGGCTCCGTCCTCTCTTTCCGTCTCCCTCTCCTCACTCACTCTGCCTCCCTCCCAACCTCCCTCTCTCTCTCTCTCTCGCTCTGTGCTGTGTCTCTCCTCCCTCTCTCCTGCTGCCACTAATTTAGTCCCTCAGAAAGCTCTAATCTCAGTGTGCATGGCGTTCGTGCAAGCGCTTGGCGTTTGGGTGCCTTTGTGTTCTTTGTCTCAATCACTACGTGGGTACGCCATTCTTTGTGACCTTCCTTTAACCCTGTCTGTCACTGCCTCGCACACGCTCCCTCTTGCTCACTCCGCCACATGTTAGTTCAGAAATCGCCCTCAGTTTCCTTAACTGTGAACTATGGCTTTTTATTCCCTTTACATCTTGTGTTTAACATATTTTTTTAACTACCCCATCTCACTCACCCAGTGCACTCACTCCCTTAGTTTTACAGCCCTTATGTCCTCCTCTCTTCCCATTTCCCTCTCTTCCTCTCTCTCTCTTTCTCTCACTCTTTCCAGTCAGCTACCTGAATTTGCTGCAAGTTCTCCTTGATGCCGACCTGGCATCAGCAGTGGTGCGTCTGAGTACTGGTCCTGGCCTGGTCGGTTCCAGACCTCTGGGGGTGGAAGATGGCGCGTTGTACCCGCTCGGCTCCAGAGGAACCCAGTGCCTCTCGACTGTCCTCAGTGGACTCCTTCTGCAGGTTGTACTACTTTAAACTTGAACAACTGAAATGTTCTGGGGGGATTGATTGTTGTTGTGTGTGTGTGGTTCCAAACACTTTGTTTGGACTTGTTCTTAATGGTAATATGGATTTAATATCAAGTTACACATTTCAGTCTGCTCCAGGAACTGCTATTGCAACATTTTATTTATTTATTTATTGTTTGTGAATAACGGAGAACACCATCGGCAAATTCTCTATGCTACCAGATGAATTGTTTTTTACAGCAATTGATTCTGAAATATCGTTGTGTTCCTTTTCAAGTTTTCACGTAAACATTTCATAGTAGAGCTGTTTATTTAATGAAGGATTGATGGACAGAGGTACATAATATAAAACTAAAGAAAAATTAAAATGATTTATATGAGATACGAGCCCCGAGGAAGACATCAGACTCGTCACTCTAATGCTGTGTTTTCATTCTGATTCATCCTAAACAAATGTGAATAACATTATGTATAGAGAGGTTTATTTAATGTGTTAATCATTAATCATAACTATGCGCACAAACAGCGCTGATCATAAATGTTGATATGACACCTAACGTCTTTTGCTTTACTTTCACTCATCCGTTCATTCTGCAGATAACATGAAGCCGACAGCTTAACTGCATGACACTGAAGCTGCCTTTCCCAAATAAGGTTTTGCTGGGAACGGGATTTCTATTGATTTAGCAGTTAGCATAATGGGATGGCACACTTCTGCAGAGAAAGTTATGGCATGTTAGCCGATGTATTGACTCTGGTTGTTTATTAGGAAACGGGGCTGACTGGTGTCTCGCCAGCGGTCGTTTAACAGTAAACTGGTGAAGCGCTACTTCCCCTGGGTGGCAGCCAGCTCGGCAAAAGCTGAAATCATAATCATCCAGTGCACAAAATAAAGCAGTAGGCAGACCCCTTATCAAAACACAGGATAAATTATCGTTATTAACTTCACGGCTTTCATACCACAGCAGTCTCCACCTGGTAATTCTTAAAGATCAAAGCATCACAAGACACGGAGCCACTACTACTACCACTACTACTGTACATAAAGATGAAGCAAAGATGAACCTTTACTGCCGACACTTTAAGAGCCGACTCTGGAAACAGTCACACAATAAGGGGTGCACTGTTTCTGTATCACTGAATCTAATAGATCGGCAATCAATAAATCCCAAGGCTTAAGGACTTAGGGGTCGTGCCGATGGCAGAGAGATGCTTCTGGGATTCAGCTCACTTCTGACACAAACATCGAGACACAATTGACCAAACACCTCTATCGGTATTGAGATGGCGTTTGACTATCGGTGCGTTTACAACATATCCAATAATAGCTAGAACACTGTGATGAGTTCAGACGGATACATTACCTCAAGCAACGCAAAAAGGCAAAAAAGACCAAATTTATTACATCTAATTTTATATCACAATATTGGTCATCGTATCTGGTCCAGCCTTAGAAACAATACAACGCTGTCTTGGCAACATCCAATTCTTCTCCCATTTTCTCCAGAAACAGTGGATTATGTTCAAGTATTCCTCCGCGCAGACGTCTAAAACTGTGCATTTGTTTACTACTTCATCGCAGCAGTGCTGGTCGTTTTGACTAAGGAGGACGAGAAACTTGTAAAATGTCGGGAGTGGATGCTGTGAATTTACACCGGCTTTCAGTAATTTAGTGTTTAGAGTGACAATTGATTTTTGACTCAACAGGGATGATTTTACAGCTCAATGATTTGTTTTGGGTCATTAACACTTTGCAGCCAACACAAATTTGTTATACCGTCACACACACAGGTCCACAGACTCGAGGAGGTGTGCGATGTATTTCAATGGGTAACCAGAGAGCCTGGAAAGTCTCCCGCTACTGACGTGTAATACCCGGCTCGTTTTGATGCCCATTTGCATGCAAAATGCAAACCGTGTTGTGAAACCCTGCTACAGCGGCCAGTACTACACCATATGGTCAGGATAATGACACCGGCTCTGAATGCAATTAGTCCGGATTCGATCGTGACAAGCAAACAGAGAGAGCTCAACATATATAGTTTAAAAAAGATGCACTTTAGGGTCATTTGTGCATTTTTCTTGTTCTATCCACTGCCGATGTAGCAGCAGCCCAGCGTCTGGTTCCACACCAGTGGCATTTCTTCTCTGAGTAAAAGACTTTAGCAGTGAAGTGAGGTTCCGCTTCACGCTCCGCTGCTCTGTAGTCTGCTGTTCAGCTCAACTTTTTCCACTAAATGCTCGGGGTCGTCACCAGTGGGAAACACTGCCGCTCCTCTCTTCTACTTTCTTTGACTACTTTCCTCTTTTATCCTCACTTTCTGGCCCTCCTTTCTCTCTCCTCATTTGCCGTTCTCCCCTCTTTCGTTCTCTCTCACCCCCTCTTTTTCCCTCCTATCTCCTTCCCTCTGTCTCAGGGTTAGGGTGTAACTCCAGTGTGCCGTCTCTATATCCGCGTGGCCTACTTCAGTATTTTTGGACACGACATAGTGCCGCTGTGGGAGAGACATGCATTATTAAACCCTCACTCATTCGCTCAGACCGGTGTTCTCTTGTCCTCCCTTTGGTTTCTTGGTGCCGCTCCGTCCACTGCGTCCGTGCCTGTCCGTGTCCATTGTCTCCACGTCACATTCATGCGCTCTTAGGATGTTGTTCCTTGCTCCTGTTTCAACCCGCCGCCCCTCTTCCTCCTCAGAAGCACGAGCTGTTGCTGAGAGCCTCGGTCAACTGTCTAAGCTCCCTGCTGGGCTTCCTGCAGAGGAGGAGTCCCCCTACAGGTACCAGTGTTTGCGTGTGGGGGATCTGTGCATTTGGGAGAGAGATGAAAGTGGAAACGTAAGTGTGCAAGTTAACTCTGTCTGCAGCACTGTAGCGTGCACGTTTGGTTGTGTTAGTCTGAACATCCCTGCTCTGTGATTGCATTGCACCAGGGACATTTAAACAGGATTGATCAGTACAATACAGAGTCAGACGGCCTAACAAGGTTTTTTTTTTTTCTCCCGGGGGTATTTTTTGTGTCTGGGTCATAGAAAAGTACGTGGCGAATCAGCCATATAGTCAATTCCTCGTCTACTTCCTGCTCAGCTCAGGGGACAGCTCCTGTCTGCACCCTGTCACTCTCAGGCTCATCTCACTGGTGAGTGGTTTTACACACACACACACACACACAACTCAAATTCATTTATTGGGTACGGTTCTGAGCAGCAATACATATTTGATATTAATGTCATGTAAAGTTAATGGAGGCAATATGAGAGTGGTAGGGTATTTGGATTGCATGAGTCTTGAGAATGAATATAGTGCAGTTTCATGGAGACTGGAAAATTAAATAATTCTTACCATTATTTGTGTTGTGTGAGCAGCAATAATTCCTAGAAGAACACACCAATAGTATTCATGACATTTAAGAAGCAAATATTTGAGGATTGGTGATATTTGTGTCTTTACTTTCTCAGCTAATCCATCAGGCTGTCCAACCTACCACGAAGCCCACACTTTCTTTTTCTTTTCTTTCTATTATCTTTTAACGAAAAAATAATCCCGCATAGCAATCCGATTCCAGTGAGAAAACCACTTAAAACGCTGAGCATAGAAGCTAGAGCTATTGATCAGTGTAAAAGTGCTCCGCCACATCACCTGGCGATCGGGACAGAACTGTACCAGGTTTCGTTCCAGTCATTAAAAAGCAGTGTGTTTTTATACATTCGGCTGCAGGATGCAAAGGATGCACTACAATACGCAGTTTCTTTATGTAGAAAACATAGAATAACTTTATATCTCCTCACTCTCTCGTGTATGTTAATGACTACACACGTGAGTGTGTCCGTCACTGGTGTTTGTGTCCTCTGCAGCTCCTGCAGCACGGCGGTACTTCAGTACCGTTAGAGCCTTGCCTCCACCAGGTGATGGAGGCGGCAGAGAGGGGGAGGCGGGAGGTGCTTAGTGAGGAATCAGCGCAGGCCCTGAGGCTGCTTCTCTCACAGGTACACACACACACACACACACACACACACAAAATAATGAACACTCCCACAGCATCACTTTGTCATCCTGTTACCCATAAATATCTACCTGCCTTGAATAAATAAATTATAAAATACATAATTTTCATAGTTCAATATCGGTCAAGTTCACGCAGGGTTTATAACACTTTCTGCTCCTGCTGGTTTATGCAAATAAAAAACCAGACACCTTAGTTTCTTGTATCTTGCAGCAAATTCCTTCTCTTTTTTCATTTTATGGTGATTATTCTCAAACCCTTTTTGAGGCGAGTGACCAAGACGCACATCGAACCCAAACGGCGTCTTATCTTTGAGGCATTCAGGTGATAAATACATAACTGAATCACTAAACACATAACTAATTTCACTCAGTGAGGAACCTTTCTAAGCAAATTTGACAATTCAAATCTCATCCCTAAATCCTAAACCCTCAGGGACTTAACTCACGTCGAGTGTGAGAGTCTCTGAAGGGTTGAAATGGTGTAAATAGCAATGGGACAACACTTTGCTGCAACATGTCATGTCACCATGACAACGTTAAAAAAATATGATTTACAATGGAGGGCATCTATTCAATACGTTTTACTCTCTGATTTGAACGTCTTTTAGGCTCTTTTCTTATAAAATTAGAGGTAATTTTATACGTTTTTTTTAACATGTTGTCAAAATTGCTTTCATGACAACAATTAGGGAGACCGACAATCACCGCAGGGGAGAAAACACGACGGGGGGGGAGTCCAATACAAAATAAGACAAAGACAAACCAACACCGGGACAGTTAATACGGTTGTAAATCTGCTGCAGTCCCTGTGACAACTGACACTAATCGTTTTGCAGGGGAAGCTCTCTGTCATGCTCACTTATTTAGCACTCTGCAACTGCCAGGTGTGTGTGTCAGCCTGCCTTTGAAGAATGTCTTTTTGTTTTTAACGGTGGGCTACGCAGGGTTCGCAGCACTGATGTGGTGGCGAGCAACTGTTTGCTGTGTACGGATACAGTGTCTCCCTGAGCGCAGGAGGAATGCTCGCACACAGCCGCTCCGGCCATTGTGCTTTTAGTGCACGTTCGTGCACGTTGCCGTGCGGCGCTCATGGCCGCTCCTTCTCCTCGCTGCCTATTAACCTTTTAGTCCCAATTATGCCCTGTGCGTTTTGTGTTTCTCCCTTTTCCTTAATGTTAGCACCCGGCACCATCCCCTAATGCCTCTTCTCTCCCTGTTTTAATTTAATAAAGTAAAAAGTCTCCGTCTCTCCCTCTTCTCATTCAGATCCAGAGCACTGTCCCGGGGCCGCTGATGAAGCAAAGAGTGACGGCTGTGATGGAGTCCCTCGACCTGCAGGCGCCGGCCGAGAGCTGCAGCCCCGGTCGGCCCGGCAACGTTGTGTATCCCGCTTTACCTGAAGTGAAACACTTGTGAACACACACACACATGCTGACACGATCACAACGATATCTCTCCCTCAAACACGCGTCATTGTGTCTCTGATAAGCTGCAACGCACACATACTCACACGCACCATGAGAGACACACTCAGTGCACTTCAGACATCAGCAGAGGATCTTTATTGATTTTCTCCGTCATTCATTGAATGTCGCTCCTTTTTTTTTCCGCTCAATCTCAGAAACAGTTGATCACAGGCTCGTTCTTGTGTTCCAGTCGGAGTCGGTACTTAAAGGGTCAGTACATCTATCGTTCTCAATGACTCTCACATTCTCCCTCTCGCCCGCCCACACGCTCGCTCTGTTCAGATGGGTCTTGGCTTTATCGCTACAATATCGCAAAAACAATGCTCTCATATCACGTTTATTTTAGATGAATGAAGGAAGCAGTTGCTTGATATATACTCATTAAATAATGTTTTATGGCACTTATAGTAAACCGAATACACACACTGAGCTGAAACCAAAACTAAGATCTCTGTTTACTTTCTGCTTCCAAGCTCCTTAACTCTCGTCCTCAGGCGCATCGGAGACGTGTCCATCTGTTTGACTTTACCGTGAAGGCCGGCTCATGTCCCGGGACACTGATTTTTCTCGTGGCTGATATTGTTACGCCATCAAGTTGGCAATCGGTTTCATTGTTCACTTTTTGCTACATACGTTTACTACATTGCTAGTGTGTTGTGCGTTATTCACTGGAAGTATTTTGAGAGTATTTCAAGTTTCAACAGTTTGCGGTTTTGGTGGACTCTTTGTTCATTAAAGATCAAAAAGACATGTTTCGTTATTATAAATGCACACCTGAAAAGCTTTTTACACACTACACGGGTCTCTCAGACAGAGAGAGATCTCCCTCAGATGTTCTTCTGTTCTATTAGAATTTGTGCCAAGGTGGAACCTGCCATTAGTGCCGCCATTTATTATTGGGTTAGAGCCGAGTCTTTCACATGGATTCTGTAACCCAAAGGTGAAAAGGACCCTTTTGACTTCATAGAAATGATTCATGCAGGCCACGGGAGCAATTGACCGGATCATGACAGCGATTAACTGCATCCCACACCTCAAGCCGGAGCTGTGCTTTAATATACTCTGGGAGACGTCTCAGTCCCACTGAGGAGGCATCTTTCTGCCATTAGCACCTTCCCAAGGTTTGTGAGAGTGTTTCACCCTGCAGCCCACCGCCCGTTTTATTGTATTGGCGATGTGCATGGAAGCTTGGATATGTCCAAGTGTGCAGAACATTTATGATATACATTTCTGGGAGTATTTTAACTATTCTGTCAACTGATGATCTCTAGATACGTTCGATAGTAGCCCCAGGAATATAAATAAACCACATTGAAAAAGTAATTTGGTATTAAAGTAAAAACCGTTTGGTCGTGATGATTCAATTTAATTAAAAACCAGATCAAATAGGGAATTTCTTCCCAAATACGTAAAATCTCAATTATTAAAATCACATGAGGGAAACGGAACGGAGCCCACGCTCTGGCGGCGCTGCTCTCTAAATCCTCCGTGCGGAAACAACATCCTCCCCCCGCTCAGCGCCCGCTGGCTGTCATTCGTCCTGCGCGAGCTGCCGGTGCGGTCGTGGCGCTGGAGGAGTGGAGCAGCGAGAGCCGCGTGTAAACCAACACTTCCACCTCCGCGTTTCTGTCACCTGAGGATCTTCTGGAGGGGGCAGAATTGATCGTCTCGCGTGGCGATAGAAAAACAACCAGGTTGAATCGCACTGCTTTGGGGGAAGACGAGGTTCGCTAACCCGCTGCTTTGTGGCGCCGCCGTTTCTCGCTCCAACGCGGTGAGTGATCCGCGAGTTTCGTGGCCGTGTTGCTCAACGCTTTTTACCGGCTGTGCCACCTGGACGTGCCGGTGAGTCGGGATGGAGGGGGGCGGACACAGCGGCGATCGGATTCGATGGCCTCGAGGAGCGACTTTAAATGCTTGTTTAATTCCCCCGAAGCCAACGTGGTGAACCGCGCATAGATCAGGGCGACGTAGGTCCCGAACTGACGGGCTCCCTCGTGCCGAAAGCGTCTTTGCTGCGTTGGCATTAAGTGAATTAACTCGTCAGCTGCAGCCGGAGGGGCTCGCGCAGTCTGTAGTTGATTGTCCACATGACGGCGTCCATCCAGGCTGTGTCATCATCAGCATTACGCATGTCCGCGGCGGTGCCTCTGCATGAACGATAACCGGGAGAGCGGCTCGCAGATGTGGGCAGAGAGAGAGATGATGCATCAGTCAGTCCTTGAACCTCCTGCTGCACAGCCAGCTGTCTGATGAGCGTCACACTTGCTCCATCTTCTCTGAAGTCTCTGTTGGTTTCGGCTTGAAGTTTAAGTCAGTTTGGACTTTTTCCCTCCTTGTTGTTGAAGATGATGCCCATGTTCCTTCTCATTCCTCTTCTTGTCATGTGGGGGTTTCATGGTAGAATACCAGATAACGTGAGCAGATTGCTTTCTCCCCCCCTGCAGGGGATTCAGAGAGGAGCCATCTCCCCGGGTGTGCAGTATGATCGGACATGCAAGACTGCTTATCTGACGGATCTGGAACCACGCTCTCCCACACAGGAAATCAAACGTCAGCCTCTCTGCCACAGCGGCTTGTTGTTGGCAGAAAGAGAAGATCTCCTCCGGCACAACTGATTTACGTGGGCTCACGGTGCCTCAGATCTCCCCGGGGCGAACGCACCTCCCCAGGCGTGAGTTTCCTTCTTTGACAGACTCCCGCCCTGGACGCTGATCGTCAGAAGGTCTTGTTCTGTCCTGAATGATGGTCAGAAAGGTTAGGCGGTTATGACCAGTGTTGGGCAAGTTACTGAAAATAAGTATTTAGTTACAGTTACTAGTTACTTATTTTAAAGGTAATTGAATTACCAGTTACTGTGTATCAAAAGTAATTAGTTACTCTGGAAAGTCTTTTAAGTTACTTTTATGTCTGATTTTTAAATGTAATGAATATAAATAGTACTAAACAGTCAAACACAATAAACATATTTTTTAGACCTATTTGTTGTAATCAACAGGACTACAGGCCTTCAAATCAAGCAATAGTACAAAAGTCCTTTTTAATACTTAACTTAATACAAAGTAACTGTTTGAGGCATTTGCCTGAAGGCAACTGACTCCACAGTTGACAGGATGCATCTCATCTTCAACATAGCGAGCGATCAATCTATTCAGCTCTGCCCGGTTCATCGGCTGCACTGCAGTCCGTGTGAAGTGGAGCCCTGGTTGTTTGCGTGGAGCGGCGCCTGCAGCATCCGCGGGGCGGCGCTCTTTAGTCATGAGCGACGCGATGCTGTTTACGTGCACGTACGCGACTATTCTGTGACACACAACGTTTGGTGGCCACAACTATTTTGTGCTGACAGGCAGCTATTTACTTACTATTTGCCGGCCCTCCGCTTCGCGTCACAAAAGAGAGTAACGCGAGTAACAAACTCATTTCAGTAATTGTAAATCCGTTCATTTATTTTTTAAAATACTTTGTTACATGCTTGTTATCGCTAAAAGTAGTGGAATTACACAGACAGTGGAATTACTCGGATTACACTCCCAACACTGGTTATGACCATAGGCAGAGATCATGTCATGTCCGTGTCTCACTTCTCCCCAAGCGTGTGAGGCTCCAGGAGCACTGGGGATCCACGGGATCTAAGTGTGTGTCTCAGTCAGGTGTAATCTGACCTTCGCCTTTGCCACTTTGGGGATGATCGATCCGCTCCGGATGTCCATCTTTGTCTTAACAGTCCCAGCACTTTGGCCAGTTGCACCGAAACGTCAGCTGTGCGTTGACTGCGTTAATTTGTGCTCGCGGCGATAACCGCTCTTCTTTTCGTTGCCCATAAATATCTGTCAGAGCCACATGGATGCGTGGAGGACCATCAGACCGGGGAGGGACGATGCGCCTTTTCTCTTGGCTGTAATCTAGAAATGGAGGCTTTCGACCAGCACTTAAGGATATTTAATGCTGCATCTCTCAGAGCCGGGAAACCACCCAAAAGATGTTCCCAGAACGCACAAATTGGCCTTAATCGAACGCTGTCCTCACTTCAGGGCCGCTGCTTCCTGCTGACTCCTGTGGGTTTAGTTATAAACGAGAGCAGTAGAGACCACCACCTGTAACCAAAGATGTGCACAAAAAAAAGACCCCCCCCCCCCCCACTACCCCCCCACAAAATCTTGAGCTCAACCTTGAGTTTTGTGGCGCTGCTGCAGATGTGCAAGAGGAAGTGGATCCGTGTTGTCAGCAGCTGTGTGTGTGTGTGTGTGGGAGCAAATGCTTCCCTCTGATTTAAGTGAGGTTCTTCAAGGGGCTCGTTCGGTCTCAATTAGCATTCACGCCCCAGACAGTTTGCGGGCGTCCCGGCTGGTCCTGCAGGCTGAGGAAATCGAGTCCCCGGTGCTCGTTATGCTCGCTGGTCTCTGTGAGTCTGAGTCTCTACGGGCGAGTGGGACGTTCATCAGGAAAGCTGTAATTTCCTGCCTCTCCCGGCAGGCCGCCGCCGCCATCGTAGCTTCTTAACCTCTGCGTCCCTCTCGCGGTGTCATTGATGGAGCCTCTTGCTAAATTATGCACGACTCATGTGAATTGTATCTCGTAGCTTTTCAGCAACATTGTCTTTCGCCCCGGCGGCTCCCTGCAGGTCCTTCTGTTTCTCCGCTAATGTTTTCTTTGAAAAAGAAAAATGGGCTTTCATCAAATTTTCATTTGAGGAGGCGCTATTTTTAGCTGTTGAATTGATCTTCTCCCTCTCGCACCTCCCCCTTTCAAATGCATACGAAGCCTCTGAGGGAAAGGAAGTTGCAACTGGATGAAAAATGTTCGGTACGACCAAGGAGAGGGAGGGATCCTCTCGGGGATTATGCAAGTATCAGACATCAGATGTGTCTTTCTGCAAAGGAGCCCCTCTTCAAGCGCCGGCTCCCCTCTCGTGGTCCGTATTGACCACTTCTCCCCAGCCAGTCGCTCTGCTTCTCAGAAGTATCACCGGAGAGGACGGGGCCGCTAAAGCAAAACTGCGTCATGAATGAGAAAACTGTTTTGGGATGAAAGGGAAATCTATCACAAGAACGCGTGGTCGCTCACAGGCTGAACGATTCTGTTTTTGGAGACGTGCGACCTTTGCTCCGTAGCCTCAAACAAATCGAAATCGCAATGTGTGCGCGCTCAGTGTCTCACATGTCGTGCTTTCTTCTCCTCCAGCAGAGAGGTCCTCTCCTTCCGACCCCTGCTGAGCATGCGGGGGGCGTGTGCACTGGTCCTGGCGCTCGCCGCCGCCCTCGGCTGGGCGGACTCGGACACACACCAACTGAGACATGACCCCAACTTGGACATCTGTATCCTTCTGTGTGTGTGTGTGTGTGTGTCGCCTTAAAATGTGACAGATGGCCTGAGCGTGACCCGTTATTTGTGTGCGCGTCCTCCTGAGCTCCTCTGATCAGACAAGCGGCTGTTTGAGACCAAGAGGAAAGATCAACTGAACGCGTTGAAGAACCTGGTGGAGCTGAACGACATCAACCAGCAGTACAAGATCATAGACATCATGCTGAAAGGACTCTTCAAGGTGTGTGTGTGTGTGTGTTATTGCGCTCAATTACAAACAAGACTAACTCGAGGCTCGAGGGTCTTGTGCTCTCGGCTGATAGAAGGAGGCAGAGAACCCAAAGTCCAGAGAGAGTCCAAAGCATCACAGTCATCGGCATGTTTCCTCGCCTTTGTTTGAATGTTCATGCGGACTCGGCTCTCAGAGGGCGGCCTGCGTCTCTGCGCGCCTCCCAAGGACAACTACCGAAGACATTGTCAGCATTTCTGTATGTGTGTGTGTGTTGAAAAAGTGCTTCTCGTTGGGTTTGTTTCTATCCGCCCAAGTGACAGCTGACTAATCTCTCAGATTACTTTGTTTTAACCACCATATGACAGAGTCTGTTCTCCCCACTCGTTGCTTTTCCTAATGAAATCCTCTCTGAAGTTAATCCCAGCCGGCTCGTGTAAAATGTCCTATTTTCTTTTTTTCGATACCAACTACTTTTCCCCTTGAATTACAACAGCAATTTAAATCCCCAGCTCACGGCGTGAAGTAAACAAACCTGCCTCTTGAGTTGTTTTTCCTTTTTTATTTGTATTCCTAAGGTGTTGGAGGACTCTAAACAAATCCTGGTTGCAGCCAACATGCAGCCTGATGACCCTTTTCCGATGGACGATAAGATCAAAGAAGGTCTGATTCCCTTTCACACCTCCGCCGTTTCGTCCTTTCCTTTTTATATTTCCCAATGTCGTCTTCTCTGGCTCCACTTGTAGAAGCCTCTTTTACAGACTGCGTGTCTTTCTAACCGGTTTCTAGAAGCTCCCCCTCGTGTCACTTTCTTTCTCATCATTATCCCCCTCTGGCTCCTATAATATCAGCTGTAACATCCGGACGTCACTGAGATCATCTCCACGATCTTTCAGGCTTTTTAACGGCGGTTTTGTAACGTTCCTCTTATTTCTTTTGATTGACCTCCTCCCGTGTCCGCCCGTCCGCCCCGCTGCAGCTTACTCCCACGTGGTGGAGAATACCGCCTTCTTCGGCGACGTGGCGCTGCGTTTCCCCCGTATCGTCCACCACTACTACGACCGGAACTCCGACTGGGACGGTCTGCTGCGCTGGGGCCTGAATTTCTGTAACCGGACCGGCGTTTTCACGGGAGGAGCTCACCAGCATGTGCTGACCCTGGTAAGACCGCACAGCACACACATGCACAACCCCCCCTGTTCTCATTGTCACTAATGCTACCTGTTGATGGGCAGTGCCACAGTTGTGATGTCTCCCGTAGCAGCGATGTCAACAGACAAACAAAAAGGAAATACAAACTTAAAGGGGCTGAAAGCAAATACAACAAAAGTCCATGAGGATTCTTTTGTTGCCATTTCTGCTTATTTGAATCCTGAGCGAAATGTTTAATGCGTCTTTTTCTGAAAGTCTCAATGCAAAACACATTATCCGTGCGTGATGAAATGATCCCGTGAGAAAATGGAAACCACTTCGGAGCCGTATGGCACACAGTGGTCACGTCCTCCGTCCCCGCTAAATGTGTCATTAGTTGATTTGTCCCAATGGGTTGTGCCCTTTTGAAACTTAAAGGAGCAAAGCAGATGAAACGGTATTCTGTGTGTGTTAATGAACTAAACTCTGGAGGGAATAATCTGTGACCTTAGCAATGTGTCAAGAGGATTATATTGTGGATTAATTCTGCGACCGGCGGCAGCAGTGCAAGCCGGCTCCAGGGATACGAACATTAATAACGCATATCATTTATATGCATCTCACCACCAAAACATCTCGTTATGTAGAAACAAGCTTGTTTGAGTCATTTAAACCATATGGCTCCACTCTTGTATTAACAGTAAAACCATTTCATTCTAATTGTGTGTTATAAAATGTTCAGAGGCCACCTGGCACCTTATTGCTGGTGCAGCTGGAGTAGAACTGCCCTTCGCTGTCTTTCTCAAGTAGCTCATAGGGCCTAAAGATGAAAGGATGAGATCTACCAGCAGAGTAGGCGACGTGACCGTGTCCTCATTTACAGTCTTTACATATCTCTTCTGAATAAATGATGAAGTGCCCTCTCCTCCTCTGGTCCTCATTTGTCACCTCTGCTCATCCCTCAGATGTCACAAGAGCTGGGAATAACGGAGAAATCCCCCGACTTTATAAACCCCTACCGCACAGAGAGAGACGATGTAAGTATGATGCACACAGTGTTTCTCCTCAGCGCGCCTCCAACAGTGCCAGCCACCATCTCTCTAACCCGGTCTCGTCCGCTTCAGGTGCTTCACACAGCCGAGGCTTTCCAGAAGATCCTGCGGGAGGAGGAGAAGAGGAGGAGGAAAGAAGAGAAGAGGAAAGAAATCAGGAAAGGCCCCCGCATCTCCCGCTCTCGCACCGAGCTATAGCGGAGACGAGGGAGGGAGGAACATACGCGCAGTACTGCAACGGGTGGCTCGTACGCGTCGGCTGCTGGGGCAACAGTGAAGGAAATCAAGGCTGTCCTCGCTTGTAGAAGGCCAGGTGCTCTGTTGAAAACGAGGGGGGGAACCACCAAGGTTCCACACAACAACAAAAAAAGTAACGTGGAAACGTCCGAAGTGCTGAACATCTACAGTGATTGGTAATTGTAGAGGAGGCGAAGGCGCCTCTGGGAGAGGGGTTGATAAGGGAAGCTCGTTTTAATTACGTGTGGAATATCATTTACTTCAGTATAATCTTTAAGTGCAAAACCCCACTGCAATGTGTCTAGATTTAATCCCATTTGCTTCGAACCACGAGTGTTTCCCAAATCTAAATTTGTCCTCACCTCATTCCTTTTGGATGGTGTCTGTTTAGGTTGAGCTTGAATTGATGATTGAATAGTTTTGTTGTCACTTGTTCCTTCAACTGAGATTGGTTTGATATTTCTAGAGGGTTGTTTATCAGTTGGCAGATTTATGTTCTTTGTCGCTGCCCAAAGGTTTTAGGACACCATATTACTGTTTCGTTTGCATCTTTTGAATCACATTTGCTTCATCTGATCATCTCTATTTTCAACCCATATTTCTGTCTTTTCAATTTAGTGACATTTAGTTGATAATTTTTTTATCCTGTTGGAAATGTGTCAGCCAGAATTGTAGTATATGAACTCATTTTCTGTTTATCGCTGGAAATTAAGATATTTTAATGGTTTAGATATATGTAATTTAGATTGATGTGATTTGATGAAATTCTATTAAGACTGTTATACAAACCACGTGTGTATTCAGAGAAAGAATCATTGCTGCAGAATGAACAAGCCATTTTGTTATCAAATGTAATGAAATACAGTGACCCTGAAGTCTCGTGTCCGCGCAGCGTGCTTTGTCGGCCAGCAGGGGGCGTGACGTCACCGGACTGACTGCAACCAAAGTCCAACGTTTATGTTTATGTTTGATCAGACCACCTCAACATGTGACCTTAACTTAGCTAACAGGTCTCTGCAGCCACACTCAGAGGAACACCTAGATATAGCTTTAACGCAGAGAAGAACCGACCTCCATTATAAGGTCCAGATCTCTGGTAAGGTTCATCTCTAGTCGTCACTGTTGCCCTTTTCGTTTTAAGGTATTAACTTGCCACGGCTAGCTTGTTAATGTTTACAAACGCTAACGTTAGCTTCGACCTCTAATGAATAGCAGTGGTTACAGGGCTGTATTTTGGGTTAAACTTGATCATTACATTTGATGTTTGATTCCGGGATAAAGGTTTGTTAATATTTGGTGACATTTGATTCATGAACACAACAGCTGACTTCGCTACGCAGCTCGTAGCTAACGGTTAGCTCGTAGCTAACGCTAGAGCTAACCGTTAGCCAACGTCACCTATTCGGTTGAAACGTTTTGTTTCTGTCCAGAAGCGTCCTTCCTAACGGGGACCATTCTAGTCCCCCGGCCCGTGTGTTTCGCGTGCATTGTCATTAGCGTATGCTACAGAAACTCTCCCTTGTGCACTTTCTCCACCAGGCGATCGGGAAGAGAAGAGACAAGCATTGGATATGGAGGGTGAGAAGGGAGGAAAAGACTGTGACGCCAGATGCGCTGAAGAACTCCGGCTGGTCCTCGTCGGAAAGTCCGGCTCCGGCAAGAGTGCTTCTGGAAACACCATCCTGGGCCGGAGGGAGTTCCTGTCACAGATCAGTGCGAGCTCAGTCACCCAGATTTGCCAGCTTGGAAGCTCCGAGCTGGCAGAGGAAGAGGATGCTGAGGAGGATGGACAGACCGCCGCCACACGGAGGAGGAGGACGAGGAGAATCACGGTGGTCGACATGCCGGGGTTCGGGGACACTCACCTGAGTGAGGAGCAGATCCATGCAGAGGTTGCCAAATGTGTGTGTCTCTCTGCACCCGGGCCACACGCTTTCCTCCTGGTGGTGCCGATCGGTCGCTACACAGACAATGAGAACCAGGCTGCCTGCGAGTTGACCAAGATATTTGGGGAGGATGCACTCCATCACCACACAGTGGTTCTTTTTACCCGAGGTGACGACCTGGAAGGTATCGGGATTGAGGATTATCTGTGGCAGACTGCACCTGCTGGGCTGAAGGCTTTGATTGACAGGTGTGGGGGCAGGTACCACGTGCTTAACAACAAAGACTCCAGTAACTCGGTGCAGGTTAAAGAACTCCTAATGAAGGTGGACAAGATGGCGAAGCATACTAGAGAAGGGTTTTACACCAATGGCATGTTTTTGGCAGCAGAGACTGCCATCAGGGAGGAGCAGAAGAGGATGTTAAGTGACCGCGGGCAGGCAGAGGGGGAGGAACGAGAGAGAAACTATGGCAGCAGGGAGGAAGAAGCTAAACTGTCAAAGCGAAGAAAGCGCGACTTTGAGTCGAGAGCAGCAAACACCGATAGAGAGTCAGAAGGGGGCAGGAGGAGGGAGGTTGAGAGCGATAATGACGAGGATTTCAGGGTGGAGAGGTGGACAGAGGAGAGCGGAGGCAACGCCTTCAGCTTCCTGAGGGACAAGTTCAGAGGCAGGCGCAGGGCGGCGAGCAGGCGGCAGTCCATCCGCTCGTCCTTAACTCGCATGAGGAGGGAGGCTGCGCTGTCCGCCGATGTGCTGCAGAGAATTAAGACCCTGGTTGCAGCTGGAGCCACCGGCATGGCCGTGGGGGCATTGTTTGGGGCAGTCGCCCCCTTGGCCGCCTCAGCCGGGGCATCTTTGGTTGGGAGCTCAGTCGGTTTCGCTGCGAGTCAGTTCGCCGGGATGTCCGTAGCGGGAGGCACCGGTGTGGGGAAAGCCGTGGGGGCGATCGTGGCGGCCGCTTCGGGGAAAACCGCGGTGGCTCTGGGCGCGGCAACGGGCGGAGTTTTGGGCGGTTCCGTCGGGGCCATTGTTGGTGCTGAGGCTGTAAGTCCCAGGGAGGGTGCTCTGGATGCCCTGGGGCAGGTTAGTCTCATTGGGGCCTCTGCAGTTGGAGTGGCCGCAGGTGTGGGAGGCACCATGGGAGCCGGGGCCGCTTTAAGCGCAGCCATGGAGGGAGCAGCGTTCAGCACGGCGGCCCTTTGCGGAGCCGAAACTGCCTCAGCGGCAGTAGCAAAGGCCTCTGTCGCTCAGAGCAGTTTATCCTCAGTTGCAGGGCCGCACGCGATGGCCGCTGTAGGGAGTGTAGCTGCAGGTACGGGGACTCCTCCGTGTGCTGCAGCCGCAGGAGCCCTGGCTCAGGAGATGGCTGCCAATGTCCCACTGGCTGCTGGGTGTGGCCTAACAGGGCCGTGTGTGGCGTCGGTGGCCAGCAGGGTGGTGTCAGATCCCTGGGGCAGCGTGGCGGTATCGTCACGCATCCTGACTGCAGTTGCTGACATAGGCAAGGCTGCAGCAGGCATTGCTCTGGCTGGTGGTCTGGTGGTGAAGGTGGTGAAGGAAAGAATAAGATGTGGCACAGGAACAACAGAAGCCAGTTACTCAGAGAAGAAGTCGTACGAGGTCTACTGGAACAAATGAATGAGGTCAACCCCAGTCGTCACACGGAGGATGAGCTCATCATTGCTATTTTTGGCCCCGGCCTTCTAATAACGTATTAGACTCAACACTCTGTAGCAGCGGGAGTTATGACTTTGCCACAGAAATGCGAACCACCTCAAATATTCAATCACAAATTACAATAGATGAGAGAGAGAGCAGAATTTGTAATGCAGATATTGGTTTGAAGTATTTGAGCTGATGAACCGCTTCAGGGACATTTACAATGTTGTGTGGGCTGACTAATGAAGACAATCACATTTTTGTCTGAATCAATTTTTATGCGGTTGTTATTCGTCTCACGGCTCGTTGGTTTTGAACACAACCCTTCACACCCATTATACAAATAAAATGACTAACTGAAATAGGCTGACAAATGTCGGTCACAGAGTTCGGCTGTGTGTGTTCAGTCTATCGGATGATATTGATTTCATGAAGCTTTACAATTTCACCCTTTGTCCTTTCTAAAAGAGGATCACTCAAATAAGACATTTAGCTGTGTAAAAAAAGTGTTTGTACTTACAGATGAAAGTGGTTGGTTGCCTTGCAGTGTTTCACATCCTGTATATGTAATACATTAGGTATTGACTCAAGTTTTGAGAAACAAGATTTCAACCAACACTGTCAATGTGTTAACTTTGCTGCAGTGAAATAAACAATTAAAAGTAAAAAAGTGTTTCTTCTTTCAGTGAATGCATTTCACGTTTTGTGTTCTTTAATTATCTTATCAGGGCAATACTTATTAATTGTTATCTACTGATTGATGTATTTTTAACACTACTCGAAATGTGCTTTATTTGTCTAATGAGCACCACTTCTATTCATGAAGATAGGGGGCGCGGTTTATTCAAATGACACAGAAGCGTCTGATGGATGACGTACTATCAGACCACGGCGAATGCGACCCTTTCATTGGACGATGACGACTGGTCTCATGACAACAACAGCTTGGCTTCGACCAATGAGCGCCCGCCTTCAGCCTCAGAGTCTGTTTGTGAATGACGTAATCAGCGTAAAACAAGATGGCGACGACTTAACCGTACATCGGCGTGAACTGGTTTATCGACGTCGTCGTCTGCCTCCCTTGAGGCGTCCGCCTTGTCTCACGGTCGTTGCGAACAAGAGTTGTCCTCTCGGTTAGTTGCAGGTGTTGTGGGCGTCGCTGAACGCCACAGAACAGCCCACCGGTCTTGTGTATTCTCCCCCCCTCCCGCGTCCCTGCGGTGACAGCCGGGGAGCCGAGGGGCGAAAGGACACGATGGACACCGGAGAGTACATCTCCACCATGGACAACATGGACCCGACTTTAGCCGAACTCGGAGACGAATTCACTCTGGGGGACATCGACGGTGAGTAGTTGTGTCCCTGATAACGTGTCAGTCAGTGCGAACGAAGTTTGAATGAAGGCTTCGCGAGTCTCTCTGTGCAGCGCGGGCCACAGGGGAAGTTCAGCATGATCACTTCCTGTAAATGAGGAAAAAGTTCAGTGATGAATGTGTCTTCATACTTGGATCAGCAAGATTTGTTCTGGACCAAAAGCACATTGCAAATACAAGCGCATCCTCTGCTAAGTGGAAACATGGATGTGTCGGGTTGTAGGTGTTGTTTTCGGTCGGAGGTGGGTGTCATCCATCCATCAGCTGGGCTCGACCTGACCTATAACCTGAACCATTGAGATTTAAACTATGACCTTTATGTTAGGAATTATGCTTTTGGTGGTATTAAATGAAGAACTTTCTTCAGCATCTTTTTTTCCCTCAAACATAATAATAATCTGCAGAGGCGTCAAGAGATGAGTTAGTGGCACAACATCTGTGTAAAGATCCAGTGTGCGCGCTGTAGCCGGGCCCTCAGCGGACAGCATCCCCTGGTCCCTGTCTCTCTTTAACAAAACAAGTTTCGCCCTTTGGCAGCCGTTGAAAGGACCGGGCTTCTGGTGTAACGCTGGTCCACTGCGGAGTCACCAGATTCCCATTAGGGTGGAAATGTACTGAATAACAAATCACCAGACTGGACGTGTGTGTGTGTGTGTGTGTGTGTGTGTGTGTTAAAGATGAGCTCTTTTCGGAGGTAGAATCCGGTCTTCTTGCCAGCTAGTTGGCACAGCAGTTGGTTTATACCACTAATTTAACCATATAATGTGACTAATAATAATACTTGCTGCACACAAGCTAATGCAGTTCCAGAACCTAATCCAGCCTTTTCGTTCAGGTCAGTGATTCTCTTTTCTCATCAGGGCCCTCGGACAGAGGTAGCAGAGACCTCGGCCACACTTGTGTAGTCAGACATAATAATTGTGTGACAGCAAGGTGCAGATTGTGACTGGGTGAGAGAGAGAGACAACTGAGGGCTGACTGATGAATTCAGAGGCAAGCTGCGACAAAGACGGCCCTCCCTCACTTGAGTTTCTTCATTCTTCCCTCTCCGGTCTGATTGATAAGTTCAGGCTGAGCAGAAATACGGACCCTCGTTACAGAAATTGCAGGCACCATCGTCCTTAAACATACGTTGCAGAATATGTTGTTTTGCTTTTTATCATTCAAATTAAAATGCATCTCAGCCACCTTCAAATCTTCAGCGGTGGGTCTGATTATTAGCGTGGGCGCTGGCTTCTGTTGAGCCATGTTCATGGAGTGTAAGGTCTCAGAGGCCCCTGTACAGGCTCATGCAGTTGACCCTTGTATTCATCCAGAGCATTCCTCCTCTCCCAATTATTCTCTCAGCAACCGCAGCTCTGATTATATAACGTATTTTCTCTGCGTCTAGCAACCAAGGAGACTGTCCCCCCCCCCCGCTGACGGATTTGCCCTCTGTGTGTAAAGCATGTGTGAAGCTCTGGAGGCTCTGAGGCCCCAGACACCCCCCTGACATTTTTTGTGACCCTCTTCGATTGACGTATTTTATAGTCCGGACATTATGTACCAACGGAGACAGACGGCTCTGTGTGCGGATGAGAACACCTTTATTGCTTTATGCACTATATAAAAACGCAACAAGTGACGAGCGGAAGGCGACAGGAAGTTGGCCTCGGTTGCTGGGAGAGGTGTTGTTGTTGTTTTTGTCCACTGTTAACTCTTAAGCTTCATAGATCTTTTCTGCCATCAAATCGATCACACCGAAATAAGAGATGACAAAATGTCTTTGTTCTTTTATCAGCATGTGTCACCGCTCTATGAAACTATTCTGTGTGGACAAGTTCCTAAAATATTCCAGACTGCCACTCCTTGCCTCTAATGAATGACATCATCACAAAGTACCGCAGTGATTAGAAATAACGTCTACATGTTCGAGGACTCATTGTTAAACTGCACCGTAGCGTCAAACGGGCGGTTTGGGCCTCTTGGCCCTGTGACGTCCTGTATCTCTGACTATGGTTTATCTACAGTTAATCTTCCCACTTAGAATATTAGGAAAGTCACCGTCAATGAGGGTAATGGGGGATATCATTTCACTCTGAAACGATCCGTAGACTTGTTCTGTCGGGTTGTCTGGTCTCGCTCCGCTGAACAGTGAGACCAAGTTCAAGGTACTAAGTTCAAGGCTGAACACTGTTTATTGACACCTCATTGACCCTGATGGATGAACCCGAGCGCACTGAATACTATCAGTGATGAGAATCAGTCACAGCAGCTTCCACCATATGGAGACCAGAACATTCATCGAATGTTTGTACAAGTACCAAAGTCCTGGGAGACTATGAACAGCGTACAAGACATTAGAGAGACCTTAACAAACAAAGTTAAAGAGATAATCATTGAATGCATAGTTTTATATTATTTGTCATTTTAGTTTTAGGTGGAACTCCATTTACAAACAATATACTCCGTAGAGTTACAGAATTAAATAGACAAAAGTGCTTCGTTTTTCAACATAATTACCAGCATGTTTAAATCAATGATGGTGGACTAAATATTAAGGGATCTGTGTCTGACATTCTGGGCTTGCTTGAAGCCTAAAAAACATATTGAAATGGATTTCCTTAATCATAAATCAATTACAGAAACTCAACATTAATGAGGAAGTGATTTCTGGTGGGCAACAATATAAACTGAGTTTATTGTCATTTTACAGAACCCAACATCCTACATTTGGATGACTTGGCCATCAAAGCATCTTAAATATGTTTTATTTTAATTTTATTACTACTGTATGTTGGGAACAATGTATCAACCCCTACTAGATGGGGTTTGTGCACCAACGTTTGACACAACAGGAGCAAAGTCAATCATCCTCGTTGTGCCCTCCATCCGTCAGGTCTCTCTGTTGGTTTACTCTTTATCAAAGTGCCCGATGCCGTCCTGTTTCATGGCCATCAGTCTTCTTGTTTCATGGTCGTCAGTCTTCTTGTTTCGTGGCCATCAGTGCGTACACGACACTCTTTTTCAAGGTAAAAAAACGGTCTTTGTTTGTGTGTGTGTGTGTGTGTGTGTGTGTGTGTGTGCCAACTCAAGGCCAAATACTTTGGCTTTACTCATCTTATCTGTCGGCAGTAAACCACATACGGATGTAGAGTTTCAATCAAAGAGTTCTTTTCATGGACACTTGGGAAAGTGATATAGTGTATTGCAGTGTTTCCCCTGCCATTATATTAGGGCTGTAAACTTGAGGGGGGGGGCCCTGTATAGATTATTATCTTCCTGGTACTGTAATATAGAGTGTGTGTGTGTGTGTGTGTGTGTGTGTGTGTGTGTGTGTGTGTAAGGCCTAAGCTCACATGAAGTCAACTAATTGTGAGCAATGTGTTAAATAATTCAAATTCATCTATTATTTTGTTGTATATTAACGTTTTCCAACGTCATTGAAGAGTCCGTGTTGTCTCCTCAGAGATGCTGCAGTTTGTCAGCAACCAGGCGGAGGACTTCCCGGACTTGTTGAGGACCAGATGGCCATGGCGAGCTCCGCGCAGAGCGCTGCCGCCGCCGCCGCCACCCCAGCGCCGCGCCCTGCCGTCCAGACACCTCCAACTCCTCCGACCCCCAAAACGCCAGCCGCCGCTGTCTACCAGAGCTCCACGGTCAGCCTGGTCAGCCCCCGCACGCTGTCTCCCCAGTCGATGCCCCTCACCCCTCCCCTCACCCCCGGACAGGCTCCCTCGCCCTCGGCCGCCCCCGCGGTGCAGCAGCAGGTGACCCGCAGCCCCCCGCTCCTCCAGCCGCGGCCTCAGCTGGTCCAGCCCATCCAGCCCCAGCCCCAACACACAACCCAGCCCGCCATCCAGGTATCTACTGCCCCCTCCCCCCCCCACCAAGTAGTTGACTCATCATTTTTGATCGTGTTACTGGTGGTGATAGTGAGCTGGTTCTCATGCAACGTTGTTTCAAGGCGCCTGCATCTCCTGCTGAAAATAATTGAAAGGGATTTTCTGTTTTGTGAATTCCCTTTTCAGTTATTTGGCCATCCATACCAAAAAAAAGCTTCTGCTGACAGGAGACAAAAATAACCATAGTACTGACGGACTGTAAAATATAATATCCAGCTCAGTAATCCAAACAAAGCCCGTCTCAGCAGACCAGCGTCAGTCTGACCGATATAGTTTATTGTCTTGAGTAAAAATACTTTTTTTCCTGGTACACTGGAATGCGTGTTTATATTTGTTTTCCCTGCATGCAGTTGCACGCCCAGGGGATCGCCATGCAGACCCAGAGCTTCCCGGTCCACACCCTGGTTCAGACCCACTGCCAGACGGGGATGCCCATCCAGACCCAAGCGGCCCAAACGGTGATGATTGCCTCCAACGGCGGGCAGTCCCGTTTCATCCAGAGCCCGGTCATCTGCCACCAGAGCCCAGGCTCTAGTTTCCAAGGTAACCAAAGAGAGGAATAGGAGGCCGTTCTGCTGAACGTTTTGAGATTGCTTTTTGATGAAGTATGAGAAACACACAGGAGAATACTGGTTGTATTTACTGTGCATTACAGTTTCTCTTTATGGTTACACGTCGTTATAATATGGTTTACTCTCACGTTCCGCAGTGTGTTTTCAATTTTACCGACCGAATCAACCACCATCTTGTCTCCCATTCGCAGTCCTCCAACCACAGATGCAGAGCATTATGACGTCACCGCAGCTGCAGCCGATGACCATTCAGCACCAGCGTGTTCTCACCCCAACCGGTCAGACCATCCAGACGCTGTCCTCGCCCGCCACAGTCCACACTATGCAGCAGCAGATGCAGCAGGTTCCTGTGCGTAAGCTCGCAGTGGACAGCGGTGTATTGATGATTAGCAGATTATAACCGGCAGAACACTTTCTGAAAAAAGCTCATCCAGGATCTGTTTTGATCTTTTAAACTCCTTGTAAACAAACATGAACGCTTCCGTCAGGTTCTCGTCCAGCAGCCTCAGATCCTGAAGACTGATTCACTGGTTCTCACAACCCTGAAACCAGACGGCACGCAGGTGCTGTCTACCATGCAGAGCCCTGCAGGCATCGCCAACTTCACCACGCCCATCCAGAACACAGCTCTGCAAGTTCCGGTACTCGGCGAACCTGAACGATTGGATATCACTGTTTCGCTGTCATTGATGGCCGTGTTTTAGTTTCCCCACACTGACGACCGCAGCGCTGATTTCTGTCTCCAGACTTTGATGAGCAGCAACATCCTCACCACCGTCCCCATGATGATGGGAGGAGGAGACAAGATGCCGATCAAGCAGCTGCAGCCAGGCACCGCTCACGGCGCACACATGGTCAGATCGAACGTGGATCAAGGCCAGATGGTGGGAGGAGTAATAGGCCCGGGAGGGGTGGTGAAGGAAGGCGAGAGGAGGACGACGCACAACATCATCGAGAAGAGGTATCGCTCCTCCATCAACGACAAGATCGTGGAGCTCAGAGACCTGGTCATGGGCAATGACGCGAAGGTTAGCCCACCCGGGAGAGTCATTCTGTATTTGTAAATGAATGGACTTGAGAGTTGGATCCTCAAATTTACTCCTTTACAGATACACAAGTCAGGAGTGCTGAAGAAGGCTATTGACTACATCAAATACCTGCAGCAGGTTAACCACAAACTACGGCAGGAGAACCTGGCCCTGAAGATGGGCAACCAGAAGAACAGTAAGTGTTTACGTTTAGTGAAGTCTGATCTGAAGCAACTTGAGATTCCACTGAGTCCCCCTCCCTGTTTCAGAGACAGTGATTCTGTCTGAGGACATGGAGCTCAAAGAGGAAATAGTGATGATGTCTCCTCCGGCCTCGGACTCTGGTTCCCCTCCGCAGTTCTCCCCTTACTCTGTTGACTCAGAGCCCGGCAGCCCCTTGCTGGATCACGAGCAGGTAACAGTCTTTAAGGACGTGGCGGATTTGATGGATTACTTAATTTTTATTTTACTACATTTAGAATTCATTCTGAACATCTGAATTTTAATGTTGAAAGAAAAAATAAAATTTAAAATAACAGTTCTCACACAAACCATACTTTTTAGGTCTCAAAGTAATATTCAAATTCTAGATTACTAAAATGTCACGGCCATAATTATCACACCATCATTACTTCAGGTTCATAGTGTGAATTTCCCCCGTGCTATTGTATGTGACGTTATTGATTCTGATCTGATTGATTCTCTCTCAACGCCCCCGTCAGATGAAGATAGAGCCAGACTCTCCCCCCTCGGTTGGAGTGATGGATCGCTCTCGACTGCTCCTCTGCGCCCTGACCTTCTTCTGCCTGTCCCTGAACCCGCTGCCCTCTTTGTTGGGCTCTGACGCCTCGGGGAGCCCCAGCCTGTCCGGGGGCCACGGGCCGTCTAGAACGCTCGTCTGGTTCCCGACTCACACACAGGACTTCGGTGAGCATTCAATCGGTGACGCGGCGGAGCTACTTGGTTGTAAAGTGTTCTAACAACTTTCGGCATGTTTCATCTCCTCCAGCTTCCTGGCTGCGGTGCCTGTTGCCGTGGGTGATGGTGTGGGTGCTGAGCGGCGTGGGAGCCGTGTGGGGTTGTGTCAGGGTGCTCTACCTGTGGGAGCCCGTCACACCCCTTCACTCCCCGAAATCTGTGTCCTTCTGGAGGCATCGGAGACAAGCAGACCTGCATCTCAACAGGGTGAGTGCAGACGAGGCCTGGAGTCAGAAGTTTAGTCTTAAACAAGCCAAGTAAAACCACTTGGAAGGTTATTGATATTTACTGAAGATCCGTTCACCCGTTTGATTGGCTTTTATTCTTTTTGGCGATGTCTCCGTTGAGCCTGCGTGTTCTCTGTTTTATTTTTAGCCTTTCCTCTCACTCTTCCCTGACTGATTTAGCTCACCCTTTGTTCCTCTCCTCTCTCCCGCAGGGGGACTATACAGCGGCGATGGGCAGTTTAGAGACCTGCCTGTCCGTCTTGACCCGAGCGCTTCCCTCGACCACCCTGGACCTGGTCTGCTCGCTCTCCTGGAACCTCATTCGCTACGCCTTGCATCGGCCGACCCCTCTGGGTTGGCTGGTGCATCAGGTCGGCGGGAAGCACGAGGGGGAAGAGTCAAAGACCAGCGCCAAGGACGCAGCGCTGGTTTACCACCGGCTGAGCCAGCTGCAGCTCACGGGTGAGCGTTGGGACCAAAGACCACACTGTACACAGGCAGGGTTTAAATAAATGACGCCACGCTCGTATCAATTCAACAAATCGATATTGGACCTTTTCTTTTCACTTTGACACCATATGAAGAATCAAACACAATGATACAGTGTCTGTTCTCTCTTTCCCTCTCTGTAGGAAAGCTGCCTCAGCGTAACAGCCTCTGGGCTTTATCCGTGTCTCTCAGCGCGGTCAACCTTAGCCAGAGCGCCCAGGGCAAGATGGCCCCCGCCCAGCTCACCCAGATCTACGTCACTGCAGCAACAGCCCTGCGCACCGTGCTGGGCCACCACCTCTCCTGTCTGCCTGTGAGTCGGTCACATGGTCAACTGTCCGTCACTATTTCAACGGTATCGCTCAAGTTTTCTTTCCATCCTCAGCATTTTTATTTTTTTGTGTTTGTTTCTCAGGGTTACCTGTTGAGTTGCGCGGAGAGTGTGGCCAGCCAATCAGAGACCAGGCCAATCCCCGACTGCCTGCGCTGGCTCTTCACGCCTTTGGGCAGGCAGTTCTTCCTGAGTTGTGATTGGTCGGTGAAGTCCGAGAGCAGCGACGGGGTGTACACGTCTCAGAGAGAACCAAGTATGACATGAATACACAAATACACCGTAGTCTATTTACCGGCATGTATTTCTGCCATTCGTTTGTTCTTTACTTTAGTCTTTTTTTAATTAAAATATTTCATTTGAACTCAAGTACAGTCCAATAAAGATTCTTTTTTTAATTAATTTATTTTTGTTTCATAATTTATAAGACCAGATAAATTCATGCTTTTTAAGTTTCTCCTTTTAAAGCAACTCCTGTTGCTGGAATAACTTTCTATGAAAGGAATTAAAATATTTTAATATTTAATTGGGTCTGGAGTATTACTCCAGCTATTTATGGACCATGTAGTAAATATTGTTAATACTATTTGTTTGTCAATTCAATGTTAAAGAAACGCTACGATGTCACTTTTCACCTCGGTTCCCTTCCTTGTGGCTCTTACCCCAGCGGACCCCATCGCCCAGCTGCACCGCTGTTTCTGCAGGAAGCTTTTGGAGAGAGCCGTTCACACTCTCATCCAGCCGCAGAGCGACTCTGACGCGGGCAAACGCAACAGTGACTCTGGGTAAGGCGGAGCCGCACCAGCAGCGGTTCTACCAGATGGATGTGAATTAATGACTCACCCAAGGATCTCTTCTCTTTCTTTCTTTCTTTTTTTTCTTTTTTCTGTCTCTTTTCAGGGAGTTCTCCAACGCCCTGGAGTTCCTCCAATTGTTAAACAGCTGTACAGAGGACTCTCCGTCCCCTCCGCCTCCCTTCTCGACTCCTCCCAATCACACCACCACTCCGGGTATGAATAGCATGAGGAGAACCACCCTGTCCAGTCACGATAAAGCATGAATCACATGCTGATGCTTTTTGAGTGCAGAATGGGGGGGGGCTTCTGTTTTTCATTAGCGCTCATTAATCAGATAGCCATCAGAGTTATTACCGTCAGCATGAATGGATTTCCTGTATCATGCACTGATAACCATTTTGGCTTTGGGGATTCATCTTTTATCGGATTATCACAGATAACACTTGCAATGCATAAGAACACATTGACAATCTGTTGAAAGGATGTTAATTAGCAACATGTTCATTGATACATTTTTTTCTTCACACAGACATTGTGCACGCAAAGCCTTTTTATATAATCGCACACATGCAGCTTTTGAACCTGCAGGAGATGCGTAGCAAAGACTCAAAGACGGGGTCTCAAGCATCATATCATCTTTCCCTCTTCCTTCCTGCCAGTGGGAGACCCGGTGAGCCGTTGGTGGGCTCTGGTCCTGAAGGCCACCGTGCATTGGCTGCAGGGCGATGATGTCGCTGTGAGGTCACTGTTGGTGGAAGCAGAGAGGATGCCGAGGGCTCTACACACTCTTGAGTAAGTAAAGAAAAATCTTCTGTCTTCATGTGACAAAACGCAACCTCCAACCCAACAATACAGAAACGTATTTAATTCTCCAAATTGTTGAGTATTGCAGCAAACTTTTCAGCTCTAATTAGTCTTGACTTGGTCATATTCAAACCTTCTCTAACCTGTGTAGATTTCAAACTGAAGGACGGTAATAAAGACAATCAAGCATTTATCTTTGGTGTAGAGAAGCCACACTAGCCGTCCTCACTGTCCTCTACTCTGGTTCAGCCACCCTCTGCCAAAGGCTGTGCTGCTGCTCTGCAAAGCTGTCCAGATGAGCCTGCCTCCTGTGAAGGGAGAGGGGGCGTTAGCCTACCTGTCCCACTGTGACAGAGCCAGCGGCTACCTGCGCTCCAGCATCTCCGTGCCGGTCGCCCAGACCGGGAACTGGCTGAACAAGGTAATGTGTCCCCGGCAGCGCCCCTTATTTCCCCGAACTCTGCTCTGGGTCTGTGGTCAGAGCGCCGGTTTACATCTCGTCTGCTGTCTTGCACCTGTCTAACTCTGATGCATGCACACACACTGAGGAGTGTCTCAGATGGGGACAGGCTAACGCGGGGCTGTGCGGGTGCCAGGAGGTGGCTGTGGTGCATTGTAGTTGCATTGCATGGTCCTTAAAGCCGAGTGCAATGTGTCTGCAGTGCAGTACAGAGGCCTCCCCAATCTGCACGCACCCAGCTGCACACCCTGCCACTTCACACCAGACGGCAGTGAATATCTCCGTGCTGCCTTTTACTATAAGGGGAGAACCACTGGTGATGATGATGGTTCTGTTTTGGTGGGTTCTAGTTGAATTGCAGTCAACCAAAGAATACTATAAATGGAAAACATTAAATCCTTCTTTTTAATGCATATGGTAGATGCACCCAACAGCGCTTTGATCTTTTCTCTTCCTTCCCTTTCAAGGGGGTGGAGCTACTGATCTGTGACCTTCTGCTGACCTTGAGGACCAGTTTGTGGCAGCGGGGAGGAAGCAGTAATGGAGAACCTGGCCCGGCTCCTGGATCCCAGTTGGCTGGTTTCCAGAGGGACCTCAGCGCGCTCAGAAAGCTCACACAGTGCTACAGACAAGCGCAACACAAGGTGCATTCCTCAATGGATCCAGTCAGAGAGTACAGAACCGTGTACACACACACACAAGGTGTCAGAATCTGTGGCAAAACAAGTGCCGGATGAGATATATTCCTTTATTTGGTTCATTTATTGCTCATGTGTTTGTTAGCATGGAAAAAAATGGATAAATGCCCTCACCAAAATATTTGATCCGTATTAGTTTTCACTTTCTAAAATTCAGCCAGAGAATAGAAAAACAATGTATAAAAATACAACATTTACAAGCAGGCAACCCTCAAAAAGTAAAAATACCCACAATGTGTTTCCGGCACGCGAACAAAAACCAATTGTAAGCCCAGAGATCTGCTGGGACCAGCTGGGAATCTTGGTCCGGGGAATATTGCATTGACTGTATCAAGATCCCTCCAGCTCTTACTACCGGCAGAAATACATTCCAACAATTCCAAAAATGTAACACATCATCAATCATACTTGTAAGACCTATTGGAGGAGTCATTACTGTGGCCAGAGGATCTTCAACAACTACTCCTCTCACAGTGGGGGCTGCTCATTTGTCTTGTGTGAGTCTCTTAAGAACCACATGAACACAGAACTGCAGAGCGACAACTCACTGAGAAATCCGTGCCCAAGCTGCTGCGAGGTGCTTCACATGATACCCCTCCTTGTTTGTTATACGTGGATTAAACCCATGTGTTTCCGCTCCAACTCTTTAAATTCTTGAGGACCATCACTGCAGCTCTCCTGTGTTTGTGATATTTTTTATTCTGCAGGTGTTTCTCCATGAGACCACGGTGAGGCTGATGGCCGGAGCCAGCCCCACAAGGACACACCAGCTGCTGGAGCACAACCTCCGGCGCAGGACGCACAACTCCTACACAGCCGGTAAGGTGGACGTAATCGTCATGGTTACAGATTCGTATTCACACTCAAACTCAAGAGGGGAAGTTCACAATGCGTTGCTATGATAGTTCATCTTGACTATTAATGGCAAAAATGACTCTCAAAAGCCATAGAGAGCAACACAACTTTGTATTCACTCACAGGTAATCGCACACACACACATTCACGCCAGAAAGCAATGGACCCTGAACTCTACTGTTCTCCTTCCCCCACCCTCCCCTTGCTGCCGTCTGAAGGTGAGAGCCTCCTGGGGGAGCGCGAGAGGGCTCACGCCATCCTGCTGGCCTGCCGCCACCTGCCCATGCCGCTGTTAACCCCGCCCGGGCATCGCGCCCGCCTGCTGGCCGAGGCCAAGCGCACCCTGGAGCGGGTGGGAGACCGTCGGTCCCTGCAGGACTGTCAGCAGATCCTGCTGCGCCTCAGCGGGGGCACAACCATCGCTGCCTCCTGAATACACACACACTGCTAGATGGAACACACGCACGTATTAGGGCTACTCACAATACGACAAACTCCGTAAAGATATAAACTAGGCTACTCATCCACAAGACTTTTCTGTTAAACTTTTCTCACCCACAGACGGCTGATTCCTCTTCGCTTACTTTCACTGTTGCTGCACAACCGCGCCCCCTTCTGGTCATTAATAGTAACGTGCCGGTATCCTCGCTCATTCTTCACAGCGCTTCACAACAAGGGAAATCAGGTTAACTAGGCCTCAAAGGGAAAAGGGATCACTATCTGATAGTGATTTAAATGAATGCATTACAGCAACGCATTGATAAGCTGTAGGCCACCGAGCTGTACAATCATTATTGGCACACGGCAGAGATATTGCTGCAATAACGCAGTGTCATCGCGCTTGCACGCTTCAATTCGGGGCGTGCCTGAGTGTTTGAGAGTAGACGGCCGAGGCCTTTTGAGCCCGGCTGTGGTGTAGCATGCAGAGGGATAGATTATCGCGCTTTTAAACACACAGCGCTGACTAGCGTCTCTTCTTATCTACCTCACACCTCGTGAAAAAAGGGTACCGAAGCACCGCGTCAATTATACTGAATATGAAACAAGTGACCGTTTGAAGTGGCGCTTCAATCCAGTGCAGCGTCATTCTGCTACAACCTTGCTGAGCTGCTTTACTTACACTCTAGGATGCATCAGTACAGTTGCTTTAGGAATTTGGTTTGCAGCTGCAGAGAGTGCAAAAGAGAGAGAGCGCTGCTGCTGACATGCTTTGTTCTTTCTAACAAGGATCAGAGGATACACACACACACACACACACACAGACGCTTCTTCATACTATTCCATATTCAATTAATTGCATTTGAATTCCCAATGTGATTGTGTATATAGGTTGTACATAGGCAGACACACCGGAGTAGATTAAACAGGAAGTCCTTACTTCTGCTTGAGAGGACACTGGTATCAAAGAAAGCGCTGTATCGTGTCAAAGTGGTAAGCGTTTCCTGGCAGGAGCGCTCACCAGCTGCCCTAAAGTGATACTCTAACCAAACTCTCACCTGCTGTGGTCTTACGAGGTGGCCTCAAAACAGAAATAAAAACCCATCCAAACAACAAGTGACTGCTGTGCATCGAGCGCACAAGCAGTGATGGTCAAAAGCTTTAGATGCTGGTTGGCGTATCACTTCAGGACATATCTGAGTGAAAAGGGGCCGAACGTGGTGATAAAGGTGACATATGGGATTTCTTGGATGTGATGTAAAGCTTTCAAGAAAAATGGCCTTTATGTAATGTAAAGAATTATTTTATTATGTTTCATCACATGTGAAATGATGGAGGAGTTGTATGTTTTGAGAGGTCTTGGTCCAATTAGCTTTTTATTTGTAAATGTTGACGTACACACGAGCACGCACATCTGTCATTCCTGTTTCTGTGCACTGTTTTTTCTTATTTAACGGTTATGTAAGATTAATATGAGTCCTGGTATGATGTTTTATATCAATAAAAGCCTCCTTGAATCAGAAACAAAATCTTTAATAGGACGATTTTGGTCAAAACCCACATTCAAACAATAATCCTGACATTTTAGACGCCCTTTCTTTAAATGTACTCAAACACACCGTGAGCCCACGGTGTAGGTTAGAAACCGAAAGAGTCCTGAATATATTTTGGTATGTTTGCAGAGGAGAGCAGTGCTCACACAGCCACCTGCGGCCTGGAGGTTTGGCTTTCATTAGTTATGTTACAATAGTTTTATTTTTTTGTCTTTCCCTTTTGTGTTTTATGGTTTGACTTGTCAGTCTGTGTTTCATTTTGATGTTTGTTTTGTAATAAAACAACACATGACAGTGCTTTCTGTGTATGTGATCTTTTAGTATTAAAAGTACCGTGCTGGAAGTGGAAGATGGCGAGCACAAATACAAGCAGCGAAATTGAAAAAATGAGTGTGAACGCCAATGTAGATCTGATAACGATGGTGCCGTGAAGTGTATAAATGTCCTCTCACTTACTGTCTTTAATGTAATGAGCACTGGGCACCTCGGAGTAATGGAAACACTCAAGGTAGTGATGACCTGCTTGGATACATCAGGGGTCCCTGCCTCATGGAGGGATGCCTCAAAGTTGTCAGACAGGACAGATAAGTACCAAATTAGAAAATAGCAAATGCATAGGTAAAGGACTGACAACTATAGGCTGCCATTATGTCAAAAACAGAAATACAGACTTCTTATTTATCTCAATAAGCCTGATGTCAAAAACAGAAGTTATGCAGTTAAAAATTTAAACCGTAGTACAAACTATAAAGCAATGTAAACATTTTAGGTAATGTGTGATCACATGAACTGTACAGTCAAGAGGCAACAAAATCAGTGTTTAGATCCTAACGGTTCAGCTACCCGGCGGAACTCACCGGGCTTTCATCACGTGTTTCTAGTCGGACATATTTCGATGCCCCTCAATATCCGAATCCGGAAGTAGTGCAGGGTAAATTCACGTGTACGATATGAAAAATACTAAAAAACAAAAGAATGTTTCCAAAAAGGGTAAATTTAAGCCTGGGTCCAAGAGAAGAGAAAACAAATGCCTCGTTACGTTTGACGACAAAGACAGAGAGTAAGTTTATCGACTCATAACAGTGTTTAAATCGCAGATGTTAGCTAGCATCTTAGCATTAGCCTATCGTAGGTTAGCACCCCATGTTGTCATTGGGTAGCTTTCTCCCAAATATTATTGTATTATTTTAATTACTCTTTCCACGTTACTTATGTGTGTGATTAATTGAAGAGTACACCCAAGCACGTTGTTCTGGGCCATCGTTTTCGTTCTCTTATGAGTTTGACTTAAACTTCAGACGAGGATGTTAATTGGAATTCTAAATATGGATAAAATGCTCCTGGTTAAGTTTGCTTAAGTTGTAATATTGTACAAATAAAGCCGTTTGATAATTAACTGCTGTCTTGTTTCTTACGCGTAATCCTCTTCTGCCCTGGCAGGGATTATTTAACAGGTTTCCATAAAAGGAAGGTGGAGAGAAGGAAAACAGCATTGGCAGAAATTCGAAAGAAGATAAAAGACGAGCAGATCAGAGTCAGAGAAGAAGTAAGTGTTCAGTAAAAAGACTTCAAATCTGTTTCGTTGAGAGCATGTAAGGAAAGAATGCACTGGTGGCACGTCTGGCTATCTGCTTTCAGAGGCACAAGGAATACATGAGGCTGCTGAAGGAGAGGACAGACGCTCTGCGTGAGTTAAAAGCAAAAGTCTCATCGCTGATCCTTTTACCGATTAGTGACTCTTTGCTTATCGTTGTTGTTGTTTTACCTCACTTTATTCCATCTATCAGAGGAGGCTGAAGATGATCTGGAAGATGCAATAACCGGTAAAACGGAGTCCGTGCAGTACGATCACCCCAGCCACACCGTCACCGTGACAACCATCAGTGAACTCGACCTCTCAGGAGCGCACTTGCTTGGACCAGCAGACAACCCGGTAAACACACTAAATCCACAGTTTGTGGCGGCCATGTGTGTTTTAAATCAGCCTAATTTATGCCAATCCTACTGCTCGTAGATCTGTGTGGTTGTTATGAACAAAACTGAAAAACGCAGTTTTATTAACGAGCAGGATTTTTGCTTTCCAGGTTAACGGAGAGTGCAAAGATGAAGAAAATGGGAAAAGAAAGGAGGAGGAAAGGAGAGCGATGCCTCGAAAAGCCAGAGATACGATTATGAACAAAAAGTAAGCTGTCTCTCTTTATATGAGCATTAATACGTTCTTCCAGTGACAACCTGAATACTTCCGTATACACCCCAACAATAGAGTGGGGCCATAACGGCGTACTTCAGGTTAGTTTCTTTACTGTCTCTGTCTGCCTGCCGTCCTCCGGCCACTCTGAGTACAGCTGCGTTTCTTTGTATCTCTCCCCCGCTGCTGCAGGATCCGCTCTCTGAACGCGTCGCTCAGCTCTTTCACCTGCAAGAAGAGGAAAGGGAAGCGGGAAGGCGGAAGTGGACGAGGCCGTCAGGCGGACAAGAAACAGAGCGCCGCAGAGGGTAAAAAAAAAGCCGGGAAGTCCACCAAGTGGCAGCGACGTCGACTGACTGGGAAAAAGGTGCATCATCGGGTGTGAAGGAGTGTGGGAGAATTATTGTTATTATAATTTAGTGCTGCAACCGTGAAACCGAATGCCACAGGTGAACAGATTGGACTTTTGAGTATTCCGGCTCCTGTGTTTGAGCAGGACGCTTGCCGAGAAGAGTGTACAGTGAAATCGGACTGATGTGAATGCTCTCTGTGCTTCTGTTGGACCGTCTATCAGACATTTCCAGTGTATCTGCCACTTGTCTTTTTTTCTCAATTTGTTTTTGTAGTGTTTCCTACTTGATCGTATCAAACTGAATTGTACTTGCCTACATTTTGATGAAATAAAATATTAATCTTGCTAAAAAGTGACCTTGTGATGCATCTCTCAGACTGTCGGTGTGGAATTCTTTTCTTGCTATTGTTTCAAAGGAAATCTGCCGCTGTCGTCAACATCCTCTGCAGAACATCAGGAAATCAACCCTTTGCTCTGTGTTTCCTCATCGCTCGCATGTGTGGGATCTAAAGGAGAACAAACCACTGTGTTTGATACAGGGTGCGACTTCTTGAATAACCTTTATGATACCAACAGCCAGTGGTATGAACGTATATTAAACCTACACCTCAGCAGTGTTTACTTATTTACGTTAACCTGAGCCAGTGCCTGCCTGCTGTCACTAGCATGACGTTTCTGTTCGCTTTCTAAAGCCCATGATATTTAATACAGCCGCACAATAGAGGGACCTGCAGGCCACTGGCTCCATGTTGGCTCTGGGTCGGCGTGTGCTTCACGGCCTACGCTGTGTTGATCAAGAGCCACCATGGCCGTCATGGTTGCCTCAGTTTCACTCATTGTCAGAGCAGCCAATCGGATGGATTTGAGGGTTTCGGGAGGTCTGGGGAGGATTGCGAGCATGTGGGAGGAGGAGACATGTGCCTGATGGGGGTAGGATGGGTACACTCAAAGTGGAGCTAACAACGGGGGCCTCTCTCGTCAGGTAATCATCAATTCTTACTAACCAAGATTATCCTGCTTTGCACCTTTTGTAATTAGTTGATTTAATGTATAGCAGCAACTTGTAGATGAATGTGGGTTATTATGCATGTGACGAGCAGGTAGTAACGTTTCTCTGTGTGGAGCTTTGACAGCCGGTTTGAAATGCATTTCATTATCTCTAGTCTGATTAGTGGCCGCTGTGGTGCAGGGGTAGGGAGGGTGCGCCGGTGACCACAAGGTTGGCAGTTTGAGCCCCGGCTGCTCCATGTCGAAATGTCCCTGAGCAAGACACCTCACACCTAATTGCTCCCCAGGCAAAAATTGTAAAAGCCATGGGTTAAAAAATGCAACGTAAGTTGCTTTGGATAAAAGCGTCAGCTAAATGACCTGTAATGTAATTAGTCATCACCTATTCCTCCACACTTCAGCTTTAGATCATCCATGACGCAATAGATCCTCTTTAGTGCTGCTGCTCTGTGTTTACACATGGTAATGTGTCACAGCCAAGCTCCACAGCACCCTGGGTTTTTTATTCTCAGTATTTTCCCCTTCTTATTTTGAGTCACACTTGTGGATGCTGTGAGAATATATATAATTGTATTTTTTGGTCAGAACAATATTTCTTTATAGCGGCGGTGCAACACATTTCTAATGTTTATGACCCCCAGAAGTTTTCCATTTACCCTCACGGCTGCTACAATTTGTTTGATGTCATTGTCATATTCCTCCATGACCCCTTTGCTGTTGCTTGCCAGTTTTCTCCCGAGGCATGCGATGATCGTGGCAGGTTCCCCCTCAGGACCCACCATGCCCCTCTCCGGAGATGAGTTTATCTGCCCCAAGTTCCAGCCCAACATCTTCGACCCCTCCCGCTGCCACGACTGCCTGCGTCAGAGGCGCCTGCACGCCGGCGCGCTGGACAGCGCAGAGACGCAGCAGAAACCCACAGCGGAGGCTGGAATCGGGTCTGAGGCTGGCAAAGACACTGGGATCGGATCAGGCAAAGGAGTGCAGTTAACACCGATCCCATCGCAGGCGGAGGAAAGAGACACCAGCAGCAAGGTGAGAAAGAAGAGAGGGCCGGAGAGGAAGAGGGAGGGAGATGAACACACTGGGTAACCAGGTAACAGGGGTCCAGGTGGGAACACGAGAAGAATGTGTGCTGAGTGATGGGATTAGCTGAGGGCATTAGAAGTCACCAATGAAGTAGAAATACCGTGATGGTGTATGCTTGGTCAAGGAGAAATAGTGAAGAAGAACTGTGAGTGTTACTGAATGGCTTTTGACAGGTTAAATCACCTTGTAAAGTATAATAGGCGTAACAAAGTTTCATGAAATTATTCAGAATAATCTGTTTTCACAACTTGTCGCTTGATTCAAAAGTCAGCTGTTCTGTGTTTGGAAAGAAATCAGGTCTTTCTCAGGCCTCCTAATTTAAAACAATGCAACACGGCCTTCGCGTGGAGACAGTTCATGAGATCGCGTGTGAGTCTTTGTTGCTTTTGAGTTAATCGAGAAAAGGTCAGAGACGGAGAGTGAGCGGCAGGAGCGAGGAGCAGCGTGGAAGCGGTGGCCCCTATTATCTATTAATGAAGTTGGATCACTTACTGCCCTCTTGGGAATCAATTGTTGTATTAGACAGAGAGGACACAAAAAGAGCGGTATGTTTCTATACAGTATTAGTAGTTTATCCTTCTAGCACGTTACTGCTGATATCTGGATACATTAATGTATTTGAGCCCACAGCGGCTCAGGAGTTGTACCAGTGTACCTCCGATACTACAGCTGTAGTATCCTGGAGGCTGCAGAGATGGAGGCCAGTTCTTGACAGCGAGGTCCCAGTTTTGGATCCTTTCTAAGACTTCTTCAGACTCAGAGGTTTTATGGCAAGAAAGAAAAAAGCGGTGAAATATTAATGAGGAGTGCCAGGTCGAGTTACAGAGGTGTAACCCTAATCTAACAGCAGACCGAACATGTGACTGAGTGTCAGCGAGGACAGAGGGGAACGTCACTATTCAGCTAACCCTCCGCCTGGGGAGATGGAGCCGGACATGCAGGTCTAGGAGAGCGACGTCAGCGCTTCTTACTCTGTTACTGAAAGAGAGGTGGAGTTCGCTGAGGCCCCCGTGATTGGCCCGTGTCTCACCGTGTCATCCTATCAGGAGGACTCTGACGGCCTGTCGGTAGTGAGCAGCTGCTGTGACGTCAACGGAGGCCGTCTGGGTTATAGGGAGAGCTCTTTGTGCATCCTGAGTCCCGGTGGTGAGCTTTATATCTGTGACGACGACGAAGACAGCACCGACAGGTAGGACGGCACACGGTGGGGATGAAAAGTCATTTAGGAGAGCTGGAAAGTGGAATTGTAGACTTTAATGTACCATGTTCCGTTTTTCATGTGTTTGACCCCCATTCATGTTCATGTACATCTGGAGGCGTTATCATCTCATTCAGAGTTTTCTCCCCTCATCTTCCCACCTCTGCTCTCGTCATCCAGCTGTCACGACCGTCGACACTACCAAGAGTTCAGCGGCTCTGTCAGCACAGAAGACGATTACCCGCCAATCCGTGGGCGTTCGGCCGACCTCATCATGACCCGGCTCGACCCTCCACCGCATCGGCCCAGCCCTCGGGCCTGGATGGACGAAGCTCGGACCAGAGACAGTTTCAAGGGTCAATCAGGTACATGGAGGCTGACCTGAAATATTGTGACGTTTTGTCAGCCGCTTGATTGATTTTGTGGAAGGGATACCTTGAAAAGAGTTGGAAAGGTTGCATACATGACACAATGGCAGCATTAGAAGAAGAAATGTAGCTTAGTGTCTCTTATTTGAACCCATGTTGTTTTAAGTATGAGGCCTGTGCACCACTGCTCTTGACCAGTCCCTATCCAGTTACAGGCAAGGTGTTCTTTCCTTGGCAATGCTGTTTGATGTCACCAGCTAAGGTGTCACAGAACAATTATCAGTAATACAATATCGTTCAGTCTGTGTCAGGAAACCTCTGGTAGTAGCTCAGCAGTTGATCTTTGATGATATCTTATTTCTCTTACCCCCAACTCCTCCTCCTTCCAGTCACACTGTGACACTTCTCTTTTTCTTGCAGGGTTAAGAGACGACGTGCAGAAGCGAGAAAGTGGGTACTTCTCCCTGGGGAGGGCAGCGGGTGTCCATTCGCTACGTGATAAAGGGCCGCCTGCTCCGTTCCGCCATTTTGAGAGAGGACATCCTATCTTCAGCAGCAGAAGTGTGGAGCCCAAAGACACCGTCCCTTTCAGAAACCCTAATCTCGGTGTGGCCTCTGAAAGGCAAACGGCGGAGGGTCTAAATGATGACTTGTCTTGGGAAATTGCGCCTTCGTCCCACTATGAAAATGCCGTTGAGGTTGAGGCTCGGGTTGGTCCCCGTTCTCCGAGTCCTACTCCTTTTAAGGTAGCGGAGTCGCTGGCCTCAAAGGGGCGAAAAGGTTTCAGCAGTACCTATGGTCGGGGAAACCCTTCTACTGATGCATCCACCTATCATCAGTCAGGACGCTTTGAGTCCTCAAGGCAAGGCTCGACTCTGCCATCTCGTTCTTCTTCTCCTTCTCGTGGAGACCTACCGTTCAGACGCAACGAGTCGGCCGCTTCTTTCAGCAAGCATAACTTTGATGGTGGAGGGTGGTCTCAAGGGACGGCTCCAGGATCCAGAAACTCAATGCAAAGCTCCCACGGTCGACGCCTCGAGTCAGGAACTTTGCCAAGAAACTTTAAATCATCTGCTGTTTTGGTCAAACCCCAGATCAGCGCTGTTTCTGATTTCCGGAGTGCCTTAAGGAGAACTGAAGCAAACGGGTCTTTGGGTGGTCGAGGTTGTGAGAGCAGGAGCTCGTCTCCCTCGAGGAGGGACCCTTCAGGCCAGATTTCTTTCCACAAAACGGAACTCACCAGCAGTTCCTCTCGTGGATGCCGGAGCGACCCTCGGACTTCATCTCCATCGAGGAGAATGTCCGACAGTCACAGACACTCCCCGCCAAGGAGAAATTACAACTCGTCTAGCCAACCGTCCCTTCATAAATCTGATTCAACTCTGTCTCTAAGCGGACGTGGGCACCACGGGCGCTGTGGCTCCCCCATAAGAGAAGGCTATGATATTGGGAGCCAGGCTCAGCTGCGTACCCCATCAGCTAAGAATGGAGTGAATGACCAGGAACATGAAAGCCCCATTGTGACCACATCCAGGCAAGGTTACCCCACAAGTCCATCAGTTCTTCGTAAGACGGAATCAAGCGTTGTGGCCGGCAGTCGAGGTTGTACCGTCCGTTCTTCCCCTCCTGGAAGGAGAGGCAATGAAAGCCCTACTCCGCATCAGCTTAGGAAAACAGACACCGGTAGTTCTTCACACGGCCGTGGTCGTGAGAGCCGCACTTCCTCACCTTCGAGGAGAAGCTATGAAGCTCCTTCTCGGTCCTTGCAGCGCAAGTCCGAGGCACACAGTTCCGTCCGAAGTCGTGAGAGCCAATATCTGTTCCCCTCAAGAAAAAGCTATGATGCTCCTGATCAGCGCTCACAGCGGAAAGAAGATACTGGCTCCTCCCTGAACACCAAGAGTCACAACAGCCGCGACTCCTCTCCCGCTAGAAAAGGTAGCAGTGACCTGCCAGGCTACTCGATCCTCAGACTGGCCACCAACGGAGATTCCAACCGTTCCCCCCAGAGAAAAAAACCCTCCCATGACTCAAAACCTGACCCCAATCGCTCACCGCGCTCCTGCCGGGGGTCGACTCATTCGCTCCGCAGCTCCTCGTTGTCTCGTGCTGCTTCACCGTCCAGGCAGACCACGAATGGCGGCAGAACAGCATTCGTCACCTTGGAAACACCCGGGAGCCCCGGCAGCATCAGGTCTGGGGTTGGAAGGCGGAGCCATGTCCATCGTTGCCCCTCCCCTAATGACAAGAGGCCCTCCCACCGCGCACGGAGCCCGTCTCCGGCACCTCAGATTCAACTGAGGAAGCACACCTCCTCCCAGAGCTCCATGGAGTCCTCGGAGTCGGTGGGGTCAACTGGACGGAATAGGGAGGAGTACGCCACGTTGGCAGACGTGCCGAAGGTCAAAATCATCCATTACAGAGAAGAGCCAGAGCACGTGGGTCGGACTCAGAACCAGCAGCCTTCTCGGAGACAGGAGCTCTTTAAGCCAGCCAGGTGAGACTCACATTACACCACAGAGGCCGGAAGGAGTGGTGATGACAAAAAAGAATATGCACGTTGGGTCACCTGCAGCAACATCTCAACCCCTGTGAATTCATCTTGATTTCCTGTTCAGACCAAAAAATAGCATCCAAATGTCCAAAAGGTGTTGATAGCAAACTCCTGTGATGTAAATGTAGATGATTCAATCAGATTGAGTACATCCAACCAAATCAGACACACTGAGGACCTGTCTTTGCTGTTTCAGCCACTCCCTGAGCAAGCATCCCTCCAGAGAGTGGGAAGACGCAGGGGACACGGACAGAGACTGGCACTGCGGTGGCAGTGGGTATCTATCTCGAGCCCACTCCTCCACCTCATTGCAGGTAGGCTGGTTGGGGCAAAGGGGAGTTTAATAAAGGATTGAAGCGCCGAGTTAGTAGCGGTTTAAGTCTTTAACAATATTTTATTACAGTAAAGTTGAATAGGGTAGGGATTTCTTTTAGCGACGTCAGTACAGAGAAGGCTGAGGGTTGAGGCACAGGACACAGAAGCCAGCTCACTATAATCCATTGCATTGGAATTGCTGCTCTGTAGTTTTCAATTCAATTCCTTTGATTTTGTATAAAATTACACATTTGCCTCAGAGGGCTTTTACGGTCTGTACACATGTGACCACCTCTGTCCCAAAACCCTCACATTAGCACAGAAAAAACTCCCCAAGAAAAGAAAAAACACTTCCATGGGGGAAAAAAGGGAAGAAACCTTGGTGAGAACGTCCGAGGACGATCCCTCTCCCGGGATGGACAGACTCCAATGGACGTCATGTGTACAGACTGAAGAGCGTAAAAGATGTACAATACATTTAATTCCTATGACAGAAATGAATCCAATATTAATAGTAGTCAGACATTGATTGTCTTCATGACTACGAGGTGTTCCTCTCCAGAGGTCCGCCAGTCCCACAGCAGATGAGGGCAGTAACCAGCACAGACCAGAACACATGCAGGTACGTGGCCAGTGTGTTCACTGTCAATGCGCGTGTGGAAACAACCTCGTTGCAACCCGGTGGATTCTCCCGCCATCACTAATGTTTGTAATGGACACAAAAAACCGTCGTTATATCGTCCTTTATCGTCCTATTTTCAAAAAAAACCACATGGTATCTTATTTGCCGCGTTGTCACAGGTGCGGTCTGGAACAGTAAAGGTGTCCTAGCCGCTCACCTGTCTGCAGCCTGGTCGGTGTCTCACTGCACCGACACCCCGCAGGCGCTTCTCTGCGCGCCGCGCTTTGGCAGCTGCGGTCTGCTGGGGCTTGTGTTGAAATTCCTGAACTGAAACCAAGAGAGGGTTTTTTTTTTTTTGCAAGAGGGGGGGGGGTGCCACCTTGTCCGCATGCGCAAAAATATCGTCAGTCAGAAAAAAAATATCACAAATGAATTAACTTAGTTTTGCGCGTTTGGAGAGCTCGGGGCTGTCAAACGTCTCCGTGCCAAGGACGCGCGCGGGTTTAGGGAGGGGGGGCACGTTAAAGTAAGAGTGTCTGTCCTCAGGAAGACGTCGCGGCCCCCGCTCGTCTGAAGCCACCGGCGGCTCAGCGAGGTGCAGCGGGCTTGTTTGTGAAAACGATCTCCGCGGATCCGCCCAGGAAGTGGCGGAAAGGGCAGAAAGAGCGAGACAGCGAGAGAGAGAGAGCGAGGAAAAGAAAGCGAGAGAGGGACGAGGCAGAAGTTTATCGTTAGCCGCCCACGATTTGACCGAAAGTTGTGAAATAATTACTTGTAAGCGTCTGTCCGCGTTGGGGCACTTCCGCCTCTCGGCTGCGGGCGGAACCCGGCTTCACGCAGCGAGCCGCGGGCTGAATGGCGGGTTGCGATCGCCTCTCGCGTCACGTCGGAGTCCTCCGTGGAAGTCCCGAGGCTTTGAGCTAGTCCGAGCCGTGCCAGGGAGGGAGAGCTAACGGTGCTTTCTGCCTTTTGTATTTTGCCCCCCCGGATCCTGCTATCATGACGGTAAGTTGCACCTCGAGGGCCGTTGTGTTTCTCCTGCCCCTCCTTCCCGAATGTGCAGATCACACACACACATGTGTGTGTATAATGTGTGTGTGTATTTATATACATGTTTAATGAGCTGGCATTCTTCTCTGTGGTGTGGTTTGGTTTGGTTTGGTTTGGTGGGGCATGTGTGTAGATGGTGACATGTTTTAATGGACGTGGATTTGTTTGCCTCCAGGCGCGTGCACGTGCGCGCTAACGATACGTGGGCTCGAACCGACTCATTCTGCTCCTGTGACTCGTCCAACGCACCTACATGCACCTACATGCATCTATAGGCTCATACGAAACCATGCGTGCTGTGTTCGTATGACGGATACGAACACACCGTGTGGTGTTGTTGTTGTTGTTTACGGTAACAGGAAGTGTCATCAACCTGCTGGTTGATGACACTTCCAGCTCGTACTTTTTACAGCCACCTCAGACGTGTTTCCACAGCACTTTGTCTCCTGTTTGCGGCCAGCAAAGACACACACACACACACACACACACACACACTGCAGCAGCTGTCATCCCCATGGGTGCACACATGTGTGATGGGGCTGCAGGCCTCTCCCCACCGTGCACAGAGATAATCCATCTCAGTGAACAGAACCCGGCAGAGAGGAGCTGTGCTGCTCTGGAAGGACAAAGGCCCACACACACACACACACACACACACACACACACACAGTACTTTTCTGTGGGAATGTGAGACGGGAAGAATGGACGTTGTCTCGCGCTGTCACCAGCGTTTGACCCTTTGGCGACGCGGAGGAGCGCTGCGGTAATTTGGGTTACTGTGATCAGACGCTGCCCCTTTTTGTTCCGGGTCCTCTTTGACCTCGATGCGTGGGCATGTGTTGACTTGGAGGAATTCACGATAACGTCTGACGCATCGCGGCGTGCTCCCGCAGTCTAGTAGTTGCACTTTCTATCTTTATAAGATGCAACAAATAAAACCAGCTTCTCTTTTACCTAATGTTCCAGCCGTTGTTTTGGATTGGGATTTCTCCAGATGTGTGTGTGTGTGTGTGTGTCATTGATTCCTGGTGAAAGGGTATTGACATGGGACGCTATCTCCCTAATACGGTGTTGCTGACTCACACAGTCTACTGGACGGCACCAAACCTTTTTAAATCTGAGATTAAAAAGAGATCAGTGGCGTAGATGAACTGGTTTAGGGAAAAACAGGGTTGTACTGTGGCCCACAGGAACCCAACCGACGCCAGAAGGGGAGTATAAATACAGACGTGGTGGTTAGAGATGAGGGAACAGACGGACGTTATTTTCGGGTGCCAACACACAGGGAGCTGAGCGAAACGACGCAGGGAGGGAATATGATACATACATTAAAACGCTGCAGTGGAGAGCGAGAGAGAGAAAAGAAGGCGGGAGATGACGAATGCAGAAAGATTTAAACGTGTGGAATGCAAACGTTCGGAAGGGAAAGATAAGCAGAGCGAGGAATGTGCGTTGGGGGGAGAACAAGTTGCCTAATCTTTATCTGTGATCGCCACATCGTGAGGTACCGAACGCGTGTTTCCTTCTTCCTGTCAGCGCGTCAAACTCAGGCCTGCCCCTCGCAAACATTGTAGAGCAGCTAAAGCTTGTTTTTAAGCACCTCTTCCACTGCTCGCCCACCAGCTGGAGCAACAGACGTGTGCTAAACACGAGTTATTATCACCGACGTTACTGCGCCGCAGATTCCACGAGCATCACTGATGTGCTGATTAGTTCCTAATCACTCGTTAGACATTTCTGTTCACATCTCGTACACACACACACACACACACGTGTCCTTTCTATGGATTTTTCTCTCTCTTTACGTGGCAACTGCCTTTTCTTCACGTATGTGGTGTGACGCAAACCTGTTAACAAGAAAAGGCTTTGTTGGAGGACTGCAACATGTATAATACCATCAAGTGCTGAATAAGTAGATTGTTTTGGCATCTGAAAGTACTCAACGGATTAAAAGAAATTGGAGGACTGTAAATAAGCGCTCATTCAACAATTTATGGTTGAAATTCACTCATTATAAGTCGCTTTGGATAAAAGCGTCAGCTAAATGACATGTGATGTAATTCAACCAACTGCCCCAGTTTCAAAATGCATTTGGTTGGTTTATTCGCTTTATGGCAAAGAAAGTCTGCTGCACGGTGTCGTCTGTCTTGTACAATCGTAGCATAAACTCAGGGCGGTGCGGTCGACCGCAATTGCTTACAAATTATATTTAGAATAGGGTTTGTCCTGGGTTTCATTTCTCCTTTTCTCTGCTGTCCTCTTTCACTTTCTCCGGGTCCTTCCTTCGAGCTTCGTGTCGGCTCATTCAGAGGACGGTCAGTGAATGCGTGTTCTCTTCGCCCCGCAGCCCGACCTCCTGAACTTCAAGAAGGGATGGATGTCCAAACTGGACGAGAGCGGCGAGGTAATGGAACGGGCTCCGCCCACTCTCTCTCCACCGCCGTCTTCCTCTCCTCCCCTCGGGTTTCAATAGGACGCCTTCCTGTGGTCATTTGTTGTCATGGCGACGCAGTCGGCGTTACCGTGTCAGATATTGTGGTTGTTTGAGTCGCTGTTCTCGGGTCAGTTTTGGATAACTTGAGGTCTGCTGTGTTCCTTTAGTGGAAGAAGCATTGGTTTGTTCTGACGGATGCTGGGCTGAAGTACTACAGAGACTCGAGTGCAGAGGAGGTAAATACATATTTCTCAAATTGACACCGTTGATGTGACATTTACTTACTTGCATTGTGTTGATTCATGTGAAACGTACCATTTGTCTGCGTGTTCTGTGCAGAAAGACGACTTGGACGGAGAGATTGACCTTAAATCCTGTGTGAAGGTGTGCGAGTTTGACGTGGAGAAGAACTATGGGTTTCAGGTACAGGTGAGTATCTCTGTTACGGGTCATAGACTGATTGTTCTGTTCTTCTTATGTCGTCCCGGTTGTGACCCGTCTGTGTGTTGACCCGGCCTTTCCTCCTCGGCTCTGCAGACACGGGAAGCCGCGCACACGCTGTCCGCCATGACGGCCGGGATCAGGCGGAACTGGATCGAGGTTTTGAAGAAGTGCATCCGGCCCGGCAGCTCTCCAGACCTCACGCAGTAACTGCTTTTGAATTGTTAAATATATAAATAAGCAACTTTAGAAGTGGAACAAATTACCTTTTGCATCGCTGTTGTCACATTTTCTTGCCCTACCTCAATGAAATCGGGGGAATTGTCTGTGTCGTACTTTGATCATACGTTGGCCATATGAAATGTAGCTAAGTTTACTAGTTCTGTTCCTCAGCTTCCTCCATTATATCGTTCATATTTGTTGCCTTTTCACCGTTTTGACATCAAAATACGTCGTCCGCGTGACTCGTGTGGATCCAAACCGTTTTCATTTGCGTCCCGCTGATCCTGCAGCGTCCATTGAAATTACGCAAATTAGGCGATGATGTCCCCCTTTTCACTCCTTATGCAGGTATCATTTGTAGCACAAAGAGGTGTTTCATACCCAAAGTAGCTCTTCGCTTTCACTTCGATGTGTTAAAATTCTAGAAGCATTTCTCTTTTTTTTTATTTTTTATTTTTTTTTAATTATGTAAATTGTAGCTTTCACCTTTTTAGGCCTTTTTTAAAAGAAAGAATCAGCCTCTAAATGCAGATAAGAGGCTCTGTTCCTTACTCGCACCTTCGGCTTTGCGTGTCAGTCACTGTGCCTGTGGCCCCGATCTGTTTTCACAGTGACAGCAGAGGATCGTAAACTGCCGATGTCCTTATTTCACGCTCAGTTTGTGACTCCCCACTTCTTCATATGACTAAAGTCCGATAAGCTGAGGATAAGAAGTATCAGTTTCTTGGCTTTGCATTTTCTCTCCAGATTACCCGACGGCAGCAGCGACAAGGAAAACTCCCATTCCCGCTTCCCGCCGGCCTCCCGCCGGCCGGCCTCTCGCCACGCCGACGCCGTTCAGCCGGACTCCGCCGCCCCCGCTCACCGCCGGTTCGACTGCGTGGAGCTGTCCCCCGTGCCCGCCCCCGCCGGCCGGAGGGAAGCGGCGGAGGGGCAGGGGCGGGAGCACGTCCAGTGGCAGGAGGAGAGGAACACGAGCAGCCAGTGGGAAGCCGTGCTGTCCAGGAAGGGCACCGGCGGCGGATCCAACCACAGGGCGCGCTCGGAGGACGAGATCGAGAGCAAGTGGGCCGAGTTTGAGCGCTTGCCGCTGAAGGAGATGAGCTCCTTGCCGCCGATGGGCTCGCGCTCCTCCAGCCAGTCGGCCAACGAGGCGCTGCAGAGGGAGGTAGTGCGTGGAGATGATTTTTTTTTTCCTTTCCCAATTTGCAAATTGAATAGAATGCAAATGAGCTCATCTGTCGGGATGAAGTCCTCATGTGCTCTTTCTTCCACTGTTTTTCTGACCTGTTCTGTCTCTGTGTGCTGCGCTTGTTTGGTTTGAATCCGCCTGCGTGGTCTCTGCCCCCGATACGCAGGCCGCCGAGAAGCCGAAGTGCATGTGTCGTTTAATTACACTATTACCGCATCATGCTGCAGGCTGGACGCTTCCTTTTGTGTTGAATCTAATCAGGATTTGAAAGGTCGGCAGCGATCGGGGTCAAAGTTCAGCTTTGAGAATCACAATCACAAGATAGTACATTCATAGGCCTGTGCCCCCCCCCCCGTCGCTCAGTGGGCTTTACCTCCATCCTCGTGTCTTTCACAGGTGGCGTCACTGAGGCAGCAGCTGGAGCAGCTTCAGGTGGGGGGAGGGCGGTTGGGGGGAGGAGGAGGAGGAGGTGGTAGCGGTGTGAGAGGGGGCTGTGGCCCCGAGGCCCCCTGCGGCCGCAGCCTGGTGGCCATGGAGCGGGCCCACCGACAGGCGATGGAGGAGCTGCAGAAGCAGCATGACCGCCAGCTGAAGGAGCTGGAGGCGGAGCAGGAGAGGCGGCTGCAGGAGGAGACCCGGGACACGGCGAGAGGTCAGCACACCGGACTGGGGGGGGCGGTGAAAGAGTGTCATGACCACATCCTCAACTGTGGAAGCAGCTTTAAGGGTTTAGTACGATAAAGACGTGTAGTCAGAGCTGTCTTTGGGGGGGGGTCAAAGGTCAAATTGAATTGGTAAGGAAAGAGTCAATAATGCGTAGTGGCATCATTCCACTTCCATGTTAGAACTGTATGTTGTTGAATGTTTTTTAGTATTTTTCAAGTGCAGGGTCACATATTTAGCCTCAGTTGGCTGAGCCCCGCCCCCCCCCCCCCCCCGCCTGTGGGGGTCCCTGAACTTCCCCAATCAGGAAAAGCCTCCAGTCGTTAACGTCCAGTAGAGACACCACATGGGAGTTGCGTCACGCTTTCCTTGCCTGCGTTTCAGTAATGGAGGCTTTGAAGAAGAAGCTGAAAGACGAGCTGGAGAAAGAGGTGGAGCGAGTCAGAAGGCTGAGCAGCGGGGGGCTGGACTCACGGACCATGCGAGGCCAACAACAGTAAGTGGCTTCAAATCCGGCCAGAGGGACATTTGCATGCTTGGGGAAATAGAAGAGCATATCCCTCTCGTACCTTTACCTGCAGCTGGTGCAAACACCGGCCGTTTGGCTGAAAAGCTCTTGTGCTTTTAAAGTGGGGATTACCGGGCCACAAAGGGATTAAAGGTCGAATTAAACGTTCCGGGTTCCCTGTCTGCTGGAGGCCATCAGGCCCCGTCGGCCCTGTTAGGCTCTTGAGGAATGTGGGAGAATTCGGTCATGGATTGGTTTTCCTTTGTGAGCTGCACAAGGCGCTCTGACCGGGCGCCGTGTCAGTAGCTGCTACTGGAACCTGCATTTTAGGGCTTATCCGAGCTGCTTACTCAGCCCCCCCCCCCCACTACACTCCTTTGCACGTTCTTCCTTATTTTTGTGGTTATTGGTCATGACCGGTGTATGTGTTTCAAAACCGCTCTAGGAAATACTTCCATCTTGAAAATGGTGGCAAAAGCAGCCGCGTGTTGCTGTCATTAAATATGAAACGCTATTCTAGTGTACTTAAGAGGGTCGAGCACTGCAGAATAATGGAGCGATCACAGCGCAGCAGATATATGACTTCATCTCTTTTGCATTTTGATTCATATAATTGTTTCTTTTGCAATTCCTGCTGCTCTCACAGCGAAAAGAAAGCAGGTAAAGTGACGTACGTTCTGCAGCAGTTATCGCTTCTTATTTCGGCATCTCACTCTCCTGTGCATTTCCCCTCAGGGAAGAAACCCAGGGCCTCCAAAGAGAGCTGGCCGGACTGTCCGAGCGCTACTCTCAGAAGTGTCTGGAGCTGAACCGAGCCGAGCAGAACAGCGCCGAGAGAGAGCGGGAGATCAGCCGCAAAGAGCGGGACATGGAGCAGCTGAGGAAAGAGAACCAGGTGATTTCTTGTGTTTTTTTATTTTTTTAATGCACAGTGCGGTTCATAAGTGTTTTTTTTAAAGGATTTTGAGAAGCGTCCGTCACAAAGACAAAACATTTTCCTCCGCAGGACTTGAAGGCCCGTCTGGCGGCGGAGATCAGTCGCTCGCGATCCTCCGTCTCGCATCACGGCTCGGAGAACAGCAAAGACAGGACGCCGTGCGAGCTGGAGGTAACCGCTCTTGATACTGGAAGTAGATGACGCGGGTATTTGTAACTTCCTGAACTGACGGCAAGTGTGAAAAATATCCCCCACTCCATTTAGACTTTTAAAAAAGGCTAAAAAGAGTTCTGTGGGGGCAGAAGCCTCAGCGGTAAATCCTGCAAAACTTGGACAAGTTAAGTCTTTTATTATACATGGACTTTGGAAATGACAGAGAACGCCACTTGGTTCATCATAAATCCGCCAGAACACAATTGTGTTTTTTCTTCTTGGACTTAAGTAATAATTATAGTGATTTATGGGATTAACTTTGTTGTTTTGATGTTTTTCTGCCAGGTTCTTCTCAGGGTGAAAGAAAACGAGATTGAGTACCTACACAAGGAGATCAGCTGTCTGAGGAACGAGCTGCAGTTCCTGAACACGGTACTTCATTTACTTATCCGATGAGCATCGTGGAATGTTAATTATTTTAACGGGGTCAGTATGCGTTTCATACGCTGGATTCCTTTCAGAGATTTTTTCTAGATCTTCTGCCGTATTTTAGGAAAAGTTACAATTTTTATATGAAAAATGACCTTTAAGAAAACGCACTGGGATGAATCTTTATAATTTGCTTGGTTAGTCAAAAAACACCTGGGCGGCCCTTTTAGATTAGGATGGGAATGTTTATGAGACTGTACCTTCCCGACTCTGTTGTTGCCCGCTGCTCCTCTGGTAAACGGCAAGTTTGTTTTTCGTGTGACGTCACGCTACGGCCCGGCTAGCGTAGCGATGAATGCCGCACAGCGAGGAGCTTTTAATGAGGCTCCGCCTCTCCGCCGCAGGAGAAGCGGCTGGCAGGCGAACGCTACGCGGAGGTGATGGAGCAGCTGAGCGGGATGAAGGGCCGGAGCGAGCGAGAGATCCAGAGTCTGAAGGAGCACCTGAGGCTGGCCATGGCCGCTCTGCAGGAGGGGCAGAAGCTGGGAAACAGCCTGGACCACTGAGCGGCTGCTGCCGTACCGGGAGGCAGGTACGCCGGCGACGACTCGCCGTCTACGTGGAGATTGCCTGGGGCACACGTTTGATGGTCATGTGTTTCTGCCTGTGTGTTTTATGGTTCTGCAGGTGTGTCCGCACCACGGTGACTGAATCAAATGAGGTATTCAGCGGCAACAAGAAGCGCAGGACTTGGGCGGCTGTGTGGGGACCATGATAGTGCCTCAGTGTTCAACCCTTCTGCCGACGAGCAGCATAGAGTAGCTATTAGCTGGTTTTATTACACTGGGCCACACACGTTATATAAAACTGCACTTTTTATGTTTTAGTTTAGCTTTCGCTTGCTTCGAGTGCAAGAATGAATGAGTGCGCATTTGGTCTGAAAACTGGAATATTCGTTGAGCGACTTTTTTTTTTGTAATATTATTATCATCAGGTATTGTAGATAAGAGTTCATACTGTATCAGCCTTCTCTGTTCATACATCAGATCTACTGTCATCTACGTTTTGTATTTTGTACAGCTTTTGGGTCATTTTTAATCTGTGAAAATGCCTTGTGTTTCTTTAGAAATGGGAGTTTATCATTTGCTGTAATTACTTTTTGTTACCTGGAGAGAAGTGGGCCTATGTAGTCTCATGTCTATGAACATCACATTGGGATTACTACAGGACCACGCGGCAAACGTTTTTAATTCCCGGCAGGCTGAATTGGTTGATCTCTGATTGTATAGCTGTTAAATGAATTTTGTCCCACATCACAGATGTCTATTTTTTAAACAACGGCTGAGAAGCAGGAACTCTACAGCTTCCAGACCGCCCTGATCATTGTTGGCATGTGCCGCCACTTAACAAATGACAGGTGTTGCATCAATGAGCCAAATGTTTTTTATTGACAGAATGAATTGTGATTAAAAAAATGACATATCTACCTGCCTTTTTGGAAATATATTTCATATTTAATGTACCGTAGAGCCCGTATCATCTTTATAAATTATACACAATTTTTGCAATCAATAAAATAAGTTCAACAGAAACATGCTCTCTGTCCCTTTTTACACATGACATTTCATGTAATGTTGATTTTTAGACGGACTGTCTTGGACCGTTCCTTCCACTAGGGGGCACCGCCCTGTTTCTCAACGTGACACCGTCGAAGAAGTAAAATCGGAAACGCCGTGACGTCACAGCAGTCATGGCGTCCACGGCGGCGACCCGATCAGCAGCTGGAGCCGCTAAAGTTGTTAAGCCTCTTTTTAGCCGGGACCTGGACGAAGCTAAGCGCAGGGTCCGGGAGCTGTACCGAGCCTGGTACCGAGAGGTCCCCAACACCGGTACGTGGCTCTTTTGTGGCAGCGGGACGGGGACGTTATTTAAAACGCCGCGTCAAGGTCGCGTCTATGTGGAGGACCAGTGCAGCCAACATTAGCTGTTAGCTAACAGCATCCAAACCATAACAGACAGATTTAACATTGTTTGTAAACGATAAAGCTAAATGAATATTAAGTAACCCCGACGCGTTTGGACTAATTTACTTCCTGGCGCATATATCTGGTTCCATAAATAAATAACGGGGCTGGCAGCTCTATTTAGAAGAACACTTGTGAAAACTGCTTTTGTCACTAGCCTACACGTACAGTAGATATGCTTCATATTAGCCATATGTCCTCCTTGGATATCAGGTGCCATGTGTCCTGGACAACCTTAATCAATCCCCTTGTAGTCAAAACCTTGTTGAAACAAGGCTGTAATGCATGTTTCCATATTGCTCCAGTGAAAACGTGACAGACACACACTGTTTGACATTGAGCTGAACACCTTACAGATCTCATTATGTAACCATGATGATTGAAACCCATTCCTCATATTGATGGTGAAGTTATACTGTTGGAGTAAAATGACATGTAATGTAAATTGCAGTAAAGACATTGCAATGGCACCCACACATGTCTGAGCGCGGGACTGGCCCTGTATCAAACAAACAAACCTTTTTCCTCCACACCGCTAATTCTGTACAAAAACACCTCACTCCTGTTGTACAGAAGAGAACTTGCAACATGTATATCTCTCTCTCTCTCTCTCACTACAGTGGCAACCTTTCAGCTGGACATCAAAACGCGCCAGGGAAGAGACAAAGTGAGGGAGATGTTTGACAAAAACAAGCATGTCACTGACCCCCGTGTGATCGACATGTTAGTCATTAAGGTAAAAACAGGCTGAACTTTGATTTTACTTTTCTGATTGAAGCAGTGGGTCATTTTGCCCTTGGAGATGTTTCATTGACAATCCAATCGCAGTTGGCTGAGAGAAAGTAGGCTTCTGGAGTGTGTTGTAACATTTTCCATTTGTCTTTAACCACCAGGGGAAAATGGAGCTTCAAGAAACAATCCATGTCTGGAAGCAGAAGACCCACATTATGCGCTATTTTCACGAGACTGAGCAGCCTCGTGCCACCGACTTCCTGTCCAAATTCTACGAGGGCCACAACCCATGAACTGTTTGGGCAACTGCTGACCTCTGACCTCTATGCTTGTGTCCTGTATGACAGATGTTTCCCTTTGATGTAAATACACACTTAACACTCACATATCTACAGTTGTCTTTTATTGGGATTGTCTTAAAGGAACAGTTCAACTAATAACTCACTAAAACTGAATCCAGAGACACTGTTGTGATCAGTTGTTATTTTGCAGGCAGACAGTTGGTAAATAAACACAATATTTTTCCCAACAGCATCTTTAAGTTATTGTGAGTAGCAGTTGGATTCAATTTTCATGAGATGTTTCTGTCTCCAAAGTAAATCTATTTGAATGTAAAGATTGCACACTTGTTAAAGAGCAACATAAGATGTGTTTTGGATGAACTGTTCCTTTAACATGGTATGAAAAATGTGATTAATGTATTTTGTGAATCTGCTAATCGATCAGTCAGGAAACTTCAAGCAAAGATGATAAAAACTCAACCTGGGTTATTTAGTTTCCCATAAAAGGTTTTTCTTAGGCTTACACACATTGATATTGACCAAATAATGCTTAAATTCTCTTGATAGCTTTAGACTCACTGATGTATTTCCACTAGGAGTGGACTGAAGTTTACAATTAAAATTCCCTTTGGTCAAGAATTGAATAGTGTAAATACAGTGATACCTTGTACTCACTCACTGGATAACAAAAGCCCTGAATTCAGTGCCGACAATGTTTATAGGATTTAAGTTCCTTTAGGTGAGTGAGTTTTTAAAGGGAAGCATTTGAGAGAAATGCAGGAAACTCCAGATACTCAGCACTCATGTAGTACACAATCTCAGACACAAACGTGACAGTGAAATAAAGGACACATAATACACGTTACTGTAAGAATTCATTTTCATACTTTCACTGGCGGTATGTGAAGTCGCAGCTTACATTTAATGCCATACCCTTTAGCAGCCACATATTTTGAGAGAAAAAAAATTGATTATATAATAAGTTATTTCACAACATAAATCAACAAATTCAATGAGTTTGCAAACGTTGAAGAAATTAAATCAACACTGTACCGCATCAAATATTTACAGAGCAGAAAGAACACCATTAGTGGCTTAATGACAACAAAAGGAAGCCAAATGAACATACTGGCCTTGGAAGAGTTATTAGTGCTGCAGACTTTAAACACATATACAGATTGTTGTGCTTCCCTGTCGGTAATGAACTAAAGTAGTTGAGTTAATCTTCTTGGTATCAAGTCAAAAAAATCATTAACATTCAATCAAATATTAAAGACTTCGCCATGCGCAGAGGTCAGTGGATAATTGTAAACATTAAAAAGAGACTTTCTTGGGGGGGCATGACGCCCCCCTAATTGAAAGGCAGGGGAAACACTGCAAGTTAAAGACGTTAAAGAAGCAATAAAAACACAACCGGGCTATAAATAATCTTTATACAGAGAAATCTCAAGTAAAAGAAAACAAATTCACACTTGGTGAACCAAACGAGATGTATGTACAGCTCCGGATGAATGCAGTGTGTCTCCACAGTGTCGGGGGCGGCGCACCCCCCCTTCCTTCTCCTCCTTAAATCCTCATGGGAGTCTTCAATGGCGAGGCAGCGTCTGTCGTGGTCCCTCACTGAACAACGCAACACGGGACGGATTTATCGTCGAACGGACTCGGCGATGAATCCGCGGCTCTCAAAACGACGTCGCGCTTGAGTGCGTCTCTCTCACCTGGTGCTTAAAGGACAAACCCCTGAAGAACTTGTTGACCTCAAACGCGCCAGGTTTGACGACCCCCCCCGACTTCCCGCTCTCCTCCAGTCGGACTATTTGCCCTTTGATGACGGCGGCTCGGAGGCTCGTGCTCTTGATCACCCGGGCGCCGGGCTCCGAGTCGGCCGTGGGTCGCGAGGACACTGTGATGTAGGAAGCGTCTTTCGTCCGCTCCTGATAGCTCACTGTCGGACACAGATTGTGGGGGGGGGGGGGGGGGGTGGGGGGTACAACTGTAAGGCATAAACGTCTGTATTACCGTGGACGTCGCCCTGGGGTTAAAGATTTGAACTCTTACCTGCGGAGGTGACCGCCGTGTCCGTGGTGCTGGTGAGCTCCAGCAGGACGGTGGCGTGCGCCGGGTGCAACAGGAATAGTTTTCGGATGAGCGGCTCGGCTGCGGCGACACCCGGGGACACCTGCACACGGACGGGTGGGTGGTTCATTAATGTCTCCGGCCGTCAGGGTCAAAAGACGATTAGGTTTCAGATGAGCTGTGCACTCGATTCTCTGGGACGGACTCACCGTCGCCGTGGTGACGTTCTTTGGTGCTTTGATTGGATCGCCGGCCCAGAAGAGGAAAGCCGATTGGCCGGTGGAGGTGGCGATGGCGGACGTTTCCAGAACGAGGCGGGGACACACAAATTCCGCCGACCACAGAAGATGCCCGTTTGCTCCATCGACAACCAGCGCCTGAGAGACAATAGACAATATGTTTCCTCCCAATAACCTTTCTATCTATTAGGGCTGTGCGGTACACCGGTAGAAGATTTCCGTACGGTATGAATTTCTCACGTACCGGTGTTACACCATTATTACTGACTTGCTCTGCGTTAGAATTTATTTTTAAGAGTCATCGCGAGTCGTGCAGCGGTCAAAACTCCTTGTGAAGTTATGTTGACATTGAGTCATGGTTACAACAATGAATAACCCACAACCAACACTCTTTAACAGGGTAAAACACCTCAACATAACAGCTTGTGACACATAAACAATTTGTAACACTAATAATTTTTTTTTAATTACCTCGCCGAATTGCATGCTGGGTACAGCTCACAACAAGAAGTAACTCTGTTGCTACATGAAAACACGGAAAAGAGTGATACAGGAGGAACAAGGAGAGACCAGAGATGCACCAACGCGACTTGTGCCCAAGAGCTGTGTTGTTAAGTTAGATCAGAAACGATTTATTGTAAAGTCTGTCGAGCCTGTAGTGGCAACACTAGCATCCACAACAAGCTAACACGCTAACAACTACCAACACTGCATGTTAACAGTTGCAAGCAAGTTGGCCAGCGAGCGGCGAACAGCCGTTCGGGTAGCCGGCGGTCCTTTTTTCGGGGTACATGAATTAATGTCACATACATTCTAAGGGATATGGATTTTGGGCCATACCGTGCAGCCCTACTATCTATATTGAATATTGTCTACTCAATGTCTACTCAACAAACACCCATTTTTTTCCTACCCCCTAGTGTGTTAGGGCGAGCCCGCTTTACCTTCATGATGCCGTTCGCTGAATGCTGAATGAACAGATCGAGGATTCCGTCGTCGTTGAAGTGTCCCGGGGCCGGTTGGCTGTGACAGGCCAAGACGTGTCATGGGGGATTTCACAAAACAATCATTTCCTTTGAACATGAATGTCAACGCCCTCCGGCTGAAAAGCCTCTGTGTTTACATTTCATCAGCGTACCTGTGAATGGGGCCCGAGTTGAAAGTCCATTCTTTGCGTATGTCCTTCTGCCGGAGCACTGACAGCTTGCTGGAGCCGTACACCAGCACCCAGTCGCTCTTGGAGGAGTTCAGGTTCCACGCTGGGTCCAGGCTGTTGTGGTTGTCTCCGAGGCCGGGCAGGAGAGGGAGCAGGAACTCCACGCGCTCAGATCCCCTGGAGGGAAGCCGGTCCAAGGTGCGATTTAGACCTCAGCGGGAAAATGTCCCACACGGCAATAGGAAATATTACACTGTGTAAACAACTAAGGACATTGATCCCCAGTGATGTTTAGAAAATATATAGAAAATGGAACCAAAGTAGCAGATTCAAAAAGTCCAGGTGAGTGAGAGCCATGTGCCGGTGACTGAGGCGTACCTGTAAATGTGTATGAAGGAGGAGGAATTGGTTTTCTTGAGTCCCTCCCATCCTGTATCCTTCCCTCTCAGGGCCTGCGTTATGGGCATCTTTCCCATAGTGGCTCGAATGTAGACGTCCCGTAGGGAGATGGCCTCTACATTACCTGGGAGGAGAGAAAGGGGGGGGGGGACTCGAACGACTTAGAATCTCATAGACCTGCCATTAAAAATTGTTGTCCAATAGTCGTTTCTTTAGCTGCGCCCAAGCCTGAACCCACATGTTGGGCCGCATAACACATGTTTGATTCCTTTACCCAGTCCAAAGAGGATGTAGTAAGCCCCTTGTTGCGTCTCATGCAGCAGAGGACCAATCAGCTTTCCTTGGCCGGTGAGGTTAAAGGGCACGGGGTGTCCGAGCTTCGCCCCCGTCCGCCCCGAGAGCAGCGTCAGGGAGAGGTCCAACGTCTGAACAAAAGAACAATGTAATCACGTTATGGGAAAGATGTGGACTTATAGCTCACAATCCCAAAATAGATATAGAGGGGGCTTCACGGCTGTACCTCGTCTGCGGGCAGGGTGGCAACCAGCAGATCTGGCACCAGGTCGCCCTGGAGGTCTGGAAGTAACACCGCCTGGGATTCAATGTTCTTCAGCTGGACCAACCACAAGGTCTTCCCTGTAGGGGGGTGGAAGGAGACCTCTGTGACCACTGCAGGATTGCCCTTATTGCATTACCTCTCTTGTCTGCTTGGGTAACCGGGAGGCTGAGAGGAATCTTTGCTCAAACGAGCCTTTCCTTTCTCGCATATGTACAGCCCTTCTGAAGAGCCGGACGATGAAAGTACAAACACGGCGGTTGGACTGACTGATATAGGTCCTCTGGCGAGGATCGTCTCCTGACCTGTGGTGCCGTTGACCGCCATGAGGACGGACTTCCCAATGAGGAGGACCACGGGGGACGGCTGGCCGCTGTACTGCAGACCACACTGGATGTACATCACCGACTCCCGCATGACTTTCCTCCACAGCACCTGCCCGCTGACCCCGGACAGGGCCACCGCGCTGTAGACTGCTCGGAGGAGAGAACAGGCCGATCAATGAACACACACACACAACATTCACAAAGAAGTGGCGCCAGCAAGAGATTCCTTGTGTACCTTTGTTCCCGAGCGCGGGACGGGTGTCGTTGGTCCATTCGGTGACCCCCAGGAACACGTCCTCAACCGAGTCGCCGTCAACGTCCCACAGCGACAGCGCGGGCGGTGTGACGCCTGGACACAGAAACCACATCAAGGTGAACACCACCAAGACAGAAAACCACCAGGAGAATCCTGGCAGGGTCGACGGAAGTCTATCTGGGCAGCAGAAATGGTTTCCCCCCCCCTTTACCTCCGGCTTCCCCCAGCGCGCTCTCCCACTGCGGCCGCTTCTCCAGCTCTCTCTTCTGGCAGGGCAGGAGAAACGCGCACAGCAGCACCAGCAGCGCGGCGCACACCAGCGGCACCAGGAAGAAGGCACTGCGCACGGCGTTCCTCGCCCTCCGCCTCTTCTGCTCCGCGTCGGCGCCGTGCGCCCCCACCCCGGAGCCCCCCGAGGCGCCGGGCCCCGCTCGGCCCTCGCCGCCCCGGTCCGAGTCCCTGTGGCTCCGGTACTGCGCGCCCGTCACGTCGTCCCTGTCCGCCCGGGACTTAGCGGGGAGACGTTCCCTCCACTCGTCCTCGTCGTCCTCGTCCTCTTGCGCCTCGTCCTCGTCCCCCACGAGTCTTCCGGAGCGGCTGCCTCGCAGCTTCGAGGAGCCGGCGCCGAGGCTGCCGGCGAGGCCATTCCGGGGGTAGTTGAGCACGAGGTCGTCCTCTTCGCTCTCGTCCTCGCTGTCCGCCTGGGTGAGAGGGTCGTACTCGCCGAGGTCCGAGCCCTTCTTCCCTGCGGAGACATGTTGTAGATACACAATAATGACTTTGTTTGACAATACTGATGCATGCGTGATAGGCGAGCGCTTCCTTTGCTCTAGCTACCAAGGTTTTCCAGATCTTAGTAAGGGTCTTAATGCTTTTTAGTACTCAAAACATACCGGTTTTGTCCTTATCATTCCATGTATTAAACATACAATCAACACTATTAAACATACACAAACGCATACATACATTATACATCATACATTTTTCCAAATCTTTGACTGGTAATGGTGGTACAAACATATACACATATGTATGCATTACATATCACCAACATATGTTGAAATGTATTCAACCCGTATTGCAAAATTAGGTATTTCCATACAAACGTTCAGCTGTTGCCAATGAACAACCCAAACAAGAACTATTTAAATAGCTCAATACAACTAACGTTACAAGTGGTTTCTCATAATCTGACAGACGGGACCCCTTTCAATGACTGCGGCGGCCTGTAAATGATTCCTTCATGATGAGAGTCTTATTCGAGCAGCATTTGCTGCTGTGACCCGAGGCTGACGGGATGCGGAGCAGACGACAGGTTCTGACAGCGTTCCTCGTCAGCAGCGGCCTCCAGCGCTCCAACATTCTTTGGTTTATGTGATGCAGATGCCTTCAAAAACCTATGGAGAATTTCCATGGGCTCCAGGTGCTGGACCTTTTCTGATGGACTCTGAGGTCTTGGAGTTCGGGCGCGTAGACCTTCGGTGTTTCAGTTTGCTCCTTAGTGTGGAAAGTGGGACCTCAAATTCAGGGGTCCGCTGTCAAATGTGTCCACTTTCTGCCTTGTGCACGTAGTGAAGCCGGTGCTCCTTTGAGTTTGAACTTGCAAACTATGATTCCAACGGTTCCTTTAGGGACATTCGGGGGCTTTTGAGATCTATGTGTATGTTTTTTCCTATTTGTGCAAGACGATGATCGTTTTTTGCAACTTTTTGAACAATTCCCTCGACCCGTTTTTCTAACATGCAATCAAACAAACATATCATTTAATTTGTCCTATCAAGTATGTGTGCTCCTATGAGGGATTGAATCATTTAGCGACTTCAGAATTCACGAAAGCGTCATTTTGTGGAGAAACCACTTGCAACATTTGTCATTTGGAGCTATTTCAACCATCCTAGTTGGAGTTGTTAATTGAAAATACCTGAATATTTGAACCTAAATAACCTAATAAACCTAATTTTCACTCGGGTTAGAAACATTTGGAGTGCAACTGTAGTATATATTTAGAAACCAAACCTGATCCTGAATGTGGACGGCTTTATCGGCGTAGCCTTCGTGGACCTGCTCAGAGCTTGTGGTGGTTTTACAAGGTGAGCTAAATGAATTCTTGCCAGTTTCTTCGTAAAGTTTACACTCTGTATCTCAGCTCTCAAGGTCACCTTTATTTTATGTAAGAGAAAAAACTTTCAAGTTACATTTCTGTATTGAAGATTCTTCCCTGACACTGCTGTAAAATCATTAACACAGAATTATGCGTGACAGAATTAACACGCATATAAGACATGCGTCAAGGCTAGACAGGAATTGACTGTTTCTACTATTGAATCCGTAGTATAATTCTACTCCTAATAATACCACAACAACTGATGTTGATACAATGATTGCATCTTGGTTATTTGAACCTGATAAATAAAGCACGATTGTAGCCTGCTCACAATATCAGTCCCTCTGACGAAATACAGCAAAAGAGAAAATATCCTCCAAAACAGATCATCACGCACTTTGACAATAACACAAGTAGCGTCGCACATTCCTAAAGCCCGCACACAGCGCGATATTAAAGCCTCGCGTCAGACATAACGTCACGATGCCCCGCGAGCGGCTCGGCTCGGCTCGGCTCTGCTCGGGTTATCTCCAGCTAGCAACTAGCCGACCAGCCAGGGACATGTCAACACGCTGCATTTGGTCACACGCGACACATTTCACGATGTCCACTAGAAAGACGCGGTCGGGAAGGCGGACGGACTCGGACCACACGCTGAGCCCGTGCGCGGCGGGTCAATGGATCCGCCGCAGAGACCGTTACAAAGCATATGGTGCCGATGAAAGGCTGCAGAGAACGAAGGGTTCGAGTCCCTGTCCGCGGTGTTTGTGTGTGTGTGTGTGTGTGTGTGTGTCGAGAGGACAGACGTGTGGCGCATCTCACCGGGTAATTTGAGGGCACGGGACAGAGCTGCAGCCATTTCTCCTCCAGCAGATCCGAGAGACAGCGACGTGAGGCAGCGGTGATGAGCGGATCCAGGGAACAGAGTCAGCCGTTGGATCTGCGCCTGCCGCGCGCTGCATGCTGGGACTTTGAGTTTCCTTTCCCCGCGTCGCGCTCTGCGTACCGTGGTCTTTTTTGTTGCCATAACATGAAAAAAATAGAATGAATAAACAAACCTCTCACGGTTTCGCCGTGTGACACCCGCTTTTGCATGTTTTCACACGCACTCACCATAAAAAAAAGCCGCGTTGCTCCCATTCGACGGTTATGATGAACTTCACAGACCAGGTAGTTTATTTGTTGAAGATATGGGTTTTTATAAAGAAACTGACCACCCGGTGCATAAATTAGACCAATTAATAAAATGCATTTGGTGTACACCAGTATGCAGCGATGATTCTGGAACTATGTAATCAATAAAGAAATGAGAATAGTGTAATACCATAGTTTAGTTTAGAATAGTGTAGTTTTGAAACTGTAAGCAATAGCATAATACCAATGCACAGCTATGATTGTATAGTAATTTAATGTAATCAACCGAAATGCATGTGTAACATTGTTAAAATGGTTTGAGATAAATCCTGATAAAGTGGCTGAACTACGCCGTCTGCTGTTACTAAGTGGTACATGTACGGCGTAAAGGACAGGGAGGATTGTGGGTAAACTCCATAGAATTGAGGATTAAAAAGGTTCTTTTTATGTCTGTGAACAATGTTAACTTAATTTACCTTAACAATTAATTTATGATGTGGATAGCTTTATTATTTTGTATGTTCGTCTTTGTTTATATTTGCCTCGTTTTGATTAGTTAGTGACATGTTTTATCGTTTGTAATAATGTCCGTTTTAGGAATCAGGAAACATTTATCGCCAAAATATGTCAAACATACAAGGAATTTGTCTTGGCGGTTGGTGCGTGACAGTAGACAGTGTAACAATAGACAACAAGACAGCAGTGCACAAGTAATAAAATAAAATAAAATGCTAATGCAATGGGTTAGTAGAATAAGGCTTTGGGTTAGTATAAAACAAGTATAAAGTTAAAGTTAAAAATGTAAAATATTTTTAAAAAGCAAAAAAATATTAAACATAAAGTGCACTAGCGAACAAGTGACAAAGTGACGAGTGACGACAAAGTGAAAAATTACAGTTAAAGTGACATGTGCAGTATGAAGGAGAGTGACCGGTGGGATGTCATCACCAAGAAGGCTCAGCAGAGGTTGTTCTTCCTGAGGCAGCTGAAGAAATTCAACCTGCCAAAGACAATGATGGTGCACTTCTACACGGCCATCATCGAGTCCATCCTCTGCTCCTCCATCACCGTCTGGTACGCTGCAGCCACAGCCAAGGACAAGGGCAGGCTGCAGCGCGTCATCCGCTCTGCAGAGAGGGTGATCGGCTGCAATCTGCCGTCCCTGCAGGACTTGTTCGCTTCCAGGTCTCTGAAGAGAGCTAAAAAGATCGTGGGCGACCCCTCTCACCCCGGACAAAAACTGTTTGTGCCCCTTCCATCTGGCAGGAGGCTGAGGTCCATTAAGAGTAAGACCTCCCGCCACACGAACAGTTTCTTCCCGTCGGCAGTTGGGCTCATCCACAGAGCCCGGTCCCCCACTGACTGACTATGTTCAGCTCCCACTTGAGGTCCTGGGTGATGATGGAGCACAGGAAACGAAAGGAATCCACAATAGTGACGGGGGAGTCACACAGGGTAATGGGGAAAGGTGGGGCTCTGTTCCTCCGGAAATCAACAACCATCTCCACTGTCTTTGGAGCGTTGAGCTCCAGGTTGTTCTGACTGCACCACGACACCAGATGGTCAGAGTCCCACCTGTAGGCGGACTCGTCCCCACCAGAGATCAGTCCAATGAGGGTGGTGTCATCCGCAAACTTCAGGAGCTTGACGGACTGGTGACTGGAGGTGCAGCTGTTGGTGTACAGGGAGAAGAGCAGAGGGGAAAGAACGCAGCCTTGGGGGGAACCGGTGCTGATGGTCCGAGAGGCTGAGACATGTTTCCCCAGCTTCACGTGCTGCTTCCTGTCAGACAGGAAGTCTGTGATCCACTTGCAGGTGGAGTCGGGGTAGAGGCGTGAGCACCTGATGGGCTGGGGGAGGGAGGGGTGGGAGACTGCAGCAGGTTGGTGGAGCTGTGGGGGATGGGAACAGGATATTGTCTTTCGAATCTGCAGTAGAACTCGTTCAGCTCGTCTGCCAGGCGGAGGTCATTCATGGAGTGGGGGGGTTTTTGGCTTGTAGTTGGTGAGGTGTTTGAGGCCTCTCCAAACCGAAGCAGAGTCACTTGCTGAGAACTGTTGTTAGAGTTTCTCAGAGTACAGTCGTTTAGCATCTCTCACCGTCTTGCTAAACTTGTATTTTGACTCTGTGTACAGGTCTTTGTCCCCGCTCCTAAATGCCTGATCCGTTTAGTTAGCTAACACGCGCTAACTCTGAGTCTATCCTTGAACTCCGGGTTGACTTACTGAGACGGGAAACTCTGAGGATCCGGTTCCAGAACAGCTGATCTGTGTTAGTTCAATCAACTCTGAGTATGTTCACCTTGAGTTAAGCGCGTGCATGACGATTATAAAAAGCTAAAAAGCGTGGGTAAAAATTGCTGCCCAAGTCAACGCGTAAGTTTGAATGTACTGTTCCATTGACATAACATTTAACCGTAAGATCGTCGCAGCCTACAGTTATGAATATAAGTAGGAATGTAATCCCATTTTCATTTTAGGTGCAATCCAACAGGGGAAAAAAGGACAAACAGAAAATATAAAAACCTAGTTAAAAAATGTATGACATATATCGCTATGATTGCACCTCACTTTAATTTTAATTCATTTTCTTTAATTGATTTCGGCTATTAAAAAAAGTAAATATTAATTCAGTGGCTACTTGAAATAGTAAATTAAACACCTAATAAAATGTTGTTTTTACACGTCTTTTCACTTAATATGCCACGTAGGAGACACTTACAGACACGTTTTTGGAAATGTAGACAATTAGCAAACACAACGTAGCATTAGAAGACTGGAGTGATAGTTGCTGGATATGGACCTCCTTACACCTATGTAGATATTTCATTCAAAACCAGATGTTTCCACCTAGAATAGTCATTTACCACATTAACAATGTATATAGTGTATTTCTGATTCATTTAATGTTATCTTCACAAAATTAGAGGTGGGTAAACTCTGAATTTTGTGATCATACAGACCTCGACGCGATGCGAAGCAACGCAACACAAAGCGTCGAGACTCTTGTAAGGCTGTCCTGGCTATATTGCATTATGTTATCAGTAAAAGTCATATACAATCAATGACAATGAATACATGTGTTAGTAGTTTGTAGTTTATTAAATTTAAGAAAACAGTAAAGAAAAGTATGTCAACACAACAACACAATTGCAGATTAAGAACTATCTCCTTTTTACAGTAGTTCCCAGAGGGCCTCCTTGTCCTCCACGTCAGGTCCTGCCTTGCACAGAGGAGCCATGAACCCCCCAGAACACGTGTTCTGGGGGGTTCCTCGGTACTCTGTGCTTCTCCTCTCTCTATTGGACCTGGTGTTTCTCCTCTCCCTGTGCTCTCTGCATCATTGCCTGTCCTCTCACTGCCTGAAAAAATATGTTGAATTTTAGAGTTAACCAGTTAAGCAGCCTGTCAATTACACTGACAACATATGTTAAAGGAACACTCATGTACTACCTATGTCATCATAAATAGCCTACAGCATGTTTTTTTCACATTAAGAACTGACTTGTTTTCTAATCTACGCGTCACCAGGCGTTTTTCTTGTCCTTTTACCGTGCACGACCAGCGAAGACAGAGCGCGCGACTACTACCCCCCCTGTCGGTCGTTCCGCCCGCAACGACTACTACCCCCCCTCCCCCGTCGGACCTTCTCGGCCGGTCCGCGAAATATTGTCTGACATGAAACCGGTCCGTGAGGTAAGAAAGGTTGGGGACCACTGGGCTGATCCACAGCGTGTGTGTTTACACACCTCCTGGATCCTGATTGGTCGCTGCTGCAGCCGCAAGGCACTGATTGGATGCTCACAGACCGTAATACAGCGCGGATGAAAAGGATTCAGACTACGGCGTTTATATGTTCAACAATAGGAAACGCAGTCTTAGCTGTTTTTAAATTACACCAAGTTTATTTCGGATTATTCCAAGAAGAATACAAGGCGCAGGGAACTTTAAGGTGCGTAAACGCCACTTAGAGGTGGGTAAACGCTATTTATTGCTGCGTAAACGCTATTTCCAAAATTCTAGAGGTGCGTAAACGGCGTTTACGTGCGTTTACCCTCCACTACAGCCCTGAGTACAATATTAAGTGGTAGTGTTGTAGAAGTATGAAGCATCATTAAATAAAAATACCCAAGTAACAAACAATACAATGTTAACTCCAGTTTGTTCCATCAGAATATTTAAACATCTAGTTTGTTTTTCTCAGTAAATACTTCACATATTTAAAGTATTTTGGGTTTTTAGGACTTTACACCTGGTGAGGTCACTTTCACTCAGTGGCAGCTGGTGGATTTTTTTGTTGGTAGGGCCAGCTTATCAGTTTCAGTAAACATCGCAGACAAGTGAAGTTTGTCAAAACTAAAAGCTGATTAAAACATATTTGAGATCAACAATGTCCCAGGAGAGGCTGTTTGCACTCGCTGTTCTCTCCATTGAGCAGGAAGTCAGTGGATATGGATCCTCATTGCAAGATTTGCTGAAACCAAGGCTCGCAAAATAAGATTTTAAGGACAAAAGGGAGAAAATACAAAGAAAAAGGGACAGGAAGATGTGTAAAAGGGACAGAAGAGAAAAAGGGAGAGAGATGATGTGAAAAAGGGGCAGGAAGAGAGGGACAACAGGTAAAACAAATAATACATGTGTCTTATGTTTAAAATGTATCTGTATAATTGACCTGTATTGTGTGTTGTCTTCTCATGTCAGCGCCACAACATAGAGGACAGCTTCTACTGGCTTGCTGCTACCCACCTCTGCCACCTGAGCTGTGTAAAGGTAAATCATCTCTCACATACACAGTCATGCAATTACGACTTATCTATTGAAATCTGTAGGCAGCAGTGGCTCAGGAAGTGGAGCGGGTCGTCCAATAATCAATGGTTTGGCGGTTCGAATCACAGTCTCTCCCTTCGTAGTGTCTTTGGGCAAAAAAATAATAATTTGATGTATGTGATCCATCGTAAGTATTCTATCAAATTTCTTAAATCTGCCACTGGGTGGTGCACGAGCTCAACTCTGGGTCAACCTACTCCGAGTTGATTGAACCAACTCTAAAAAGCTGTTCTGAAGCCCAAAACTCAGAGTTCCCATCTCAGGGTAAATCAACTCAGGGTTTGTTAAACCTCCTATTGAAATGGACCCCAGTCCATCGAAGAAAAAAAACAGCTGTATTATTGAGTAAAGAATCATTGTCAACGACAGCTTGAGGTTGTGTGTTCCCTGTGTGTTATTTATAATAAATAAACATTTATTTATTATAAAAGGTACACACTGTGCTTTATTGACGACAGTATGTGTTGGAGGAAACATGAGAGAGTGTTAGGAGAGCGGCTCCGACCCCCAACGCATGTGGCCAGGCATCCAGGCCATCATGACCATAAGGCAACCAACTCTACCCCCCGAAACAGTGACGCCTCCTTCCCTGACGAGCTGAGCAGCTTTTACGCTCGCGTCGACAGGGACAATGAGGACGTGGCCTGTACATCTCCTTGAATGACATGTTGCAGTAAAGTACATTTACACCATTTAAAGCCCTCAAAGACTCTCACACTAAACTTACCAGGTATGATGATAAATACAAAAGAGCAGTATGATGTAAAGACACACTGTAGATTGCTGGTGTGATGATGGTGTGATATTTGAGCCTCTTCTCCTCTGTCTCCTCTCACAGGGAGGAGATGATCTGCAGGATCCTGGTGATCTTCATCCTGACCTCCTGTGTCTGTGGTGAGTTCACTTTTTTGTTTGTGAAGCATCAGCACACACTCCCCAGAAACATCTGGAGATGGAGTCTAAAGGCTCCATGTTAAAGCTGTCAGTTTGTCACCTCCTCCTCTCGTTCTGTCTCCTCAGCAGGGTCATTTGTAGTCAATGTGACACAGAGCTGGTATCATGCAGAGGAGAACCACAACGTCTCACTGGAATGGATGTTCCCCACCAGCACGGACCACTCCACCAACTCCCTTTATGTCTCATGCGAGATGTTAGTTGATATGATACCATTACTCATGTTTCATCTACATAAAGGTGTTGAGTTCCCAGAGTTGCAGGACAAACGCTTTGCAGGACGAGTCCAGTGGGACAAAGACGTCCTCGGAGAAGGACAACTCAGACTTCACATCTCCAGACTCCAGACTAATGACTCGGGGCTGTACTGGTGTGAAGTGGACACAAGTTATGGGAGGAACTTTAAGGAATGTCACCTCAACGTCACCGGTAGGTTCATTAAGTTAAATTTACTAACACGTTCAGCAACTTCATTCAGATACATTTTTTTTTTCTTTACATGAATAAAAAATATTTCTCTGGTCTCTTTGCAGCAGTGAAGGATCGGCCTGAGACAACAAGTGATACGAGTCTGAGAAGAAGTCCTCAGGGAATGATCGGCCTCTACTCTGCACTGGGACTGACCGCTGTACTGGGTTTTTATTTATTTTATCTCTGCATGGCAAAAAATATTAGAGATCAACACAACAAACGAACCACATCTGTATCTTGGACATCTTGGATCTTGTAAAGTGGACGTTACAATTTAATTGTGTTGTTGTGCAACTGGTCAGACCGGCCGTCTGAGGAACTAGCTTTTTCCCAGAGCTGTTACATTACATTACAGGTCACCCTTTTGAACTCTTTCCCCCCCCTCTGGTCCCCATTACACTACTCTATCTGCACTGAAGACACTTTATACCATTTGTTTACTCTCAATTCAATATGCACTTAATATTTGCACTAGTTTAGCAACCCCTGATGGTTTCTGTTTATATCTCCACATTTAATGTGAATCTGTCTGTTTTGCCTAATTTATTACCAAATAGTACCATAGGCCATAAGACAACCTCTGTATAGTGTTTAATGTATCTATGATCTGTATATACTGTTATCTATTAAAATACTTTCTGTTGCACTGGTTTGATGCCAAACTGCATTTCGCTGCTCGCTACTTGTACATGTGTAATGACAATAAAGTTGAATCTAATGGTTTTAGTGCTTTTAGCTCAGACTCTGGACTCAAAAGCAGACTAGAGGTGAGGTAGTCAGGTTCAAACAAGGCCTTTGGCAGTGTGTGAGGGTGCAGATGATGATGATCTGTTAAAGCTTGTGAGTATTGATGGACATCTATTGAAAATGATGACGTCCGAAGCCTCGCTGCCCGGCTGTACCACGTGACTGCTTCGGGAAGTGGTTCAGATTTTGCTGGGAGGTTTGACAGCAATATAAACCCCTCAGGCTCCATTCAAAATGTGGCTTGTTGGTGGAGAGTTATGGTCAGTTGAGAGTTTGGGTAGTTTGGAGAGTTGAGAGAGTGAGAGAGATAGTTTGGAGAGCGAGCAGAGAAGAATAGGTGATAAGATGGAGCCAGCTAGGAAGAGGACGGTATCCCCTGTGTGGGAACACTTTGATTTGATAACTCCTAATAAGGTGAACGAAATCTAACTCTTTCAGACACACTAGGTTTGCTTATTAAGAACTGTATTTTTCAGTTTCTTATTGTATTCAAAGGTGAGGTGTTGATTGTGCTCCAAAGAGTTGGGGTACAGTAACAACACCTCTTCCATGCTGAGGCATCACCGTGCCTTGCATGATGATAAGGAGGAAACTGGAGCTTCACCCAGCCAAGGTAAGTCATCACAATATTACAAATGCATCAAGACCATTTTTCCCTGTTCGCTTTTGTTTATTGTGCAAATAAAGGCCGGTAACAGACACTGTATTTATTCTCTTTTAACCAGCCATCAGAAAACAAGAGCTGGATGACGCCCTCGTCTCATGATAGTGAAGGACACACAGCCCTTCAGTATTGTGGATGATGTTGGATTCAGGGCATTTGTGTCCAAACTGGATCCTAATTATGTGTTAGGAGGGAGATTTGACCCAACACACAGAGATCACACAGGACTGATAATCTGTAAAAGGGATTTTAGCCAGGTGAGGGGGACGGAGGCAGGTGGCACGGCAGGTCAGAGCGGGGACAGCAGAATCTGGACAAAGGAATCAGGGTTAGACACAAGAACCGTATGAATACTCAAAGTCTTGGGGCGCCAGGATACGAAGTCAAGTTACCACGCAGGGGGGGTGTGTAACGATCTGGCGCTGGAGAAGCAGACGGCCCCGGTTTAAATACTGGAGGGCTGAATCGTGGAATGGAGATCAGCTGTGTGGGGACGGTTCAGATGACTGGCCACGCCTCTTGTAGGTGGAGACAAACAGCACAGACAGACACACCGGGGGAAAGGAAGGTACAAACACACAGGATGGGGAGAAAACAGCAGCTGACCCATAACGTTATGTTCTCCCCACAAGGCAGGTATGTATGGGTGCATGCATGAAACAAACATGTGGACATCCATCAATACGTATTCCTACCTAGCTGTAACGTGCCATTTTGTGGGTGAGAGAACCACCCTCAGTTCAGTGCTGCTAGCAGTGCAGGCCTTCCCCCAACCGCACACTGCTGAAAATATAGCTCATGTGAAAGCTTACCTGATGGAGGAATGGGGAAATGCTAATAAGGTGACATGTATGCTCACTGATGGTGCTCCCAATATGCTTGCCTGTGTGAGAGCGCTGAAGCTTCGGCACCATTATTTGCATTGCACACACACTGAATCTGACGGTGAAGAAGGCACTTGACCAGCAGCCTGTGCTCTTTGGCCTCCGGGCCAAAGCACGGAAGCTGGTTGGCTTCTTTAGAAGCAGCACCACTGCTCTTTGCCTTTATTCCAACTTCTAATAACGCTAATAGTTTGTCTGTGCTCCTACTGCAGTGATTTAATGGCCTACTCATCTGTATCTTTAAAGGAGAAGCTTACACAAGTGCAACTTCATCTGGGGATGGAAAACATGAAGCTAATGCAAGAAGTGGAGACCAGATGGAACAGCACATATTTGATGCTGCAACGTTTGGTGGAGCAAAGGGAGCCAGTAGGAGCAGCGTTGCGTTACAACATGACCTTCCTAACAGCAGAAGAGTTCAACATTGTTGGCCGGTGCCTTTCTTTGCTGTCTCCCTTCTATGATGCCACTGTAGAGCTGTCGGCAGAGGAAAATGTGTCTGCCTCCAAAGTTGTCCCCCTCGTGAAGATGCTGGATCAAAACCTTCAGGGGGAAATAACAAAACCGGCACCTGCAGCAGCGTTGGGAATGGGAGACCAGCTCATAAGGCAACTCCGGGAGAAGCTGTACACTTTGCAGTTGATGAGCATCATGTCTCTTGCGACCCTCCTGGATTTACCCCCGATTTAAAGTTCTAGGATTTTTCAGCCAAACAAAAGCCACCGAAGCAATAAAACGACTGACCTCCGAGTGTGCCGCCATTATACGGTCAAAACAAAGCAGAGAGGAAATCCCCCAGGCTTCCACCTCTCATGATGTCACAGGAGGTAATCTATTGTTTTACATTTTGAGATCAATTATTCCAATGAGAACACTTACATGTAACATGATCTGTGGTTTCCTCCTAGGTAGCAAACTGTGGCATCGTTTAGAAACCATGGAGGCACAGAAGACTCAAAATGTAAAGGCAGATGCCACTGTGGAGGCCCAGCGCTGCCTCTCAGAGCCAAATATAAGCAGGCTGGAAAACCCTCTGGTGTCAAAATTTCTATAGACTTGCTTTTATATAGACTGCGTTTTTTTGTGCACGCCAGCATCTTCTGTACCCCGTGAAAGGGTGTTTTCAATGGCCGGAGAGGTTGTGTCAAAAAAAGGAATTGTTTAAAACCAAAAACTGTTGAGAAACTTATTTCTGAATAAAAATGAATAAAATGTCCCCTGTCCTGTACATCATTGTCCAAGTTCCACAAGCATATTCAGTCCCCTCGTCCTAGTTCCACAAGACCTTTGAATTTGAATTGTTTTTTTTGTATAAAAAGGGAAACAAATGTTACTACTTGTACACACAAGGAAAATACAAATTATTAAAAAATATATAGATATAACAACAATGAGCTTAGGCACAACGGAAAAAAAGGAGTGGGAAGAAGCATGACACTTATTTGATGTCCCACCCCTTTTCAACTGCTCTCCAGCCTGTACCCACACAGAATACTACATAATACACCTACATACCACGCATACACTTCACAAATATCCAATCACAAAAAGAAACATACACCACATCCATATCCCTGCAAACATACCTATAACATGTATATTTATATTTATATATATGTATATACACTAATAATAATATGTATTTATTTAATAATGATGATATACAATATACATTATATATACTAAATACAATATAACATATATATAGTGCTGAGTGGTTATACCAATCACCTCTTCGTCACAGTACCCGTTGAGAATCACCAGTTTGAGTCTTTTTTTATACAGTCTTGCTTGGACTTTGCTTCAGCTCTTTTTGAAGTTTATTCCAGACCTTCACACCTTTGACTGAAATGCACATTCTCTTCATTCGAACCCTCAAGGTTCTGAAGTTAAGGTTTTCCCTGTAATCATTTGAATGTCCTCTGCCTGCTTAAGCCGATGCCGTTTTGCTGTGACAGAATAGCATTACACAACCTGCCATATCATATGATCCAACTATTTGGGGAAAATTTACACACAGAATACTTTCTAATAATATACTTATTATGCACATATGTGATAATTTATGTACAGAAATCATTTGGTCATACATGTTTGTAATTCATAGTCATTCACAACAGGCACAAATATTCAAATGCAGCTTCCTGTGATTATACACTTGGCCAGTAGGTGGTTTCGTGTACACAATGAAGTTTCGAGAAAACGAACCAGTTCTTCAACGCATGGCTTTGTTTTTACAGGTAGAGGGATCGGGGAAGGTCCTGGCTCCACGAGGCATCTCACAAAGTAGGCGAGTCACCTCAGCAGACAGACCTGTGCCCTTTCAAAAATTCTTCTCGTTATGTTTACGAGGACACGGGCGTCACCCCGCGTCGTTATTTTCCTTACTCATCAGTTTAAGGCATGACCAGTCAACTATCGAAGAATGGTCTAGTCTCAGTGTCCAGGTGTTCTTGGTCAGAGTGCTGACTCTGGTGGCGTGGAATTGGTTTATTTTCATTTACTTCAACAGATGCCACTATGTAGGGTAATAACCTACGTAAAATAAACGGCAAGCAGTGCTTTGAATGAGGTAAACTGTGTATATATTGCCCCCAACCGCATTATATTTGTGGCAATTTCGCGCAAAGGATCATGGGCCGAGAATGTATGCCCCTTGTATTTTGGCAAAAGTAATCGATCGCAGACACTTTCACTCTAACAGTCTTAAGGAGTAGAGTCGGTATTTTTTACGATAGTTTGTCATACTCCACTAACGTAAAGTCTAAAGTCAACTTATGGTGGTAGTACAATCATCTCTATTAACTTAAATTAACCATTGATAGTTTGCATTCTGACCCAAATCGGCTTCCGTAGCCTCAACTAAAAATATTCTCCTTCACGCATGCGCAGTGAGCCCGTGTGAGAAAATGGCAGACGTCTCTTTGGATGAAGTGATACGACAGCGCGGTATTAACCTCAAGGCACCAGCAAAACGGTATTAAAGCTATCAACGCAGAGACTAATATTTACGTATTGAGAATGTAGCCACTAATAACAATATTTCTAAAAGCATAACGTACATTGAGAGCCGGTTATACCTAACGTTAAAGTGTATTCCTTAACGTGAGCTAACGTTAGCTCATTGCAGCGTCAGCTAGCTAGGCTGTGTGTATTAGCTGTAGGCCTTTATGTGTGAAGCCATTCGACGTTGCATTTGGAGAGCTGCGGCTAGATAGTCAACCAGACACACATTTTACAAGCAAACATTTCGATAACGCGTAAGTCCGAAGTGACCAGTCGATTTTTGTTCGTAGCTACACACGTCGGGCTTAGTTAGCTTATAGCTTGCAAGCTAGTATTTATGTTCGTTTATTGTCGCACATATTGAACAGACGTGCTCGCTTTATGCAGTGAACTATGGGGTGACTATTTCAACCCAAGTCCAAATGTATTTATGTTGTTCCTCCACCGCCGTAATGTGAAAAGGCGCCGAAGAAATTATACTCGTATTGTCTGTGTAAATAGAAGGGCCGAGCACGACAGCCATTAACATGTTTTATGTCTCACTGTAAGTCAGTCACAGTTGAAAAAAAGTATTGTATGGTGAATGTGGTCAAACACGCCCGTGTAAAGTGTGAACTTTAAATTGTGAGCTGGACAACTTCCTTTGCTAAACATGAAGAAACGCTTTCTTCTTTCAGACCCATGTTCGGACGGGGAGCAGGAGGAGTTGGCAAGAGTTTTGATGCTCGCCAAAAGATTGGGGCCAATGATGTCAGACAGCGGCTTGGAGCAGGTAAAAACATTATTGCCAAAGAGTAAAAACCAACTGCTGGGGATTAGTGCTAAACATACACCTCGATCTCCCTCAGGTTTTCAAGTGAAAGATGCCAGAGAGAAGCTGGTTCAGAAGGATGCTCGCTTTAAAATCCGTGGCAGGGGAGGAGCAGGCGGGGTGCAGGATGCTCGGCAGATGATCAACTCACGCAAGCAGGGGCAGAAGCAGTTCGGCCTCCCAGCACAGACCTCGCCAAAGATGGCAGTAACACACCATCTGCAGAGTCCGACAATCGTGCCACAGATACAGATACAAACCAACAACAATCTTGCCGGTGTGAACAGCAGGCAGTATAACCCTAATATACAAGGACTGAGTGCGAGGGCCAGCGTCACGCCGCAGCTGAGCAATAATAAGAGAATGATTGATGCTCGTGATCGACTGAGCCTGAAGAGGAGCATTGGAGGGACACAGACACAGGCAGGTTTTGTACCGCCTCTAAAAATAACCAAGACCATCCAGGTGAGGTTAAATAAGTTACTTTGTTCCTAGCAGATCAGTGCATGTGCTGTACATTTGCTCGCTGAAGCCTAAAAGCACATTGACCTGTGTACTGTACTCTAATGTTTGGTTTCTTTTCAAATATATTTTTACAGCAAAATCCAGTAGCAGTAGGAATGTCTGCGGGAATCCGGACGGCCCCACAGGTAAAGCTGCTGTTTTGTGTGTTGACCAAACTATCTTTAAAAGAAAAAAACAATGTTTCCCTTGTTTAAGTTCGTCCAACATAGTAGACCCCCTTTTGTCTCCTGCAGCGTCTCTCTAACGAGCATGATGGCGGCCACAGTAAACAAATGAAGATCACTACAGCTCATAATATGCTGCAATCACGGGTAAGTGCTGCTATACCACAGCTGAAGCAACTTTGTATATATTCATGATCAGCATAGCGACTGAAAGGCATAAGTATTTACCACGTTAAATCCATTTTTCCCCCAGTCTGGTCCAGTGGGCTCCACCTTTTCTATGTCCGCCCCAATCACCAAGGTGGTTAAAAATGATGCCTACACAGCTCCACGCCCTCCCGTCCCCGTGGCACCAACCCGGCCCAACGCCAGCATGGCTGCCACCCGGTCCTCTGCTGCCGCCATGCAGGCGGTCTCCAGGACTCTCCAGCAAAGCGCAGCGGAAACCAGCACAGCAGCTCCTGCTCCCCCACAGGTACGACCTTTTCCTCCCTCTATCAGTAATGTAGCAAAGTGTGCAAACGTTCCCTGCTTTCTCAGCTGGCTCCACCTAATGTTTAAGCTGTGTTTAGCATTTATCCTAGATGTAATGAATCAGTAATTCGGCAAATTTAGGTAGTTGGCAGAAAACAACCAAGTTAGGATTGATTGCTAATTTATAAAGCTAGTTCATTAGAAATGCTTGCACCAACAACGCCTTGTTGGCTTTTGGATGGTTGAACTAGTTATAGAAAACATTTTAGGATAACCTCCTGGCTGGCTTAACTATGTTTAAAACCATATAGGACCATAACTGTAACTTCAACGATGACGTGTACCAATGAATGAAACTTGGATTAACAACCGGGTTAACCACACCATGATGCTTGCACACTTTTTTTAATGGCTTTCATTCCATATATCTGATCATGTGGTGTTTTTCCTTTTTCAGCCTGCCTTCAGTCCCTTGGAGGGGACAAAAATAACAGTGAACAACCTGCACCCCCGAGTCACCGAGGAGGACATAGTTGTAAGTAACAACTTTTTTGCAATATTTGATATTCAAAGACATTTGCTGAAGTGCCGTGATGACTCATTCGGCTGTGTGTGGACTTGTGCTCCACGCCTATTTGTCCACAGGAACTGTTCTGTGTGTGCGGGGCATTGAAGCGAGCTCGGCTGGCAAAGGTGGGCGTGGCCGAAGTGGTTTTTGTGCGCAAAGAAGACGCCGTTAGCGCTTACAGGAAGTACAACAACCGCTGCCTGGACGGTGAGTGCCAGGAGCAAACATCAACATCAGCTCTGAGTCTGAGGCTCTTTGCTTGTGTTGTGCATGCAGGTCAATGACTACGATGACATTGCTGGTTAGAGCCAATCCTGTGTACGTTTGTTGGGGATCAGAAAAAGATGCTTTTGTCAAACTGATGGATGGACAGGTTAGATGTACTTACCGTAAAACGTGGGCTAAAAAAATCAGCCTTTTATACGCTGCACTAGAATAAAAAGTGAAGTATTAAATCTTAAACAAGTCGCTGCCGCCCGAGTCAAGAGTTGAGGAAATAGATGAGTAAAAGGGATCTGCTTATAACCTGCATTTTACAATAGTTTCGCAGGTTAGTGGAGTTTGGGTGTTTTTTTTGTTTGTTCTCATTGCGTCTTCTTGTCCTCCCACAGGACAACCCATGAAGTGTAACCTTCATATTCAGGGAAACGTCATCACTTCGGATCAGCCCATTCTATTGTAAGTGATTTCATTTTGTGTGTGTGTGTGTGTGTGTGTGTGTGTGTGTGTGTGTGTGTGTGTGTGTGTGTGTGTGTGTGTGTGTGTGTGTGTGTGTGTACACTTTATCTTTAGTACGACTCATGAGCTCTTATTTCACCTGAGACTGACTGACTGAAATGTTTGCAGACCATTTACTTTTTAAGTAAGAAGTATAATGGAGTCTTTTGATCAGTGTCTGACCTAAAACAACATTTGGGTGTTTGGTAACTGCAGTGTTGCATTGAGCTGCCTCTTGATGAACCACTTAACTCAGATGAGACATTTTCTCATTTTTAGTCCAAGTGATGAATATAGTGTTTCAGAATAATCACTCCGACTGCGTAAAGATACAAAGTGACGGAATTCACTATCTGAAGACAGTTTTGCTGCACATCAACATTGAATACACGAAAAATAGGACCTGCAGAAGTTCTGATAGACATGAAACCCTGTATATTGTTTAGTACCTTTTTGTCACTGAGACATCTTTGCCCCCCTGCCCCACTCAGGAGACTCAGCGACACTCCAGGCGCGAGCAGCGGCTCAAAGAAAGATGGTCTGCCCCCCTCCCTGTCTCGCCCCGGGGGTCAGCGGGCCTCCTCTCAGCCCACCCCGGAGGTGGATCCTCAGACCATCCTCAAAGCTTTGTTCAAGTCCACCGCACAGTCCACCTCCACCACGGAGCCCCCCAGCTCTCAGGCCACTGCCTTTCGCATCAAGATATAGCCTGTGTGAATGTCCTTTTCTCTGCAACATAGTGCTACGTTCAGTGTTCACGTACAAACCGCGGTTTTCATCTTGGCAGCAGCGCGGCCCACATTCTCTCACATGAAACAGATTGTACACATTTGATATACACAGCATCTCTCCACGGGATATTTGTGGAAATGCAAAATGTAGGCGGTCTGTTCCTGATGGGGACTAGTGGAAGGAAATGTGATGTGATTTGTTTTAATCCAACATGTTGGCCGACGCCAAATCAAACTGGATGTTTAGGATTTTCTTTTATTTTGATGTCAACTCGGTAACCGCCCATGTGGATAGTTTTTTTTATATTTTAATAATGCAGTGCTTCACCCCCCCCTCCCCCCTCCCTACCTGCCTGTCCAAATTTGGGCATGGAAAAGATACTTTATAAAAGGAATTGAAAGATACCAATTCATCCATTGTTGAGAGAAACGTTAAGTTTGAGGCTTCGTATCTCCACACAGATGTGTGCCGTTGTATTGCCATGCCTCTTTTTGCATGTTCTCCATTGAGAGAGAGCGGAACATAGACCAAACTAAAAGTAGAAGAGATGCCATTCAGTTAATATTATCTTAATATTATCTGAGACGAGGCAGAGCCATTTGGTTGTCTTTAGCAATTCCTTTCCACAAGTCTACGTACCATCAACCTGAAAGAAGGTCTTCCTAGCAGATGTGGCTGAAAACACTTGGAGTAAATCAGGTATTAACAAACTATAATACCACAATTTTCATTAAACCAGTTTTCAAACCGCCGTACGTTGATATTTAGTTTTATAATCCTTGTGGCGACCAGATTCTTGTGTGCGACTGGATTTACAGTATGTGTAATTCTTCCCTAGTATACATTACACCTGATTTATGTTGAAAGACTGTAAATGACTTTGTTGCTTTCTTGGTATCGGTGAAGAGGCTCGAGGGGTCAGATCTGTCTGTGAAATGTCGCCATTAAATATTTAGCTTTGTAGACGTTGTCTGTCTCTTCTTTCCTGCCTACCATGTGATCATGATGCTGCATCTTTTTTTAACTAGGCAGACAAAGTTCTGGTCTTTCTAAATTTATATTTGAATTTATCATTTATCCGATTATCCATTTATCCAAAGCGAGTTACAATAGTAATTTCACGTCCGGCATAATTACCTATCACTTATTCCTATAACGTCACCTTTGGACATTGAAGACAAATTTAAAACTAAACAGCCAAAACTTTTATCAGTCTTGAATACTGTTCAGAAACATCCGTGGAAATATATATTTTATAATAAAATCCAATTAAAAGGTCTTTGGTAGAATTATTTTGGATTTTACTTGGTGCAGTCTATCTACGTTTATTTAGTATGTATGTTTGTTTAGTAATGTTTTACACTAAAAATAACTTATTTTAAATGGCTGCTGGGAATTTCGTCTCTGGTAATGAAATGAATATTTATATATCATCGCTAAAAACCTAATTTGTTTTTATAAATAAATCCTGTACGTAGTTTGTTGTACTTCCGGTGTGAAAGGTCACATCAAGATGGCGCCGTCCACGAAGAAACATGCTAGTGGCCGCGCTTGTGTTGTTCCTGGAGGATTTACAGGTATTAACTGACTAAATGAAGACCATCCTATTCATATTTATAAAGTACACTCGTCGCACTGAACTTTGCCGTGTGGTTCTGCGGGTCCCGGGTGGCCATTGAACGGGCTGTCGCGGAGGACTCGCTCGCCGATCAAACCGACTGTGTTTTGGGTTAAAGTAACACGTTATGCTTCCACCCTCCGTGTCTCCTCGCAGAGATCTCCCTAAAGTTCACCTCCGACAGCGTTGCTACCCACAAGCTCTACGTGAAAGAGCACAAAGTCCGAGCGCAGACCTCCCACCGACCGATGGACCGGACGTTGTTTCTGCTCAACGTGCCCCCGTACTGCTCGGAGGTACCGCGCCGTCTGCGCTGCGCGATCCGTCCGCGAGGAGAGTCGTCCGCATCGTCGTCATCCTCCCTGTCGTTTTGTGTTTCAGGTTGTTATCAAAGAGCTGTTCTCCCAGTTCGGCAGCGTTCAGTGGGTGGACCTGAGGGACCATCCGGGCTCCTCTCCGGAGTCTGGTCCCAAACTGTCCCGGTTCTTTAAACCGGCCGAGAAACAGGTTGGCATGCGCTGCTGAGCCAAACGCTCCCTGCACTCTGCTCCGGGTGGCTTTCTTTACCTCTTGTGTCTCTGCCGCCTCCCTGCAGGGTTTCAAAGTGGGCTACGTTGTGTTCCAAAACGCCGCCAGTGTATCCGCGGCTAAATCGCACCCGCACGACACGCCTTTGCTGGTGTGCACAGAGCAGCGTACAGTGAAGACGGGAGTACAGAGTGAGTGTGGCTTAACATTTAATAAGAACTATTAGTATTACAGTGCCAATGAGATCCCCCATCCTTGTTGATCGAATTCAAACATGGAACAAATCAGGGCTTCGGACTTTTCTTTTCTCCCCCTCCAGAATGGATCGAGCAATACACGCAGTCGTTTTGCGCCCCGGACAAACTGCAGCAAGTAGTCGACTCCTTCATGGAAGACTACGACAAGCGGAAAGCGGAGGTGAGGCCCACGCAGCTCTTCCCTAGCGTCACGCCGCCTGTCCAGTCAGAGTGGCTTCATTCGTTTTTTTGGTTTGTATTCTTCGTCACAGGAAGCGGACAGGCAGAAAGAGGAGGCCAAGCAGCAGGAAGAGGAAGAAGAGGGCTGGGTGAAAGTCTCAAGGGGACCAAAGGGCACCAAGGCCCGACCCCACAGCGAGGCGGCCAACAAGAGGACTCTAGCGAAAGAGAGCAGGAATAGGAAGAGGAAGGAGCTGATGAACTTCTACACCTGGCAGCACAAGAACATGCAGAAAGACCGTAAGTTCCCCATGAAGGTTTTCCATCTGCAGGCCAGACATGTGTCCTTGGTGTCGAGTGAAGGAGATGGAAGCAGTCAAGCTTGGTTAGACTCTTATGGCTCATACACGTTCTGTCTTTTTTCCAGAAATTGCCGACCTAAGGAAAAAGTTTGAGGAGGATAAGCAGAGAATAGCCCTGCTGAGGGCACAGAGAAAGTTCAGACCGTACTGATGACCTGCTCTGAACTTCTGTCCCTCATTTCACTGCTTTTTGTTTTGAGATTGTGTGTCAATAAACCATTATTCTGACTAAAAGGTATTTGCTAAATCATTGATGTTGGCAGAATAAAGTGTTACATTTTTTTTTTTTAATTAAAGAGAAATGTCCTGGAAGAATTAAAACATTAAAGCAGCCACGATGAATGACAACAGCCTTTTTCCCCCCCTTAATCAAAATGACAAACTACAAAAATTCTTTAATGCAGTGAAAAGTTTTATTGAAATAGATCCTCAACTTGTCCCTCAATAACTTGCGGAGCTTCTGGCCTCTGATGCTTCCGGATGCTCGACCACAGAGCAACCATCAGGATCAACACCAGGGCGGCGCCGACGCCAGAGAGAACACACGCAGTCACCTGGAACACTGAGGGGGAAGAAGGACCGCCATTAAATTCAACAGTCACATGCCAACTGCAGTCCCCGTGTGCAGATCAGGACTCACTCGTCTTCTGTTTAACGCATCGGTTGTCCTCCAGTTCGGTGACGTTGTGTCCCAGCAGCAGCGGTCCCAGAGAGACCAGGTTGTACTGAGACGTGGCCCCTCTCCTCCGCCGCTCACCATCAGCCGCTGTGAGAGGAGGAGAGGCAAGAGTTAAAAATCATACCAAGTGGACAAGAAGAAAAAAAAACTCTTTACTACTCACAAACGATAGCGCAAGGCTGGGCACAGTCGGCGGCGTTCGTGCAGATTTCCACCCAACAGTAGAAGTACATCTGAGCGAGGGATTGAGCACATTTGCAAAAGGACACCCTTTTTTGATCTCATTGAAAACATGCAGAGGTAAAACATTACCTCCTCCCCGCTCGGGTGGCCCGTGTGAGGGTCCAAGAAGGCAAAGGTCTTGACGTCGAACCGCCTGAATTGGGAGTGGCTGTCGATCTTCCCCCCGTCGCTCACAGGGACTGAGCTCCTCATGTTATCCAAAGGGTTGGGGCATCTACCCAGGAGCAGAGAGACACTTGTGAGTTGTTCAGTAGTCTGTACACGCAAGTTCAACGTCGCCCCAAGACGCCGCTGTCCTGGTTCTCCACCTTACCCGTCGTGGAGAAGCGTCCACACAGAGTGCCCAGACGCAGGGTAGGCAAAGCAGTCCCGTACACGCAGGGAAAGCGAGGGGTCCGGGGACGGCTGGGCGATGGAGACCTCCACGTAGACAACCTTGCGCAGCGGAAAGGTGATTGGAAGCTGCTCCTCGGGAAAGAAGGAGGTGAAGGACGCATCTAGGAGGAATGAGTAAATCACACAGGTGATGGCTAAGGCTTAGTTTGGAGGACTCGGCGCAGTGCAATGAGTGAACCCACACACTTTTACCTTGGGCAATTCTCATTTGCACGACCATAGTTCCCAGTGCAACAGCAGGTGGTGGTTTGGTCACCGGAGAGAAGGGCCGCAAGTCTGCGGCACGCTTTACATGAAGCGCGTTGTATTCACACTGGACCTGGACACTGAAGACCTCACCCTTGATAATGTCATCACCAGTGTACTCTAACATGCAACCAACCGGACCACCGGCTTTATGCTACAAAAAGAACTCACTTAAATGGAGAATGTTTGGTTACTCCTTTGGTCTGCAGCTCCTCCACTTCCAGCTCGAAGATCTTCATGTCTCCTTTCACCTAAAAGCCGGGATTCAGACATGCATGAGCTACTTCCTGCAGGGAGATCTCGCTTGGGTGACGTGGGATATAATTCAGTAGGACAATCAGGGCAATCGCTCATTCTTTCATCGAAGTACTAGATCATCTTGAGTAGGGATCTTCATGACGAGCGGCATTACCGTCATCTTGGCACCACAGTCCATAATGCCGATCTTAAAGACAGCCGTGTCAGTGGTGGTGGCCGCAGGGGAGCAGTGCGGCTGACCCTTGACTGTGAGGCTGCTGGGATCGATGGGCGGGTCCGTGTCCGTGGACTTCACCGAGAACACAAAGTGTCCATCCACAGAGCAGGCTGCAGAGAGTTAACGCGCCAAAAACACGTTACGCTTCAAAACAAGCATGTTCGCCATGTCGTCGTATTTGGAGGAAATGCAGAACCTTCTAGCGCTTCACACGCTCCCCTCACCATCGAGCCTGTAGTAGCAAGTGGATTCCTCGGCGTCGTAACAGCATCCCAGTTTGTCGCAGGCGTCACCAGAGATGCTTCGGGGGCCGCAGTCCAGTCGCAGAGCTCTTTCCGTATCACAATTTCCAGGTAACGCTGGAGAAGAGCCATGTTGTGATTGTCCCAAAGTGATGCAGTGAGTTGTTCCCACTCAGTCTCAGTATTACACAAAATGTATCATTCAGAAATCCTGACTAGGCGCCAAAAGGAAAATGGGCACAGACTGAGTGTATAGAGGACATAACAGTGTCAATAGGCCTGCTGTGCTCATCGGCTCTCTCCACTCACGTGTTGGGATGGGGGGAGTCCTCACCCTTTGTCTCTTTATTAGAGGACAGCTGATGTTTACCCTCAGCCAGCGATCCTCTCCCGTCAGCTGGATCTGCAGAGGGACGATCACTTTGCTGCCCTGTGGATCAAAAGGTCGTCACAATGTGCATGTTCAGAAACCACAAACATTATTGTGCTTTTAAATCTGTGCAGAAAAACACAAAAGGGACATAAAATAGGAGGCACATTGCCACTAAAGCCCCTCAGCCCGGCCGAGGACTCACCTTTTAGAGATATTAATTCTTACAGATATTATGGGGAAGATGCTGCAAGCAGAAACACAATGTCCCCGACCCCCCTACCGCATCCCCCTAAATGTCACAGTCTCCCATTTCACCTCAATCCGTGCATAGCAGCTGTCATATCCGCTGAAGAAGGAGAGGTTCTGTTTTTTGTCTCTGGCCAGTCTCACTCCACACGACTCATCAGACTGAAGCACTGGTATCATGGCCCCTGTCCGGTCTAAAAAAAACACAAAGTATAGTATTATCAATAGAATATTGGTAGGTTCTCAATATTGGCATTGGATCTATTTGTGAATTAAACAATTGGATGAGCGCTTGCTGAAACCATTTCCAACCACGTTCGTCACCAGTGGCGGCTGGCCCCACCTGGACTGCCCCTCCTTGAGCCCAGAAAAAAGAGAATATTGAATTATAAAAAATTTAAATATTTGTGTTTTTGAAATATGGAATGTACTAATATTTTTACAGTAATATTTTTTAAATATGATATCTGTGCAAAACATATGCTTTTCATGCACGTCCCTGTCGGTCATGTGCATTTTAGCTGTGCTTGGGGCAATTGCTCGCCGAAGGCGGGTCTAAGAAGCACTTTAGCCAGTTGCTGATGCCTTAAATAGACTCAGCTTGGGGGCAACATTGGTTTTGCCCTCTAACCTTTTCCACCAGCCGCCACTGTTGGTCCCCTCGGGGGGGTTTGGAAACATATAATTGCAATAGAGGACGTGATCTCACCTTTAACATGTATGTTACTTTTGACCAGCGGGCCGAACACGGCTCTTATCCTTCGATTGAAGCACGAGACTTTGGGCATGGCGGGCTGCGCAGGTGTTGTCTCCACCTGGACTGCTGAGAAGCAGCAGCAGTGCTGAGCCACGAGGGCTACAACGAGAGAAGTCAAAAAACGGTTTGCACAACGAGAAATCATTTCACGGTTTTGCGATCGGAAATAAATCACGTGCTTCATTTGACGCTAGGAAGGCGTCACGTGACTTGTGTTAATTGGAGTTAATTAGTTCGACGCCCGCGTCCTCCTCCACCAACACTTGCAACCTGCGGGCTGCCGGTTAAAAGTTGCGTTGAAAAGTGGGTCAGACTGAGCTGGGAATTGATAGAAAGGTCGTTGTTTGAATAATACATATGATGAGCACATGTGTCCTCGGGGAAGCCGTGAAATGAAATCATTGCGTAACATAAAGGTCTCGTCAACCTCTCCCCCCTCTCCCTGTGGCAAAGCTTGTACCCATAATAGCTGCTAACTGCACAGCTTGAAACCTTTATTCATGACGGCCTGTTGTTGGAAATGAAACCAATTAGTGGCCTTTCAATCTGCTTGTACGGGTGTTCTTGTACTTCATAAAGCACGGCGAAGTCGAACAATTATTAATAATAATAATAATAGTAATTAATATACACAATAGACAATAATAATAGTCACTCTTCAACCGGGCACAGAAGCGCGTTGACCGTTGCCGAGTCACGGGTCGTCATGACGTAACGCGCCCGTGACGTCATTGAGGCGTCCCAGTCGGGCTGACGATCACACTTCGGCACGGAAAGCAGGCGACAACAAGCGGTCTCCCAAACATGGCTTTGAACCGGAATCATTCGCAGAACGGTGGCGTTCTGGTCAGCAACGGAGAAAGGCACGTGTATAATATCCAGGCCGGGTTGTTTATCGTGTGGAGCGGCCGGCTGTCGCCTCTCGTTTGGCTTGTTTACCTTCTACTGCCCAGTGCGTAGTCAACACAATGCTATCCGTCAGCTAGCCTCCCGCTAGCTGGCCTGCTTAGCATTCTTAGCTAACGCGTCTGTTCCATTGTTTACGTCGGACTTAGTTTAGGCTCATTCAACTGTTTTGTTTCCTGTTTAACGGTTACGTTATTTTATATTTCTAATATCTGGCTTAATGGCCTCCGGGTATTCGCTTTAGCTAGCTGTACGGCGAGGTGGCTAACTCGTAACGGTAGCTAACGTAACCCAAACAGGAAGTAGCGCTAGCTTTCCGCTGAATGTTGACATAACAGTCACCTGATCACGTGTCACACGAGGACTCTAACATAACGGCTTTAACGGGCGACTTCATTTTAACCTGCTGCTTCTTTCCCCAGTGTTCTACGGGAATGTAAGAACGTGGAGCTGTCATTCAGCGATGTCACCGGCAAGACGGAACTGCTCAGGGGGACGAAGAAGGGCACCATTTACCTCACACCATACAGGGTACAACCACAAACACACAAACTCCAATCAACATTATAATAAATAAAGCCGTCAGTGTTCACATTCCTATCCATCCCGCCCTAATTCTCTCTCTCTCTCCCCTCCCTGATTCTCTGGCTTAGTTGTTGTTTGTGTCAAGTAACACCAAGGACTGCTTGGGTTCAGCCATGTTCCCCTATTACCTGATGAAGGGCTGCAGCATTGAGCAGCCTGTCTTTGCAGCAAACTACATTAAAGGGAGCGTGTCAGCTGAGCCTGATGGTGGGTGGACTCTCTGTCTTTTCTTTGATGATAATCATATTGTAACGTATACAAGATTTAAAGTGCATTTGTTTGGTCGACACAAAGGGCACTATAAAACACACAGGTAAATCTTGTTTTTCGAACTAAATGTAGTTGTTTCTCTCATCAGGTGGCTGGGATGGCCAGGCCCATTTCAAGATGTCCTTCCCCAGTGGAGGAGCCATAGAAGTGGGACAGCATCTCTTCAAACTGGCCACAAATGGTCTGTAGGCTACTTTCCTAAATCACTGTTTTATGGTGCCAAAAGGCCATGTTTGCTCCTCAATAGCATTTAAATCATGAACCACATTGTAGAAAATCTAACAGTAGAGAAGCTATAGATGTACTGAAGGGGAGCCTAAATGGGTCAAAGCAAACCTTCTGGGTTTAAAGCTTTGAGGGAGTTGGGGACAGACAGACACCGACACTTTTTGCCCCCCTGATATAATGGAAGGGGAAGCACTGCTCAAATTATGCTTAGAAAGTCCTGTTTATTTTTCCTTTTCTTGCTGTATTTTAGCTTCTCGCACTACTCCTGCACAAAACGGGGCTGCCTCTTACGGCTACCCTTCTCCTGGGATGATGAATGGGTACGGCCCACCTCAATCGGCTCCTCCTGCATATCCTTACCCATCCCCCCAGCAGAATGGGTTCTACCCGGGCCCTACCCCTGCTGCTGGAAACGTGGGCTACCCCCATCCAACAGCTGCTGCAGGTACAGCATGCAGTACTTTGTAATATGATTATTGTACATGAATTGGTCAAACAGTATGTGTGACTTAATTCCATAATCCTTAAAATAAAAAGCAGGTATACACTCAAAAGATGTGTACATACTCTCATAGTTTATAGCTTTAGCCTGTACGTGGTGCGCACACATTTTGATATTTAAGTTGTCCTCAAGTAAAAAAAAAAAAGCCCACACAGACTGTAACCTCCTAAGAACTTGCAACTCCATCTCCCTCTTTCTTTGTTCCAGGAATGTACCCATCCGGATTTGACTACATGGCGCCACCTCCCCCCTACCCAGGGCCCCCCCAAAATTGGGCTGCACCTCCCCAGAACTGGACAGCAACACCAACACCACCTCCAGGTCTTTTGCTCCCTCTTTCTCTCTCCTTTTTAATTTTTCCTCTCAGTATGTCTGTGTCACTGCACCCGTCAGATTCAATCCATCGCCTCAAAGTGAATCACTTCGTAGCGCGCCACCGAAAAAAGTGGGCCGATGTCTCATCCGCTACACATCAAAATTTCAAAGGATAAACCAACCTCTCCTCCTCCCTGTACATATATTTTTGTTCCTAACACGTTGTGGATTTCGGCGAAAGCAGCCTCACCCTGAGCGCTGTGTACAAATGTTCATTTTGAACGTTGCTTTTCTAAAAGGAGCTTGAGTAGGACGTTTAGCCTTCTGTGCGTCCTCCGGCCGTGCTTGGAGATTTCGTCTCGACAATTCCTGGAGCCGTCAGTTGTTGTGCCCCGTATTACTAATAGCGTGCTCGTTGCATCATTTCCCCCTTGCAGTGTTCGGAGCTCTGGCGTCTGTTTCTAAATATGTTCCCTCTCTGTCTCTGTCACGTCTCGTTTCTGTGAGCAGGTAACTCCAAGGCGGCCGAAGCAGCTGGCAATGCGTATTACAATCCCAGCAATCCACACAATGTCTACATGCCCATGGTAAGCTGCGTCACTTCATCCGCCCCACATTTCAAGTTTTAGTGGAAGTGACAAACCCAATGGCTCGTGTGCCATGTTTAACTTTAATCGTTTGTGCTGTGCAGGAGCGGCCTCCACCATATGCACCTTTTCCAAACTCTCCTGAGAAGAAAAGTAACTGAAGCTCGCCCACCGTCACTTCAACAACACTCCTCCCTCTTCCTCTGTGTCTTTAATGAATTCTAAAGTAGAGTAATGTCGGAGGATACAGTACTTATTCCGTAGTAAGTACAGAAAAGGAAAATGTTACGGAGGGTTCAAAGATGTCCGTGATAATTCACCACTGAATTAATGATCTTTTGGAGACAGGAATAACATACCCGGCAGTTTCATCTTTTAAATTCTGTTTTTTGCTTATACTTAAGTTCATTTAAGAGGGTGGACAACTTGTAACTCTAGCTAGACTCATCATAATTAACATTCTCAATGATTTATTTCTGTCTAATTCTCTAGCACGTAGGTAAGGACACCTAAACTGTCCTTGTGGAGAGCTGACAGGAGAAGGCACTATGCGGAATGTATTTCTGACCGATTAAATACCAAAACATATTCTGACCATTTCTTGATTGCAGTTCCTGTAGTTCTTAACAATAGCCACTCTTACTATAAAAGGTTCAGTATTTTTGCAGTATTGTTGAAGGTGCCGTGTGTGTGTGTGTGTTTCCTATACAGCTATACAAGAGGCGAGCAGGTCCGTATTTAAAACAAACAAACAAACAAAAAAATTCAAAAGAGAAGCAGACTGGGTTGAATTGTGTTTAGTGATACAGTATCTGACTGATCTCATACTAGGACGAACAGGAATGGCCAGTTCAGGTTTCCCTGACATGAGGCCAGTGTGACCCTAAACTGCATCACTTACATTACAGTCCAAGTGATTCCATTCATCGTGTGACCCGAATCCCCATCACAACACATTATATAGTCGAGGTTCTTGTAATGAAAAAAGGAGCTGTGCATTGTTTGAAAAAGGGGATCAGGATGATGTATGTGCAATAATTGAACCTCTAGTAACATGGTTAAAGGAGTCACGCTGGGGCTCACCCGGGTGACCCGTGCTCGCATGCTACAGCAGCCTCTAGTATATTCATGTATGCAACGGCGAGCTGAAACCAGAACTCCACCCTCTGATAATTACGTTGGTGTGGGGTTACAGGGCCACGGCATTCTGCTAAGGGCCCTTAGTGTTTGACCTGCTGTTGAAACAAAGCATTCATTCCTGATTAAAGGGGGCCGGGGAATCGCAGCAGTTTACAACTGTTTTGAAGGACTATTTGCACACAGCGGACGTGGATATAGAATCTTTTATTTTGTTCTCGGTTTGCTTGAATTAATAAGATGTCTGTATATTAATATCTCTTTTGCTGTTCCCATTCCTTTTGCTGAATTTTGTCTGTCAAATCTAATAAATTAATCATTTATGGAAATATGATTGGTCTGTTCTTTCATTTTTAATTAATCTAATCCTGGAGTAAATATCTGAGTTCTCGCGGAATTACCTGTTGTATATTTTGGACTAACGTCCCTGACAAAAATAAGACGACTACAATTGTCTCCACTCACTGAAGGTATATATTTATTAAGTGGTGAAACACTATTGAACCTCAACATTTTATTCACTCATCACAGAAAATCTCACAGTACAGACGTCCTATAACAACGTTTCAACAGTCAGAATAAATAAAGTGGCATCGCCATTCACCACAACACAAAATATTCACTGCACACGAACGCTTCATGGATCAACACATAATCCTAAACTCTCTAGCTCCTCCCCAGCTGTCCCCTCGTTAATTCCTAAAGACCAGTTCAACTTTATGGCTCGACTCCTGTTTCTTTCCGGTTCTTTACTCGGGAGGGGAAGGAAGGGCGCGTTTTACTACTGTATATATAATCTTAATAATACATATTTCTGTCACTAAATATTAAACTAGATTAGGATGTACAAAACCCTACTGTTTGTTCTTACAGAGACTTTACCTTTGGGACAAACATTTAATTCTAAAAGGAAGGGAAAAGTCAATGACGTTTTATTTGCACAGACCACATTAAATGATTCACTGAGTTACTCCTGAGGTCGCTTCTTCTTGAGATCTATTTTCCATCGCCGTGGCAACGCGTCCCGATTGAAAGCTCGCAACAATACCTTCGCTTCTTTACACTAAATTGCTCTTCAACACCTTCTCGTTGCTCCTTGTTTCTACAAAGGGTTTAAATCAGAAACGACAGCAGGCGCGATAATGATGAACTCTAAAGCTCCCACCGCTGCAACGCCGCAGTCAGTGTGGCTACTGTACGCGCGACAAGCAAGAAGATCTGATGGGTAAAGGCAACATGGGTAATGTCTTTCCATTTTGGGTTTAAATGTCTATCAAGTCACCATATTGCTCTTACCAATCAACCGAGCGCTGTTTGAGCTACAGGATTGTCGTGAAGGGACAAAATTCAGGCTGAACAAAGGGCTCCGCGTGGGATTCGAGGGCTCCTACGGCTCTTCCTGCAGGAACCACACCTCGTTGCGGCGTCCGTAAGGCTTGAGCGGCGGGTCGTAGCTGCAGCAGAAGTACTGCTTGCGCTGGAAGGGGGCCGTCTCACCCAGGGTGCGCGTCAGACGCAAGGCCTCGGCCCGGAACTCGCTCTCTGCGGCGAAGCCTCCAAACTGCCTGCCAACAGAAAAAAAAAGAAGAGCAACTTGGTGGTTTTGTGTTTCACTGCCGTCTCATTGGGCTGGAAGACGGCCCCAATGAGAACAAATGTGTTTACTTGGGTGTCCAAAAGATTTCAGCAAATTTAGCCACGTTGTGAAAGTCATGCGCAGGCTCCCTCACACATGGGGGGTAACTTAAAGCGCATTGCCCTCAAAGACACCTACAGCGTGTAGACCGTCATGCCGGAGCGCTCCTCGATCTTGACGGCACTGTCGGAGGGGGTCGGGGGCATCATCTGGTAGCCGGAGGGGATGCGGATGGCGACCACCAGGCGGCGGGACAGAACGCCGTCGTTGCGCGGGTACACTGTGATGATGATGGGCGCTGCCGTGCCCATGGCCTCGCCTTCGTGTGAGACAGGTGGGGGGGAGTTTATAAACGGGGAACGCGGATCTAAAGGTCGCATTTCTGTGTAGCAAACATGATATGATTAAGATAAATAGCAACAGAAGAAATGCTGATCCTGCACAGAGGCCCAGATGTCAGACTGCACTTTTAGTTTAGTTTAGTTTCAGTTTGTCTGCTAAGTCTGACAGCTTCGACTGCAGCAATAGTTTGTACTGCAAAATGAGAATGGAGACATAAGTCAATCCCATCTCTGATGCGGATTAACTCTGTGACCTCAGCAAAGTCGTGTTTTCCCCCATGGGGCCTACCTTGTTCGTTGCTCCCCCCGATGTACATGAGCAGCTTCCTCACCAGCTCCCCTGTGACTTGGTCAAAGGATCGGCCCTCAGACGAGACCACAGCGTATTTGGCCCCATGTAACCCCCGCCCCTAAAAGCCAACTCCTTCCGGGGAAAGGAAAGAGGACCGTCGGGGGGGGGGGGGCATCAGCAGGTCAGCCACAGCTACACATTGTTGCATGCACGAATGCAGACATTTCTTTCACGCACGCACACCCAGGCGGTCGTTCTCTTCCCGGGGGGGGTCGGGTCCACAGGAGAGGTTAAGCTCGGACGTGATTCACCTCTGACACACTGATGTTGACAATCTCCTCCGAAGGACAAAAGCCTTGAACTGGCGGGGCAATAACTCAGTGTGTGTTTGTGTGACGGAACACGCGTGTGTGGGGAACCAACGTGGGGCCGCCAAAAAAAAAAAAAAAATGCAGATGAAACGCATTTACGCTGATTTGATTTAGTTTCTTCTTCTGCTCTGCACGGTTCAGTCAGCCTGCAGATAATAATGGGCAAGAGATGTCTTACATAACACACACACACACATCCCCCCCGCCCCCAGACACACGGCTCCAACAGATGCAACAGTTTTGCATTAAATATGATTTGAGTGAGGCGAATGTGGAGCACGGCCACTCAGCTGTGCCGCTCAGCTGAGCGATAACTTTAATACGTTTTGACGGAATCTGGCCAAAGCAGAGACTGTGATGCAGGTTTCAAGATCAGCTCCTCATCCCACTAATGTGATTATTGTGCGTTTGTAGCTCCCTGTGTGTTTGTTGGACGTCTTCGGGCATTTGCCCCGTGATACGTTCTCCTTCTAGTCTTTAACGTGGATTCATGGAAAGCTGCTGTCAAATATATAAATCATTGATTTGCAGACGACGTTGGGCTGTTGTTCTTCCTAAGTGGAAGCAGTAAAAAAGACAGTTATGGAAATTCGCCCCGGGGCTTTGTTTCCAGTGCATACGCTCATTTAAATGTTTTCCCATTTCTGTGCTTGTACACATGTTAGCTTTTACAAATCGTACTCATCTTCACTCTGATGCTGTGGCAGTATTCCTCTCCGGGCTCATACAAGATGGCACTATGTAATCGGGGAGCTCTTACTTGTGACAGGTTCCCCCGGCTCCTGCATCGTTAGCACGGGGGTTACTGCACCGTTATTAACATTGTGTACGGATGACATACCCAGACAGAAGAGCCTGACTTCAGCTAAGCAGTGCAATTAATGTGTCGCTGCTGTGTATGTGTGTGAGATTGGGTGTGTTTAGCTGCTGCCTTCTGCCATCTTCTACAGTAATAATGACTCCGTGCCGGAGGAGCGCGCACCAAAGCCATTATCAACACTGTGACGGTTAAATGGCCATTTCATGCTCTGCTTAAATAATCTACATTCGTTAGCGAGCTCCTTACTGAACTCCCCCTATACGTCGACGTCTTCCTGTCGTGCATGTGTGCGTGTGCGTGGGCCCCTCCAACTGGTCTGTATTCTGTGTCTGTTTTAATTAAGAGTGTAGGCTGTCAGAGGCAGGCGGCTGCCGCACGGATCAGGTGGAAAGCTCTGATTTCGATTCCGGCTGCTCAGGCAAGTCAGTCAGATCCAGAGATTTGATGAGACTTGAGCTAAAGGCTGTTAAATGAACGCCGAGAAGACGCGCAGACACGCCAGTGACCTTTGGCATCCGGCTGCATGTGGATCAGAGATAGAAATGATAGATCATTCATTATAATCACCTTTGTCTCTCCTTGAAATCATTGAAACTCAGTTTTCTGTAGAAAAAAAGAATTATTTGGTTGTGGTCGTTGTCAGAACAGCTCAGACTTCCAGCATGATTGTGTGTGTGTGTGTGTGTGTGTGTGTGTGTGTGTGTGCGTGTGTGTGTGTGTGTGTGTGTGTCACTTTGGGTCACTTGATTCCCTGCCTGTCAAGAAGTCCTCTTTGTCTCGGCCTGTGTGTGTCCCCCAGTCAAACAGGAGCTGCTATTCAAAGCTGATTTCCAACCCTGTCCCAACCATGACATTACACGGCTACATGCACATGTACATGTACATGCACACGCACACATACATGCACAGAAGAGCAGTGCAGCTCATCAAACAGGACACAGGAGAAGGACCTGGAAATGGCTCCTAGGCACAATCCCGGTTGAATGTTAGTTTTTATGACCATTATCATATTACAATAACATAACAGGGAGGTGGGGCGCGGGGGGCGTGCCCTTCCTCCTCGATGACGTCAGCCGTGGATGGTCCCTGTATCGGCGCACACTGTCGGTCCTTATTCGTGCTCACGGGTTTACCGCAATCACTTCTGACCTGCGCGCTCCGCCAGGGGCAGGTATGGGGGCAGGGGTCAGTGAGCGTGACCCCCTGAGGTCTCACGCGCCCGCTACGTAATGCCACGACGGGGTGGATGAACAAAAAAAAACACACGTTTCTCCTCACGTTATCTTAAGGTTGCACAAAACCCGCCCGCTACCCGCGTGCGTTCATGGCTGCAGGCTGCGGACCTCCGGCTGCTCCCCCCCCCCCCCCCCTTCCCCCTCGCCCACCTGCGGCCCAGCTGGGCCTCTTCAAAGGTCACAAGCAGTTCACCGCGCGGGCAGTCAGTCAAGGTTACGGAGGTCGCGACGACGAGAAGAACTCCGCTAACCTCCATCCCCGTGTTTCTAAGTGCGCATTACTGTTTGCGGAGAGCGCAGAATCTCCGCAGCGAGGCTTTTCTTCAGGTGTGTCGGGGGGGAGGAGGGTGTGTGTGTGTGTGTGTGGGGGGTCGTTTGCGACAGGTGTCCGCGCGCTGCTTAACTTACCTTCGTCTCGCTGCTGAGCAGTTTGTATTCCGTCTCCTCGGTGTTTCCGAACAGCGAGTTCTTGAGCATGCCGAACATCTCCTCTCCTCTCGCCGCTCCTTCGATCCTTTTCTGCGTCCTTCGTCTTCGTCCTGTTTTTTTTTTTTTTCTTCTTTTGCAAGGCAACTTTCTCCCTGCAGCCCCCCCCCCCGCTGCCCCTTCTTGTGTGCTCGACTCCCCAAAACAAAACAAATAATACAGCGTCCCACCCAAACGCCCTGGATAAATAAGAGAAAGTAACAGAATCCAGATGCTCGGATTGTCCTCCGGAGGAGGAGAGCGCGCGCCTCGTTCCTCCACGGACTTCTCAACAGATGTCGTCTCCCTCTCGGAGGCGCAAGTCGATGATGCTGCTGACTCCTCAAACCAACCAGCCTTCACCGTGGCGGGCGGGGTTTCTCCACCCTCCTCCGCCTTCGGTTCTTCCCTCTCTCTCTCTCTCTCTCTCTCTACAACCAGCCCGACGCTTACTTACATCACCAGCTGCTGCATCATAATGCATCCTCACATCCTCACCTCCTCCACACATCACCTCCTCCTATAATTAGAATAACCTCCAGTGGCACTCTCGTTGTGTTTGTGAGGGCTGGCTGAGACAGCGGGGAGGCGAGGGGCACATTTACAGCCAGCTTTTTGTGTGATACAAATGTTGACTCAAGCTGTTAAGTTTGTCAGGACGCATGGACTTTGTTTCCAGGGCGTGTGCGTGTGCAAGCAGGGCTTGGGTCTTACTCCCTGCGTCGCTTGCTTTAGGGTCAGTCTATTTAAATTCAGACTGAAGGCAACGTTAGTCACCACTGGAGAGAACGAGGTAACGGGAAGGGAAGATTTAATGAAGTAAAATAATAACAGTGGGGGAGGACCGCTGTATGAGGGAGATGTGGACAAGAGGGAAAAGGTAATGGAGGAGGCTGCAATACTGTGATGAAAATGCATGTTTAGGTCTATTTTTTTGGAAAATGAGTAGAAACCAACTGCCAGAAAGGCCGTTAATCCTTCAGAGGACAAAACAAGAAAACAACTTTGCGGTTTGCTGTGAAAACAAAGACGTGCATTCCCCAGGCCGAACGCAGTATTACATTCAAACAGACAATATATGTCTCATATTCTCAATTAGTTCTGCTTATGAACATCTGGTTGGTTAGTCCTGTGCACATACGTTATAGTTGAATCGATATGCGGGCAGGGTATTAGTTAATGGGTTAAAAAGGGCAAATAAGTTCTTAAAGTTTACGCAACGGTGACCAGTGTGAATCACAATAAAAACTTGCTTAGAATCTATTTGAATGGTTGCTTTTGCCTTTTTACTGTTGGTAAAATGCATGAACAAAAACAAACGCAGGTGTGGACAAGCAGTAGATTTACAGCTAAACAAGAGATTTATTGCAATCATAGTATACATTTTCACAGTTGCTTCAAATATGGTCCCATCGGATTATCCTCGTATTGAACACTGGTAGACGAACACAACAAGATTAAGTCGAGGTTCCCTCCAATGGGCCAGACTACAGTCAAACATGCGTCGCTTGTCATGAGAGGAACTGTGTGAGACGAGACCAATCGGCCACAGAGGGACAGTGTCAGGTGTTTCTTCCAAAGTGGCGCTCTCTCTCCGGTGTCCTCACTTCTCCCAGCCTTTACCTCCTGGCTGAGTGGGCAACCTGAGGCCCACCATGGCAGCCGCTGACTTGGTGCTGTGCTCCCCTTTGCTGTGGTACAGCTCGTGCAGGGCCATGTGGGTCCGGGTGGATGCCAGCAAACACAGGTATGTGTGCGAGTCGTGGTTTGACTCATGCTGGGCTCGGCAGTACCTTTCTCCTGTTACCTTAGGGGGGGGGCAAAGAAAGAAAATATGAGTAAAAAACTAACGCAGATGCAACACTTGACGACGTGCATGTTTCTGTTTTCTTCACTTCAGATAAAAGTCTTCAAGTCTAGCTGGTGGCCAACAGGGAGCTCGCAGTGACTCCAGCAACAACCACAAGAGCAGCAAGCGTGGATGCGGTTCCTATAGCGTTCCCCGTATGCATTACAGCGCCGCGGGGTCTTTCCAGAGCCGGGACAGATACACCCTGACAAGCAAGAGTTGCTCCAAGCCATTTTGCTTCAGTGCCTGCTCATGCATTAGATGAGCCTCGTGAGCCATGCTCTCCTGAGCATGAATAATGCAAGCTGTAAGCCTATATGTTGAAGCAGCTATACTGGGTGCACAGAGAGTGGTTGGAAGGATTTAAAGAAACCCAGTTCTGCTTAGGGCTTCTTTTGACAGCTGTGAGGATGAATGTGGTCATTCAAAATGACTTCTGAACAATCCTGCAAACTCCATAGGGCTTTAAACGTCGCTATTTAAAGTGTCTATATGATCCTGCGGATACAGTACAACTTCCCTTGATTACCCAAAATCTATTGAAGCCGCCTTAATGATTTAACGCCATATTATAGTGCGTGGTCCCGTACATTTTAATCAGTTTTTGTTCACATTGACACCTCTAAATAACAGAAATGTACACATAATGAACAAATATACCCAGGACAGCAGGCCGCACTCTGCAATGCGTAGGAACTTAATAAAGTTAACGTTAGTGAAACAATTACCAGACATTTTATCACCTGCGTATGTTGTTAGCTGCGAGCTATGCTAACTCTCATTAGCTGCTAATGTTAGCATGCCCTTCTACTTCCAATTCACCTTGGGCTGAACTTTTGCCTCTATGACTACAGAGTAAGCAAAAACACTCTGTGGTGTCATGTTGGGGGTTCACGCTATGCCCATGCGGGTGAACGTTACATTTCCACTAAACTAGCAAAACAGTAACGTTCTCCTTTTAGAGCCATACGGTTAGCTGACGCTATCCCTGCACTTCCAACCAGTTTGTTATGCTAGTTAGCTCACTCGGCTAACGTTAGCTGAAACGATTTTTTTTCTTCGGAAAATCACCTTATTCTTCCGAAACTGTTCCATTATATAGTTGTAAGCCAGTGACCGTTTATAATCTGGACCTTGGATGGCACGTAGTTCTTTCAGTATTCCTCGGCAGACTCGTAGAGGGGATGACAGCGCTGCCATCTCTGCACGGTGTTGTGGTCGTGCGGCTTGTGCGGCCAGGGACGCTCAATCGATCACCGCACGGTCGATCGAGGTACCACGCGCCGGCCACAAGATGGCGATGTGTCCCACTGACGCTTTGGCGACACGTGCTTTTTCCACGGCAAATATTCCCTACTTTGGACAGTAAGTAGGAAACATCCAGTAACCTGCATTTAATTGAAAGTCAACACACATAATTTGTGTAAAAACACGTGTTGCGTAACGGAATCTTCAGCTGTTCGGGCCTGTATTCCTCGTCCGGTGTTCACCAAACTAATTCCACCTCCCTTGTCACCTCCTCCACCACCTCTGTGTCGTAATCCCGCTTCAGGAGCCCACGGTAAGAGCATGTTAACAGAATGTTCCAGCACCTTTACAGCAGTTCTAGATACATATAGTGACAGAGTATTGGGTTTTCAAATGTCAGAGCAAAGGTCAAGCCAAATCTGCTGAATGCTTCAAGGCGCCACATAGCAGACTGCTTTGGGAGGTGCATCCAAGACTGGCTAAGAGGGGGGAGAGATGCACTTTGTCCTCTTGTCACATCCGAGGACAAATGGACTCCTCTTTCAACTTCATCTAAGGTAATGTGTTTAGGTTTTGATGCATGATGGTGAACAGAGCCGGCCTGAAAAGCTGCGGCTTACTCGGCCTCACACACGCCGCCGTGTCGCTGGGAGTACGTTTGGGCTTGAGTTTGATTTTGAGTCAAGCGATTACTGTCTGATAAACGAGTCAGCTGAGGAGACGGAGGGGACCGTGGAGGCTTGTGATCATATCTCTTTTCTCTCTGTCTCCCTCTGCCTCTTTACTATAAATAACAATAAAGGGAATACATTGAAAATGAAAGTGCAATTGACCTCACTCTCTTTTTGAGTATGAGCCATCTATCAAGCCGAAGGCGCACGATGGAGTCTAATGTAATGTTTTTTTTTTTATAATTCAGTGATCGCGTTCCTGGCTGCATAAACAAGGTCAAAACATTTTGACAGAGGCCTAACTAAAGGTTAGATCCACTCCGCTTACCTCCTTCGGGAGGTAAAGAGTGGTGCTTTTGACCACCTCTCTCCTTGTGCTGCTGGCTTTGATTTGGACACTTGAGAGCAGTCATCTGTCACCATAGCAACACTGAGTTTAGCTGAGGGCGAAATGCAGAGAAAAAGGGCCACTCTGCTTTTCACAACTCCACGTACTCCAAACCAAAATTCCCTTTTTTGTACTTTTTCCGGTTTGTAAGGCGCTCGGAGGGAGAGCGCACAGGGTCAAAAGGTGACGGCGCTTCGTGCCACAAAAGACGATCAAAACACCTCATTCATGAGAGCGAAACGCAGCTCAGCTTCCGCATCGGACCGGTCGTGCAGCCGGCGGGACTCCGCATCGGCAACTTTGCCCTCAGAGGCGACGTCGCAACTCGAATGCAGGTCACAGGTCATCAGACCGGTTAGTACAACGCCACGGCACGTTCCCAGTGTATCCAGTTCTTTCCCGCTCATGTATTGATGGCCGACTCTAGGGGGAGCCAGTCTCTTATCAGTTTAACACACCGGTTTGGTTCCTCGACATTTGTTGGAAGAGGCACCCCTCTCTCCTTCCTCCTCCTCCTCCTCCTCATCTCTCTCTCTCTCACACTCTTTCAATGAATACTAATGCAGTGAGTGGGCCCACCTCCCTTCCTCCCATCTTTTTCGCAGGGATGGGCGGGAGAGGGGCGGCGTAGCAATATTCCAGCTCAGTATCCTTCCTCATGATGCGGGCAGCGCTTGACTAGCAGCGGCCGCCGATGCTTTTTTTTTTTTTTCCTCTCCCACTGAGCAATATTGGCGATACTGTGTGTGTGTGTGTTGCTGCCGCAACAATGTCCAACCTGTGCGAGTGGCACGTGACATCAGACCAGAGTTGAGGGAGGAGGAAAAGGACATCTGTGCCTGCTTTTTTTTTTTTTGTCATCTGGATGGGAAGTGTTTTTTGGGAGGCGAGACAGAAGAAAGCAGAAGGAAGCCAGGGAAGGGGAACAACTGGCAACAGCCAATCCCCCCTTCCACATTTAGACTGGAGACAACGGAGGCCACTGGAGTATTTGCTTTTATCTTTCGTTTTTTGTTCTTTTTTTTCCTCATCGCGCTGCTGGGAGGTGCTTTACCCTTTCATTTGCTTGCTCTCTCGGTCCTCTGTCTTCTCATCTATTTCGCCATTTACCTGGTCAACAATTTCTGCCATTTATGAGCCAGACAAGGAAGGAGAGAGAGAGAGAGGCAGAGAGACAGAGAAAGAGAAAAAGAGGAGGGGGATTTGTTTATTTTTTTGCCCCCTAAATTCTCTTTTTTTTGTTTCTTCCATTCATTCTGCCGCCCCTCGCCATTGCCGTCCCTGGCAGCCCTTTCTATCCCCACTCCCTCCTCCCTTCACCGCCTCCCTCCTCCCCCCCGAGCCCTCTCCGCCTTCCCCCCCAATCACCACTCTGCTCACTGTCCACCAGTAACTTTGACTACTTTTTTGAGTCCACCGGTGTTTTAATTTCCTTGCTTTAAAAAAGCCCGCCCAACCCCCCTCTTCACAGAGACATTTTAATTGGCTTGCATCTGTTTTCTATTTATGCCATTTTCACTTTTGTACCTTTTCATATTTCCTTTTTCCCCCTTCTCTTTTTTCCTCCTACCGTCCTATGCATCTTTTTTGGGCGATTCTTAATTCGAACCATAGGTAGGTCTCTTTAGTGTTTAGTGTCTGTCTCAAAGTCTTTGTTCCTTGTCTGTGTATGCAAGGTGTTTTTTGTGGGGCGCACATATATTAGTTACAGACACACACACACACACACACAAATACACACAAATACACTGGCCCGTAACCGTGCTGTGGTATAACCACGCTCCCTTCCCATCCGGCGCTCAGCTGGTTCCTCATGCCGTGTCATCCTCACGTCACTCTGCCCTTTCATACTGTCGCGTCAGTGTTTTCTGACTGATCTCCTCAGACCAAGACCACGGCGTCTCCAGCCCTCATCTCTATGTTGCACAAAAATCCGTTCTTCCATTAAAGCCTCTGAAATGTCCCCGCCCTCCCCTCCCTCCCTCCCTCCCTTTTGTCTCACACCGTTGCCGTCACACACGTTGAGTGACGTCCGAATTCCTCATTTAGAAAGTGAGTGCACATTAGGATCAAACGGTGGTGCGTTCGAGTTCCCTCGCCACATGTTTGCCGGGTGGAGGTGAAAGCGAGCCGAGGCCCGGGCCCACGGGCGGCGTGGCGTCAGAGCGCCATTGTGATCCGGCGCTCGCTCCGTTCTGTCGGGGTGTCATCGGTGTTCATGCACTCCTCTGCCTCCCTTTTTCTCTGCCCTCCCTCCCTCCCTTCCTCTCTCTCTTCTCTCCCTCCCTCCCTCATCTTTGTGAACGGACTTATTCTCGCAGACAGACACACACAAGCACTCAAAGAGAATGGACTAAAAGCAAAAACGGGCTTTATCATCCAGAGGATTTTTTCCCTTTTTTTTTTTTCTTCCTCCACAATAATTTTCACTTTGCGTCGAGCTTTAATCTCTTCAAATCACCTCTTTTTCCCTCTGCATCTCTTTTTCGCCATCAATTCCTCCCTCTCACCTCCTGTGAATTATCCATCTATTGGTTTATGTGTTGTCTCGTTTTGTCCTTTTTATTTGCCATCTGAGAAAATGTCATATCCGAGCACTCGCACGTCATCGACTTCCTCGCATCAGAGTTGCTGTTTATTTTGCGTTCTGGTGACGTAATTTTTGCAATACCTCACATCGACTTCTTCCATGTTTTGAAATATAAGGGATTATTCACGAATAAGCTTTTAGCAGTAAAGAAAAACAGACGACAAGAAGGCTCAAAATAATTGAGCTGATTGCAAAGTAACTGAATAATTTGGAGCGTGTGTGTAAGAACTACAGAGAGTAGACCGATACATAGCAAATTAAAGCAAACCACACGACTCATTTTCTTATCCACCCTCTCTTTATTCCTATTTTACTTTTATATTTCCATGGTCTTTTTCTTCCTGAAGGAGGTCTAACGCCTCTCCTCTTCATCACATGAAGATAATGGGAAGTGGGACTTTTGAGCGGCCGTCACCACGATAGAAGGCATTCTGGATTGAGCCGTTTTCCTGAGGAATTACCCCTTAAATCCTGGATTTCATTCCAAGCAAAACAAAAAAAGAGAAATTAACAGTAATTATAACTGTCCTAAATCTGTGACTCTCTTTTTGACTTTTTGTAATGGACTGAAGCTGATTGCAATATTCCTTTTTTCAGCCATGAATCTTAATGGGATTTCACTAACGCGGATTAAAGACTCAAGCCACATCTTTGTGTATTAGTTGATGTAACCGCCATGCTTCTTACAATATCTCCGGCCTACAAAATCCATTACATGTAATGTTTCCTAATGCTAAGGGTTAAGTAGGTGAGTATGGCGCCTTGAATCCACACACGCTATTGCTGTTTCATGTTCGGGATGATGGTTAATTGATGTAAATATTCATCTCCATGTCTGTCATTTAGTCACTGTTTTTGCATGTGTGTGTGAGGGGGTGTGCGTTCCATCTGTGTGTGTGTCTCTGTACTGTATGTGCGATGAATGGATATTGTGGGATCATTGGAGATCAGTCATTTCCCCTCACACCATTTATCCTTTTGTAGTGAACCTACAGTCTATTAGTCTCTTTCTGACACATTTTATCCACGTGAAATGAATCCACACGCGTGTACTCTCATCTGATGGCGTAAAAAAAAGAGTCTCTCACATTCGGAAATAAATCTCCGCTGTTCATGCTTGGTTCTGTTTCTAATTAGCTGCTCTCCACCTGATGGAGGAGCCACTTGTTCTGTTCACTTCTGCTTCACACTCCTTTTTATACTTGAGTGAGCGAGTGAGTGTGTGTTTTTAAGCGCTTCCATTATCAGAATATATAGGCAGATCAATAAAGTCATCCACATGAAGGGACAGACTTCATCTGCCTTTTCTCGATGCAATTATTTTTATCTGCCGTTATTTCAAAGATCCCAAAGTGCTTCACAGCCGCAGAATGACAGTAGATCTCTGAGGGAAGTGTGTCGGACTCAAACCTTGAGTATGTCTGCAGCAAAATGTGACACACACACACACACACACACTTTGTCCATCCATCCATCATGGGTGCATCGAAGGTTGACCCCTTTTCTCTGATTAACTTTCCCATCATTTGGTTGGCAGCTGCTTGGATCCATAAACGACGTGTGTGTGTGTGTGTCAAGGTTAACGCTGCGTACCTGCGAAAACCCACCTGGGACCCGCCCCCGTAACCCGTGACCGTTACCCATTCTGCTTGTGACGCCTGCAGCTTATCTGCAGATGGGCACTTAAGCCCAGCCGGTGTGTCAAAGCTGTCACAGCTGCCACGCTGCAAAAGGGACGTCCCGGGTGCAAAGCGCACGCCCCTGACACATGGCCCGCCGCTGTCTTTCTTCCGCGAGGGCCAAAGAAATGCTGCAGCTCCCACCGGCGCTTTGCCGTCATGTGGTTCAGCGCGCGGTACGGCTGGTTGGACTGTGCTTAAGTGGAGGATGCTGATTTAAGTTTTGAAGGCCCCCTCCCTGTTTAGCTAGTTGGGGCTGTAATGGGACGTTATGGGGCTCAGTCTGTGGTGCTCAAAGCAGAGAGTGAATTTCTCATTCGAGAGTGCGTCCAAACTTTTGACTTGCGTTTGGAAGGTGGATGCGGTGTGTAGAGGTAGAGGGGGGGGGGGGGGGGATTCGGAGTCGGCACTCAGCTTTTGGTCCAAGTTCACGACCCCATTTAGGGTCACACACCCGTCTTGTGTCTGAGGAGAAAGACGCGAACGTGCGTTCCGCCTTCGTACGAGGAAAGAAGCATCGTATATTTTGCGCATTGCTGCTTTACCATCTCTGCCACAAAGTGACAGCGTACTTCATGCTCCTTTTCCAGCGTGCTTCTAAGAGTTAAAGCGCCCCCCTCGCCCTAAATGAAGTGTTTGTGTACAAATGGCCACCAGATTCTCATCCAACAATAAATCAGTTGTGTTCGGTGACCGGGGCACCGCCACATATTTCAAGCCTACTTGCCAAATTTCCTTTGTGTTTGGGAGAAAAGGCGCTGGACGCCAGAAGCTTACGTGGAGACAGAAGTCTGCCAAAAGTCTCCAAACAGAGCTTAAGAGATTTTCACAGGCGCCGTGTTTGCAGTCGTCATTGATAAACAGGCCAGGAGAGGAGACAGCAGGGGCTGAGGAGATGCATAATCCCATCCCCTCTTCCTCACCGGCTCCCTCTCTTCCTCCTCGCCATGTGCCCCGATGCCGCTCCTGTGTGTGTGTGTGTGTGTGTGTGTGTGTGTGTGAGCACTGCATGTGCCCCGATGAAACCAGCAGCAACACTCCCTCTGAAATCAGAACACTCCCGCAAGTCAAACACAAAACACGCAAAGATGATCTGAAGTCTGCGAGGAGTTAAACCGCCTCAGATTCCGTGTGCGCGTGTGTGTGCGTGCGTGTGTGTGCGTGTGCGCGATGCTGCGTGACAACCTCATCCATCATCTTGTTAAACGAGCCAGTCGGCGGCGCGGAGCTCCATCCAAAGCTCGTAACTTTGTGCGTCTGAATCCTGTTCCACCATTAGAGAGCGAGCAGGAGGGGGCCCATGTGGGGCGACTTAAAAAGTACATCTCCATAGTCTTTATTTGATTTCCTATTGGCAGCGTATTCACTTCAAGCGAGTGGAATATGGGTCATGATCTGGTATAAAAAGGCTATTCAATAATTCATCGGAGCTGATTAAGAGGACTTGTATCGACGCAGTCGCTGTCCATGAGAGGGGATGGGAGCGCACACTCTCTCTCACACACACACACACAGTGTACAGGGGGGGAAAAAAGCAACATTTAGGTCCCTTTTGCGGGATTAGTGGAAGCTGGGAAACAAGCTAGAACTGCCTGGGCGCTTCCAGGGAGCAGCGTAGGCCTTCTTTGATGTTTTAATCTACAGTACGTTCCCCCCCTTCTGTTTCATGTGTCAAACCGAGCACACGTGACCAGCCTCTATTTACGTGTGTGTGTGTTTGTGTTTGTTCGTGTGTTCATGCGCGTCCTGTGAGTTTGTGTGAGGTCCCATCAATCTATTAAATATGAAAAGTACAATCTGTTACCCCGCAGAAACTGGTTTATTATTCATTGACACATTTCAATTAATCATTGATTTACCTAAACAGCGCCCCCCCCCCCCCTCCGATTGCGACGCTATACAGGCTCCTCGTGGGCAGTGAGTGATAATCTGGATTAATAGGAGCTATTTATTATTCGTCTGGTCGGCGTCGTTGGCCGATTGTTGGGGATGAAGGCAGAGACATTAAGTACTACGCTCCAATTTTTGGGGGTAATGTGTAATTAATCATACTCGACTGGATTCCCCTTAAAATCAGACACACACACACACACACACACACACAAACACTCGCGGCTCACTAAAGAAATGAAATGAAATGTACACATTTCTGTGTTTAGAATCTGTTTTTGAAATGACCCGCTCTGTAGTGAGCTTATTAACTCAAAGGGCGTGTGCGGTTTGATTGGAGTCTAACAGACTGCGACCTGCTTCTAACCCTCCTGTGCCGCTTGCTCCCTTTGCAATAAACAGACTGGCGGACGTCAGAAAAAGAAGCGGCGCCCAACCGGTCTCCGGAGGAGCGGGAGGGCAGAACGGAGCGGAGGCGAAGCTGCTCCCGTGGAGCACAATTACCTTCCAGATTGCTGCTTTACCCTCTTGACCCGTCAAGGATTTTACCTAAAACTGCTGTGAGTCCCTGAAAGCCTTTTGTTGTTTGTTCCACTGTGTTCTTGCAAATATTTAAAATAAGATCTGAGACCCTTTTCTGCATTCAGAAGTAAAGACGAGGCTCTTTCCAGCCTGTTTAACGAGTGCACAGCAGGAGAGACGAGCGGCTGAACACCGAGATCTAAATATTCTATAAGACCCAACAGCTGCTGACGATCGATGCTCATGCCGTCTTCCCTCCCGTGCTTTGCTTGCAGTTCAGCCTCCCTCAGTCTGAGGCTATGAGAGGGAGAGAGGAGTCCCAGGCCGCACCACCATGCCACTTCTGAGACGCCGCGATGAGACTTTGGCTGGCGAAACACAAGGTAACACGCCGCCGCTGCACGGCCTCCAGAAAGACCGCTTTTCCGTCGCCGCCTTATCTCGCGTCGTTCCTAAGTGCGCGCCTTCCTCCAAGAGCTCAGTGATGGATGGTCTACAGCTCGGAGAGGATGCTCCGTATCCCTTTGCTCGAGGGTCAGGGTAATGGTTCGAGGTGGGGCCCACAGATGAATGGTTTAATCCTGTTCTTTTAGCACAGTGTGCACTTCGGTGGCACGCGTCAAAGCGTGGACGTCCGCCGCGCCCCCTCATCGACTATCGGCTTAATTTGCATGGCCTTACAGGCGTTGTGGCAGGAGCGCCACCGTTCGGATGCGCCCTTCCTGCAGGACGGAGGGCGGAATCGTTTGACGAGATAAAAGGAAGCAATTGTTGTCTCTCTGTCCCGGGCCGATGTGTTTGCCACGGGGGCCCACGTGAGGCCATTAACCCATCTACTGCCTCCTCCCTGCCAGCCTCTTTCTTTGTTTTTTGTTTTTGCATTATTTTTTTCCACCAGCTCTCCCCTCTATCTGTCTCTCCCTTTTCTTCTGTTTTCCTCCCTCCCCATGCACTATTAATCAGCCGTGGCGTTTAAGAGACTGAGCGTCGGTGCAGAGGAGCAAAAAATTGAGAAACTTTCCACTTTTTTTTATATTTATTTATGCGAGGCGCTGGTTGTTGCGCGGTGCGGGGGGTGACGGACTGGTGAACACGCTGCAAATGCCGCCATTACGCAGTGACTGCCTCTACTCCAGCCGGCAGCAGGGCGCCGGCGCGGCTTCCTAATGGAGTGTCCCGGCCTTCCGCCGTTAGCTGAAAGTCACAGCGGCCGCCTCGGGCAACGCTGACGCTGCTCTTTTGCCCACTATAGCCTCGCGTCATAAAACATTACCATATAGATGAATTAAGAGAGGCGGGGAGTCTCGTTAGCGGCGCCGCCCCACCTTCTCGGCGACGCAATCCTACGCGGGGGTTACAGGTTATTGGTCTGTTAGGCCTGTTGTTCGAGTCCAGCGGGCCTCCTGCTGTGACATAAAGTGTAAGAGCAGGAAGAAAAAAACCACCCCACCAGTCTGCGATGTGCCAAATAATGTAAGAAACATTTTTGGATCGTCGTTGTGCCGCCTGCAGATTTCTGTATCCGAGCACAGAGCGAAAAGAGCCCCTCGCGCCTCCTATAGTTGTCTGTTTTTAGTCTGGTGCTGCATTCTTCGGCTCAATAGGTGAGTGTGCTTGTGTGCTTGTTTTAGGAGAACATTCATAACTGACATCATTCTTTTCTTGCCTTTTGTTTGCTGGGAAATGGGTGTGGAACATTGTTTTTTTTTCTTCTTTCTCGTTTGTTGTCTGTGTTTTTCTAAATTTAAATTCAAGAGTTGTGAGTTAAGAGGCTTTTGATGAGGAAAAGAGAAAGAAGAGGTATTTGTTTCTGCGAGGTGAAGGAGAGGACAGAGAGAGTGCAGCGGAGGGTTTTCTCGGCGAGACAATGGCTTGTCACGTTCATGTGCTGCCAGCTTTTTGGTTTTGTCACCACAAAAAAAATGGCAGTGCAGTGTGCCGGCACATCTCGTTAATTCAATAACTCGGTCTTATTCAAAGAAACTTTTCAGGCACGGCAAACTCGCCGCGGCACATTTGTCTTTGTAATGAATTCCAATCACATTGTTACACCTAGGCCTCGCCGATGTTCAATTATCTCGCCATTGAATACGCTTGTACAGCGAGTCTCTGGTGGGTCATTTATCCCGGAGTTATCATTTCATATTAATTGAATTCGGGTCGTGGGATGACGTGTTTTTTTCTCTTTTTTTTCCCGCCTGACCTGAGGACACGGCTGAGCTCCGTGCGAGGGCATCGACCGATCGGAGGTTGCAAAACAGCCGATCGATTGTGCCTCACTCAACCTGCAGCAGCTACGCACGTCGCCTGCGAAGCGACCCGCGTAGCTCAGCGCTGCACTTGCGCCATTTGCTTCGGTGCCATCTGTTGTTATCTTCTGGCACGTCCTGCCGGTGCTGCCGGGACGGGGCGGCAGGTGCCGTCAGGGTTCGCGCTCCAGTTGTTGGCAAGTTGTGATCACTCAGTTGCTGTTTTAGTCACTAACCACCGTATGTCGTTAATTACTTTTGGTGCATTTGTGGTTCCTGCCTCTCAATTTATTTTCTGATTTAAATCTTTTGTAGTTGATTTAGAGTGGTGGTTGTTTTAAGAAAAGCAACGTGAAGACGGCGTCACCTTGACTTGCAAAGGATGATGTTGCTGCATATTTAGGCAATAAGTTGCTTTTAGCTTTTATCTGTTCACATTGGCAGCATGAAACGTATGCTGAATTAGCCATAAGCACGTCCTGTTTGCAAGCTACCCAAAGATGTACGGACCACCACCGGCTCCTTTCATGCTGGAGACCAATGCCAATGGCATCTTTTCTTTTCCTCACAGACAGCCGCCCCTCAGTAACCGTCAGGATTAGCGCCTAGCATGTCACGCGTATGTCTATACAAAGATATACACAGTACAAGCCAGAGGTTTGGACACAATTAAAATCTGTTGTCCAATTTTGTCCAAACAGAATTGTAGATATTGTAATTCTGTTTCCTGTTCTCAGCAGACAGCCCGCTGTAGCCCGTCGTCTTCAAGGTTCCACGTGTTGTGCGTTCAGAGATGCTGTTCTGCATTCATTGGTTGTGACGAGGAGTTAATCGAGTTACTGCTCTTCTATCACCTCGAACTGAGCTTTCATTCATCATTGAGCTGTCATGTGATTGGCTGATTTGTGCAATTTGTGTTAATCAACAATTGAACAGGTGCATCTAATAAGTCTGTGTGTGTGTGTGTGTGTGTGTGTGTGTGTGTGTGTGTGTGTGTATGTATATGTATATATATATATATATATATATATATATATATATATATACACACATACACTTTCCTATTTGCCTTAAAGCCAGGTTTGCTGTTCTGTTGAGTGGAGTGATGATTGCCGCTGTGATGAACAGATTGTTCATTTTTACTGCAGCAGAGGGGTCGGAGGGGCGGTGAGACGGGGAAATCCATAACACTGGGTCTCAGAAGAAAACAGAAAAACTTTCACTTGCAGAACTTGCAGAGAGTAGAGTAGAACCTACATCCCGTCTGCCACCAGCTAATAGGAAAACGCTTCGACTAGCTCCGCGTCTTTCGCCATTATTTTATTTTAGCACAGATCCTCCCGTGTCATTAATAATTAATTAATGTTACACCCTCTGAATATTATCAATGTCTCGTTGTGCAGAACGTAATGCTGTTTAAACCTTTTTTTTCTTCATCTCTGCTTAATAAACTCGGCCCTTCTTTCCGATTTCTGAAAGGAACCGTGCCAGACAACAAGCGGCGCTGCGGCGGGGTCTATTGTTCCCTGTTATTGTTAACATAACAACATTATTATCAAAGTCTGACTGATTCAACCCGGAGCACCTGAATACGACGCATTCCTCGTGCAGCCCCCCCCCTTCTCTTTATCCAGTTGATTGTTCCTGTTTGATTCCTGGAGGCCAGGCCCGGAGTCAGAGAATTATTGAAACCGCTGTAAGCGCACCGACTGTTCGCTTGTGAAAAGAGTCTCCATAGTCATGCATATGTTATGGATCGATTCAATCACACACACACACACACACACACACACTTTAAGTGTGCTGCTCGATGACGCCACCCACAATGCATCTAACAAGCGGCTTTCTACCTTACGAAAAGCGCTTTAAGAGAAAACCCTGCTTGTCCCAGTGTTGCATACAATACAATACAATACAATACAATACAATTCGTTCTTTATTTTTAACAGATTTCCAAAAATTACCAAAAAACTGTTTTTACTTTGTCATTATGGGTTGTTGTGTGTAGAATGTTGAGGAAAATAATGAATTTAATCAATTTTGGAATAAAGCTGTAACATAACAAAATGTGGAAAAAGTGAAGCGCTGTGAATACTTTCCGGATGCACGGTACATATGTTCTAAATATACACTGTGTGATTTCAGCTAACATCCGTATTAGCGCCTTGATCCAATGATATTTATTATGTTCCAGTATTTCAGCGCGCTAACCTTTTGGACGGGGCTAAACCCTTGTTCCTGCTCTTTGCATAGTGAACAAAAACAGAAAAACAGGGGGATCAGAGCGCATGTGTCCAATACAGACGGGTGCGTCATGACAACAGGTTGCCAATTAATTTGCCACAAGGGAGAGATGGGTTGTCGGTGGGTGACGACGGGACAATCGGATGAAAGAGGAGAACAGAGAGAGCAATGACGTGGGTGTGACAGAGCACCTTAGGAGGGCAGTGCAAGCGCCTGTGTGTGTGTGTGTGTGTGTGTGTGTGGGGCGGGTTGCGTTTGAGGAGAACTGGGTGGTAAATTATGTGTCAGCCCAAGAATGTGCCACATCAAAAGATAAGACAACACGCACACACAGTCAGACCCCGATGGCAGAAAGGGAGAGAACTGATGATGGAGGATTTACTAGCGCTCCAACGCCTTCAAACTCAGTGGATTTCATCAAACCAGGGAAGGTTTTTAAATAACGCATGAAAAAACAAAATCGAACCTGTACTACCTCTTTGGACGGAGAGATAAAAAAAACTTCTGGGAGATCTGGGGAAATGAAAATGATGTCCACGAGGCTCCATTAAACACGTACTTGTTAGTCTGGTCGCCGGTGAAGGGGGGAAGAGGCAATCAGACCTAAAGGACGTCGCATTAGTTGTCAGAACTGAGCACTCAACAGAAGACTTGAGCCCTTTTTAGGACATCGCGCTCTCCCGCGTTGTAATTGTCAACTATAAATCCTTTTAAAGGGTTTGTCTTCGCCGGCCTGAGTGGCTCACTCTTGATCGTGTTGTGGATAAAGGTTGCGTGTATGGAGGATGATGATTGACAGGTGTCATTGTACAACTCCGCGTGGAGGAAGGTACGAAGGCGATCACCGGAGGCAACGAACATACGCCGGCGTAAGGAAACGTGCAACCGGC